TATTTTAGGTGTTTTTGGTACAACCGCGACGAAATCATGATACGATGATGAATTAGCCAGAAGGTGATGAAAAACAATGGTTAATGGCTAAAATTCATTTATTGACATACCATTAGATGATAGATGATTATACGCAGTCAGTAATTGCTATATCCAACATTCAGGAGTGCAATTATCAGCAGTAGTAAGATTGTGAGGAATAAAGATTAATTACAGGTGAAAATTTGAATCTGTCGCTGGTCCTCTGAAATTTTGTTAAAATGCGTTAATGATTTCTAATTGATAATTGATATCAGGTAAAGTATCCGAAAGCACAACATATGCCGTTCCTTCATTAGAGTCAGTGGATTTTATAGCCCATATGACATTGAATTTCCAATTATTGCGTCGATTTATTGCGATTTCATACCAAATTCATTAAATGTGAGTTCTGAAATCGATAGACGTATAAACGATTAATTATATTTAAGTAAAATATCACCAGATTTATGCTGTTTTTAAAAGTTGGAAATTGACTTTATGAGTCTGATTTCTGAGATTTCCTATTTTAATTACGACAAAACCACCAAAAATTTATTTCAGAAAGTGACAGAACGTTTATGAATACCCATAAAAGTGCTCGATAAGTGGTAAGGGCAAAAAGTTTTAAAGATTTTCGATGACAAATATAGGCAAATGGAAGTATTGTTGGTGTTGTTTTTGTTGCTGTTGGCGTCTATTAGTCTGCTTCGATGCGCTTATTGTGCAATAAACCTTGACGATCCAAAAGGACTATAGATTCGTTACCTTTCGAACGTTCACGATAAAGAAAGATTTCTGAAAAAGGACACCGTAACAATGTGTTGTCTTTTCACCGTTGTTTATGTTAACAAATGCATTTATACTTTAACATCTTCAGCAGGCTATTTCTGATCGTTATAGGAAGTTTTGTCGTTGACAATTGACAGTTCCGTATTTTTTGAAATCTCTTCCTAAAATATCGTCTTCTTGATTACTTACATTTTTGTACAGTGAATTTTAGTTTTCAGTTTCATCGAAATATAGTCGACAATTTCGATAATCATAAAACAAAGAATAATAATACGTCTATTAATTTTCAGTACCTTGATTTGAATTTCATCATCCAACATGGTTTTACACCCAAAGCAAGGCTAGTAAAAAGATGATGTACCGTTATGAAAAATGAAAATAGAATCTTTCCAAGTTAGTTGATCATCTCTAGTAACCCGATGAAAGTACTGATAAATTGAACGATTTGTGGATTGTGTGAATGAATGCTTGTTCAGATGTTAAAACTATGGAACTAGGAAGGGTAATTTAATTCTTGACCAAAATTTTATTTTAGGATGCATCTTGCATTGTTAAGATGAAGATGAAATTTGTTATCAATTAGATATTTGATAACAATAATAAAATTACGTCATAAAATGGAAAAGGAAACAGGTTGGCTGAAGGAAAAAATTGTTTCTTTATCCTTTATTCTTATATTCTTTCAAAATTTTTCTAACTTTTTCAAAATTTGAAAGTACATGAATGAGGAGGAAGTGTCATTCTTATCATCACTTATCAGTTATCATTTCCATATCACTAATTGCTTTTGAATGTTCAATTTTTGTTTGATTTGTGTTAGTTACAAAATGAAAATTAAAATGTAATAATTGGTCGTATCATTCACTGTTTCAATGAGAATAATTTGCCAAAAATGGAGCTTTGTACTTCATTATTTGTTTCCTGTCTATAAAATTCTGCAAATTTCTTCGAATATATTTTGTATTAGTTACTGTTACCAAATGAATGATTCAATACGATGAAAGAAGTAATTGAAGGCAAAATTAATTTGTACGAATGGGAAAGAGGAATTGGAACATTTGAGAGAAGTTTGATGGCAAAAGAGAATGAATGGTAAGAACAATGGGATGACATTCATTTGTCTTAACTCATAAATGCGCTTTTGGTCAATTTTTTTAGCAAAGATAATTAAAATTTATTGCACAAATTGATAATTGTATTCCTTATGTGATATATTGCAAAGGAACATTTATAAGAGAAGAGAATTAAATTCTTAATGCAAATTCTATAATGATGGAAGAGTAATTACAGTAAGAATAATTGAAGTTTCGGGAATAATATTGTCTGCATATTCCAAAATAGGAAAAAAAACAATCTTTACGGAATTTTATTGATTTTAAAATTAAATTTTTCTTTTCATTAATAAAATATTAGTAAAAATGTTCAATCTGATAATAATTTGCTTTGAATATTCACAGTAATATCAAATTTGTAAATTTATCCATTAAAAATTTGCTTTCCTTTCTTCACATTAGTATTAACAGCGCATTTATATTATCTTCATTTTTTATTACCATTCAGCATTATATTTATTTTGTAACTGTTGTTGTTGTTTTTTTCCTGTGCTGTCAGCAATGATTGAATAAGCAAAGATGATTAAATAAACATGATTGTTATGACAATTACAATTATATTTAACACCATGATTGTGATAATTATCATAATGCTATGTGAGATTAAAACACAAGAGTGTAAAGGAATCTTAAACTAATTACAACAATCTGATAGTTATGAATTGCATGAGAGACAATAATAATTCATTATGTACTCAAAAAGAAATATTGATAAGATGGAAAAGAGGGTTCGCTATTGCCAATGACAACTCCGCGGGTGTTTCACGTTGTGTTGATAGATGGATGGATCATTTGCATTTTGATAATGGGATGAAAACAATAGTGTGGGTGAAAGAAGGAATATCAATAGATTCTTGTCACTACAGAGATACCGCAATCACGACTAAATAATTCTTTTAATCTGTAATGCGGTTAAATTGCTTTTTGAATCAAAGTCCTGCAGTGTAAAGGAAAAAGGATGAATGGATGAATGTACGTGGTGGTATCGGTAAGCTGACCTATGGAATGACCTTCAAAGTGATGAAGCGAGCTCTCACATTCCTATCTCCTTTTCCTAAATTCTTTTTTGATCATATATGCGATTAATCTGTATTGATCATACTATTAATACATACGGAATTTGAATTTCAAATGGACAAAAGATGATTAAGAGTAACATCGACATTGTCGAAAATCTGATAATACGAGTAATCCGGAAATGAATATGAATTCGTAATTTGATAAAAATAAGTTGATCTCTTACAAACAAAATTTTGAATTGGAAAATTTAAAAAAATACAATTTCCTTATAAAATATTTAGAAAATAAATGACACAGTTTCAAAATTACTTACTGAAATATGTCAAGTATTTACACTTACAGCTAAAATCCAGCATAAGAAACATTTTGCAATTAAATTATTGGAAAATTCTCCACAAATTGAAACATTTTAAAAAACTATCAACAATTAAATAATAATAGTTAGGTGGAAAAGAAATGAATTCAGGTAAAATTATAAAGGTTGAATTATAAAATAACAATTATTTTATTATTTCTTTCAATGAATAAATAATATTCACAAATTGCAATCATTTCTATTTCATTGATTTTTCAATACATACTGAAATTGTTTATTCTAAAAAATTTTTTCAATAATTTTGCAAATTCACTGAAAGTTTGTTATATACTGTGACATTTTTAATTTTCACTATAAGAGAAAAAGGGAAAAAAAGTTGAGAGAAGAAGAGAAGCTAATATTTTAATTAACATTATTGGGGCAGTAACTAATATCTTTCCAACAACAATTCTTCTTTCTCATGTAAAATTCATTGAAGCAGAAGGCTCAGTGCTCCATCAAATCTCTTTGCTTCACTTATTACTATCTCTTCAATTATATCTTTCGTATTTTTCGTCTTTCAGAAATAAATAAAATCTTATCTATTTTCTAAAATATATTAATTTACAATTGATGCTTTCATAAAAATGCATAAACATTTTATATACAAAATTTTAAAATTCTCAAATTTAAAATTTTCCTTTATCATTATGAAATTAGTTTTATTAAGCAGTAAAGTTATTTATGGTAAGAATGAAAATTCTGCTAAGTATGAAAATAATATTAATTAAGATATTTCGGAAAATAGATAAGAAAGACATGCAAACAGATTATATTACTTATATATATTTACTTAATAATTAATAGCTAATTAAATTGCGAACTATTCTATTTAGTTTCTAATTAATTATTTTAATGAATTATTTTGATAGTGTGCTAAATCACTTGAAAGTTTAATTTATTTAGTAGCAGTTACAAATTTCAATGCAATATATGGTTATTTTTACTTTTCACATCAAATCTATTAAAATACTTATCGAATCATTGCTGATAAGTAACAAAATAAATGAAATGATAGCTATATTTATTTATAAATAATTAATGCAATTAAAATAATCATTGTTTTAATTGTTTAATGAATAGAATATGACTACTAAAGAAAGCAAAAGAAAGAATAATATTTATTCGTTGAATAATAGCGAAATAAACTTGGAGAAAAACAAATGACTACCGTAATCCAATGATATGTCCCAGAAAAAGTGTCGTTAACAAAATGATGACATAAAGAGACATGCGTATGTCTCATAAGATACCATGAATTTAACTATTGGTTAATATGGTACATTCAAGCACCGCCCCATACAATTAAACTGGCTGCGATGCGACGAATATTTGCGACAGTTATCAAACGGTCGCGTTGTTGTGCTTAGCCTTCTACCTCATTCACTGATACATACATAAATATATATGTGTGTTATACTGAATAGAAATGAGTTTGAAAATGAATTGTTTAATGATTATTTGCTCATTTCTATGATTGCTATCATCCTATAATATATTACAATCCTGATCCATTCATCTTAAATTAGCTCAACTATACAGTGCCTTTCTCTTTACATCATTTTACCTTAACAATATTTAAAGATTTCCATTCTAAATCTTTAATCAACTACGTATCGGAAAACAAAAGGCAGAGCTACAGTAGTAGTAGTAGTAATATAGTAGCAGTATTGTGCGACTATTTGCTACTAATAAAATTTCTGATGCCAAGACCTGGAAAAAATTCTTACGATGATCAGGTAAATATTTACAATTGCAGACATTTATCACTCTTCTAATTTTTTATGTATAGATTAAATATTAAATTATTGAAATTAAAATATAGCCTTCTTATAATTTACATTTTTTAGTTTTTATATTGTGAATAATTTCTTAAAGAAAATAGATTAATTCTATACTTAAGTATGTTTTAGTTTATCTTTGTAGCATTACTTGTACTTCTGTACCTTTAGAAAGAGAAAGAGATCGGATAGAAGTAGAAGGGACAACATTTCCTTTGTTTAGTTAATTTCATTTTCTCATCTATTTTATTTAAAAGAAAATTAATCAACAGTTTAGCTGCAAATTATTTCAATTAAAAATAGGAATTTAATGCTTTCTTTTCCAAAGCTAATGAATAATATATTCTAATGCTTCGTATTAGTTAAAAATTTGCATATCAAATTTTTTTATTTTGAATTATATGTTGAAACAATCTAATCCAATTTGTTTAGCTATTCTAAAAATATTTCAATTACTATAAAATAGCTTATTGAAATCATTAAATAAAATTTTACTTTCAATCTTTAAATTAAGATAGAGACGATAATAAGCAGCGCTAAGTTTTTCAACATTTGTTTTATTGAAGAAAGCTTTTCTTTCAAATTCTTCATTAACATGTATTAGATTAATACAGCCTATTATCTCTTCTATGCATTACTTGGCCTAATAAATAAGCAGAATGGTTAGGCAATCTTGTTTAGATAAGCTTGAGATAGTCCAATAGCATTTGTCAATTCATAAATAGGTTGAACTACTACTATTGTATGTCTAATCAATCATACAATGACAATTGCAATTAGCTTATTATCATTTCAGAAGCCTCCATATTCGTATATTTGGTTAACATATATGGCTATACAGAATTCAGAAGAAAAGATGCTCCCGTTGACTGAAATTTACAAATATATTATGGATAAATTTCCATTTTATCGTAAAAATACACAACGATGGCAAAATTCGCTCAGACATAATTTATCATTCAATGATTGTTTTGTTAAGGTATCATTCTTAAATGATTTCTTCATTTCTTTCTGATTAAGATAAAGTTATCAGAAGAAAAATTATTTAAATTTCATGTGATAAATTAAATATTGCGACAATATCTTTGATTTAAGATCTAATAGATAATTAATAATTGAGAGGATGGCTGAAATGAACGAAAAGTTTTCACTACATTTTAACTCTGAGGTAAAATAATTCATAATTAGTTTAGCTGTAATAATTCTGAGCATAGATCAAGCATTTTGCATTGGGTTTCCTAAAATCTCAAAGCTTATTGCTTTTTTAATTTAAACTTTTTTATTGTTTTTTATAGCTATCTTTAAGCTTATTATCCTCAATCATTTACTTTTGTTAGGCTTTATATTGCTAATAAATTTATTAATTAAGTAAAATTTCTTCTTCTATTATTTGTAATTTCATAATTCATCGACTAATTATTTAACTTTTAAATTAGATATTCATACAAAAATTATTCGAAAGTCTAAATTATCTCAATTGCTTTGATTTAAATATTCTTTCAACAATTTAATTATAAATTTGCGAATTTTAAGTGAACTTTTCCATTCAGCCAAATTACTAATTGCAAAAAAAACGTTTTGAAGGACGATTTGAAAGATTTATTTTGCATTCACTTTTTTCCTCTACAAAAATATATATAATATTGGATGGGATCGTAAATAAACTATAACCACCCGCTGCGCTTTGAGTGATACCATCCCATCTTGGACAGCCTTACTCCGTCGGTTAGTTATTTTAATCAAAGAAAAAACTGGTTCAAACAACACTGCAGCATTTTGCTGCTAATCGAGTCAAGAGAATATTCCATTTCTAATATTACTTTCCAATTTATGATTATAATTGAATGCTTAACAATTTTGGTCAAAAATAAGATTTCATTATAAGTCATCAATTTCATGCCTTTTTTCTGACAGATGTTTGAATATAATTTAATTTTCACATAGCGCTAAAACAATGTAAAATAATTAACTCCGACTTTATTATTTAATCTCTTCTTTAATTTTCTATTTGTAAATATGAAATAAAAAGTGTTTGTAAAATTACAATCGTAAAGAAATCGAGAATGAAAAGAATGCAGTGAGATACCGTATACCAATTATTATGAAGGCTGCAACACTAATATTGTGATTGTCCGTTTATATATCTCGAAAATCTAATTTCAATAAAATCTCATTGGTCATTTGATTCTTTCATTGACTGCTAATAAAACTATTAAAAATAAAAGTGACAGCTTAATAGGAACGTTTGATTGAAAAATTCAAATCTTAATTTAAGTTTCTTTCTAAATTAATTGCTTAATTGCAATTCTGCAAATTTTTTGCAAAAAATTGCTAGTGCATTTTCTACTGTTATTCAATAATTTTGATATTGAGAGCCTTTGCTGTCTTCTTGTTTATTAATTCTTGTTGAAATGAAATAAATAAACGCTGCATCCGAAGCAATTGCTAAAGAAAGCAAATTAAAAATTTGTAATTAGTCCAAGGCGAGAAAAAAAGAAAGTTAATTCTAAGCAATGGAGGCTAATCATTTTAGTTTCAGATACCACGACGACCAGATAGGCCTGGTAAAGGATCTTATTGGGCAGTTCATCCAAACGCTCTAGGAATGTTTGAAAATGGCAGCTGTTTGAGACGAAGGAAAAGGTTTAAGGTATTTTTTTACATTTTTGCTAATATTTAACAATTTTCCTGAGTAATGCTAGTTATCAAGTAGTACAATTTAGTTCCATATTACTAAAATAATTTTGTATCCGATGAATTCAGGAATGGATACCGGAATCAATCTTTTTTGCTTAGTTCTATATAATTTTTTTTAAGAAATATTATTGTCGTTATCTGCGAATAATTAAAAGTATATTCTTTGCTTTTGAATACAATTGCATAATGTTATTTAATGGACAGATCCAAACATATGGTACTAGCGAAGATTTGCAACATCCACCACCGAAACGAACCTATTATCAGCCACCATGTTCATCATTTCAATGGCTATTGCCCACTCATTTACCATCATCGATAACAGCTGGTACTTTCATGGATCCACAACAACTATTCCTTACAACTCATAGTCTCTTTTTATTTCCTTCTTTAGCTCAATCATCAGCTGATTTATCTACCATTATCACACCAAAACCGATGTGTAATTCGTCGTTTACCATTGATTCAATATTATCATCACCAACTTGACTGATATCTGTTATCAGAGGTTTAACAAATTCTTGCAAATTATTTTTTTGCACATTTTTAATGCAGCTTTATAATTCTGATAGATGGTAATCTTTTTTGTAAAATTTACTTCGTAGGACTTTGTAAGGACAGAAATTATTGAAAAAGTTCTTATTAAATTTTTTCTCATTATTAACTTAAATTTTTTTTAAAATTAGTATTACACCTTATTATTCAAATACATGTAGGAGAAGTTATTTTCAGCAGTTCATTTATAAAGTACCATTGCAAAAAAGATTATTTTCATCATCCATAGCGATGCAATAATTCACAGTATTCTTTATTCTTATCGAATTATTCGAACGTCCACTACCATTTACTTGTTGCTGTTACGGTGACAAAGCTTGTTTTCGATTCTTACAATTATTCAATATTCGGTAGTGAATTTCAATATTATTAGCAAATGACTTCGCTTAACAATGAATTTAAATTCAAGTTTGAATTTAAATTTCAAACAAATGGTTTTTCATAATTATTTATTGGAAGCGTTAAAATTATAATTTATTTCACTTGTTCTGTAAATTTCAATTCTTATGAAAATCCATTTAGCTATCACTGGAAAAAAGCTGCAAATCAAAGGTGCTACATTTTGAATTTCAAATTTTATCCAATTAAACTAAATGGTCAGTAAGAGATAATTGTAAATTAAAATGATACTAAAATGTCATTTTTCCTGTTCTTCTATCTGTTTCATCCTGTAAATTTATTTATTCAAGAAATGAGAAAATCATGCACTTTTTTCAAAACTTTCATTTCTTAATGAGCAAAGATAACTGAAAAGCTCGAAAGTCCAAAAGTATCGGAAGACCTTAAATGAAATTCTCAAATTAAAGATGAATTAATCATATCTTCTAATTAAATATTATTATCTTGCAAATATTATAATCGTGGTTGTTAGAATTCTCTAAGTATTATTCTACAGTTTCATCCTATTTCAATTGTCACATATTTTTGCTCTCATATTCTATGAAAGATTTTGTTGTAAAAGTTATTAATTAAAGTGATGAATAATGCATAATGTATAATTTGATGTCTTGCCTTATTATAATTATAATGAATGAATAAAATGAATTTGATCGGTGATCTTCCGATAGATGACATTACTTCATTTATTGCAATTGCCAATATTGCTTATTATTACAATTGCAACAGATGTTTCAGCTTGTTCTTATCCTATCACTGCTTCCTTATGTTATTCCTTTGGGGAATCATTGCCAAATTATATTTTCAAAAGATCAATGGATCGATCATAACTAATTGTTAACTCAATAAGTAAAGAAAATCTGATCAAAGAATATTATAATTTTGGTGAAGTTTTTTCTCTTTTTTGAGGAAAATAATTAATAAGATTTATTGACAAATCTTTTTTTCAAATTAAATATCTTTTAGTTTCAAAATTTTATATTTTAATGTAAACACTCAAAATTATTCGCTTTTTGAAATTAAATATTTTTAATATTTAATTTTTAATTTCTTAAAAATTTCTTGGAATCGTATATATTTTATGATGATGATAGTTATAGTAACAATGATAATTATAACAGATTATAATTGTTATTACTATCATCATTACCATAACCATCGACAAAGATATCTGTCTCTCTTTGTATTCTTAAAATCAAAAAAAGCGTTTTTTTGGGGTGATTTTTAAAGTGGCAACCATGAAACAAAAGTACAAACCATCGTCACTAACCATCGTCACCACGATTAAAATGTCCCTTGTTTCCACTGTTGTCATTATCATCAACGATCATCACACTACCATTTTATGGTTTTTGTCAATTGGCCATTCGGTTGATGATTTTGTCACATCTCATCTGATGGGTTTTCATTTTGCGGTAAAGGTGCCAAAAATGGTACATAATTGTGTGAATTAAATATCAGGCAACAACAATGATCCAATATTACATCCTTTTTTAAATTTCATCAATAATAAAATAAATATTATAAATCACTAATATCATATAGTTGGCAATGATTGAATGTTTTGAATGAATTTATTTCATCAGAAATAAATCACAATTTCAACAATTGGTACATTTAAAAAAATAAAATTAATTCTATAAAATAAATAAGAAGCAATTATTTTGTAGAATTTCATCTAAGACATTCTTCTTGAATGATTTATGGAAGAGAGAAGAAATGAATAAAGGATCGATTATATGAGAAAGCTAATTTGAATGTTATCATCATTAGCGAGAGCAGAAATATTTGATAGAATTGGAGGTATATTACTTACTTGAAATATTTAGATGCTTATTTTGGGTTGATTGGCTTCCTGCTTTATAACGATCTATGCAGAAATACCCACGGGAAATCATGGCACTATCTGGAAATTATTTGTTTTCAGACGATTTCATTCTTTCATCCTTCTTGTCCTAATCTATCTGTGCTAATGAAAATTGATGTATTGAAGAGCGTTGATCCTTCCAAGTAATTCTACCCATTTCACCATCCTTTTCCATTTTAAACTCTAAAATAAAAACTAAATGGATAATTTCATTCAATATTATAAATAACAACAATACATAAATAACATTTACAACGATCAATCTTGGTATCACATTATTTCCCTATTATTCATATTATTTTCGCATTCGATAAAGTATCTTGTGGAAGTGGCACTAATTTGGTTATTAAATTTCTGAGAAGTATCATCAGAGAAGAATGTATTAAATTCAAGAACATAAAAATAAATCAGATTGATATTGCAAAGTGTTTTGTTGAAATAATTGGAATTTTTCAAACAGTGTTCAACTTATGAAATCCTAGCTAGTTCAAATTAGAAAAACTAAATTAAAATGGAATTTCTGACCGGTTTAGTAAATTATTCATATCAATCCAGTATACATCTTTCAGGTTCTATCATAAATGAATGTTAGAAGTAGTAAAAATAGTATATAACGTTAACATTTCTCTCCAGTCTCTATTTTCATCTTATCACTTCTCTTTTGATAATTTTTTGGATTTGTTCTCAGTGAAACAGAAAGATGCTGGTAAGATTTGAAAATTAATGTCAAGGACATGAGAATCGTATATTTAAACAAAGATTTTTTTTGAGAAATACATTTTTTGTTGATTGTTTGATGGAAAACAAATGCTAAAATATGTACTTTTTTCCTTCTTACCTTTTCACACCTGTCAATATTCTTTTCACTGTCTCTAACTAAAAAGTTGAAGAAAATAGCGTATAAATGCGGTATGCTTTCAATATATAATATAAAATAAATTTTTTAAGACTGAAATGAAAGAAAAAGAATAACTAATAGATAGGTGTTTACCTATCTCTAAATTATGGTTTTAAGATTCGATAAGTTCAAATGATTTACCTCTTTCAATGGGAAAAATTAAATTATTCAAAAAATAAAGCTTAGTGTAAGCAACTTAGAGATAACAATGAGTCTTTAAAAAATATTAGTTATAGAATATTCTTTTATAATTTATTTAACTAACATTGATTGGTATAATCTTTCAGTTATACTTATCTCATCAGAATTATTATGATTAATTCAAATGTAAAATGACTAATTTAACTTTTCTCCTATTTGTCATTTCTTGCACTGAAGATTTCAAGAAAAATGAAATTTTCCATATATATATAAAAGATTTGTAGAAGTATTAGAAAGAAGCATTAATATCGGTTATGAGTAACTTTGAATAAAAGAATGATCGATTCCGGTTAAAAAAAGAATAACGATTTAATAATCATTTTGATGATAATTTATTCAACTTAAAAGGTTATCATCATTATTTGTTGCAAAGACTATATGAAAGTGAAGTCTTTTAAGGTAAGATAAGTTTTAATTTTGTTATTATTTAAAAATGATGTGTTATCATTTAAAATCAAAAATAATAGTTGAATTCAATCAAAAATAATAATTGATCCTCGAAAACATACAAAGAGGTTTGTGAATTAAAGATCGAAGTAAAATCATGGTATGATAATGATATGAAATTTGTTGTAGTTAAATGAAATACAAACACAGATATCTCATTTAATTCAACGTGCGTCTTATCTCTATTGCTTTATATTTTGATTTAAACTAAACTTTGTAAAAAGTAACTGTAAAAAATGAATTTGTCAGTTCTGATTTTAATCGAGCAATATAATACAAAAAAAATTACATTTTCCTGAACAAGAAATATAAATGACAGTATTGCCGTGTTATTCAGTAAATGTTAATTGCATTATGGATACATCGACATATCATTGTCCATTTAAATCATACTTTTAAAATTTTTAATTACGAATTGGTTAAATGTATGTATCAGATAAAGTTAGTTGACTTCTTTTATGCTCTCTTCAAATTATTCCCAACTTATTCATTATCAAACTTTAATTTTACATTGTTATTACAAAATATCGTTTATAACAAACGATATGAACAATTAATGGAAAGAATGTTAGGAAATGCAATTAACATTTACTGAAATGTTATTTATTTCTTGCCCAGAAAAATGTAATTTTTCTTTTTCTATTATATTGCTCGATTAAAATCAGAAATGACAAATTTACTAATGTTACTATATCAATACTTAAAAAAGGATATCAAACTTTTGTTCGATATGTTTCCTTCATCGGATCATTTCAATTAATTATTGCTAATTAGTTTGAAAAATTCCTTCATATCACCGAAAACATTCTTTAACAAAAAATGACGAAAAATGCTTTATTTGAAGAATATTCTTTTTCCATAATATTAAATAGCTCAGATTTATTCCAATAACTTATTAATTTCACATTTTAATATTAGTAATAACTCTTTTCACTATAAGCCAATTTTTCTCTTTAAATTTACTATATTTATAATTCTTGAAAGTTTCGAAAATTGTGAATGAAATAATAATTTATATGAATGGATCAGAAATGCCTTTATGAAGAATGTACAATTTCAGAATTTGATCGATGTTATTCTCTATTTGATAGCCTTCCTCATATTGCCACACACAAAATTACAATCATTTATTTATTTGATTGTAAATGACAAAGGAAGCATTACTTCCATACCTTCAAGAATTTTTGAAATTTGTATTTTATTATTCTAAATTAGCCGAATCAAATAAAACAGCAATGAGAAATAAAAATTGATAAACACAGGAAAAAAATATATAATGATCCCCCTAAATTCTTCTTATATTTTCATGCAACTAATTCACTACTGAATATTCCCTTCTTCCAGTCTCGAAATTTAGAATTATTCTTATTTAGTATTGCAAAATCAGCAAATAATGAAGCATTGTAAAGATTTTCAACAATTATTTATCTTTCATTCAGTGCTAAACTTCTTTGCTCTATCATGAAATTAAGTTCATCGTTACATGAGAGATGTACTAATGGAACTTCTTAAATTTCGACTACAGAATTTGCATTTTGCTTCATTAGCAATAAATTTCATGAAGATTACAATGAATCATTGGATATTCGCATTAACAATTTATATGTCCATCCTTTTAGATACTGAAAAGTTCACAAAATCTGATGCTTGCAAAACGATATGTTTTGACATTAGTTGTTTGAAATTATGAATTATCGTGATTTTAAAAATGATTATTATGAATGTGAAAAGTTCGCATTCGATGAAATCTTACTAAACCCATAAAGAATATATAATAATTGATCGAATTTTCAACCATTTGCAATTAATCTAACCAAATTCTTTGCAAGAAAAACGAGTCATCCTAAATTCTCTATTTGTTCAAATTAAATTTTTTTTTGTTTGGAAAGTTTTTATTTCGAATTGAAATAGTGCAAGAATTTATTTAAATAAACTTCCGAGAGTCGGAAAACAAATAGAAATGGGCGAAGTGGATGATATCCCCGAGGTGACAACTGAAAAGAAATGATGTCGCTCTTCTACTCGAATAGACAGTCGACTTGATTTTCCCTTAATACATTTTTCTTCTCAATCTATCTTTTTTCCAAATAAAAGTTTTTTAAAAAAAGAGCAAATATGCAAACATGCACGCAACATACTGAGGAAGAAATGAAGTACAACTGCAAGTACTAACGAACGCGGAAGCTTAAACTTTCCAATAAAATCATGTCTCTTTTCCATCCGCATAGTAGTACATCATGCACCTTTTCAAATGTTTAAGTGAGTTCTCATTTTTCAAATTCTGCTAAAAAATTAAAATGACGAAGCATAAATTGCTACTTCCTTATCTGGAAGTACAGTGTCTACCTGCAATACTGCACTTTCAAACATGGAAGTCAAATTCTTGATTAAAAAATTATTTCATTCTTTTAATTTCCAAGAATTTGTCCTCCATTTCATTCCCTCACCTTACTTTCTCCACTGTAAATTCTGTGTCTCATTTTTGAGGATTTAGAAAACATGAAAACTTAAAATCCATTAAAAAAGTCACACCAATTGTCCTGAGTGCACTAACACACACTGAATGATAACAAGTAGTTCAAATCGCTGAAGATGTTGCAGGTTATGCAGGAAAACGGCTGGATCCTGGGTTTATTACATTGCTTAGAACTGCGTTAGGACCACTGCTAATATACTTTAATTAAACGGACTTTTCATTTCCATAAAAGAAAACTCGTGAATTTGATACGATGCAGCGGAATTTTACAGTCTCGAGAGATATGAAGCGAGGATTTACATTTTTCTGCATGTTATCATGAATCCATCAGGAATGTCGGACAATTATTCAAATAGAAGTAATGTACTTCGGACAATATGTTGTAGTAATTAGTAGATAAAATTTATTGCATTTAAAGCTACAGATAATATGTTCGACGCTGTTGATTAATAAAAAATATACATATCAACTGATATTAATGAGGACAATCAGTTCATCATATTGAATATTTTTGACCTATGAAATTTTTGGAAACACAAAACTCTTTTATTATTGCACTTCAGTATCACCATTAGGTCAAATGAGTAGTGATGGATAAACAGAAAAAAGTAAGCAAATCACATGAATTTTACAGTGGAACATCTAAAACTTGGAAACAAATCAGATAATGGAATGTCTTTTTGGATTTTAACATGGCTTTAACAGCATGTTATCTTGTCACATCATAAAGAAAAATATGAAAGAACCATTTCGTGAAATGGTGATGATGAATTCAGGAGGTATAGCACTCAGCCAATAAACAATACCTCGGCACTGTATGAATCAAGCAGAAGTAGCGTTCATTAGCTAATTGCTTAACCACCACAAAAATTAACGGTAGAGAGAAAAGTGGAAAATAGGCAGGTGAAGCGTATCCAGCAATTTTCGATTTCTGAAACCAGTGAAGTAAAGGCAAAGAATACTACCGAAAAGCGATCTGAAAAATCTTCAGTTTAACTGGTGATAAAAAATATTCCAAGATCTTTAATAACTAAGAATGAATGGTATTGGGAATTCGGACGTGGTATTAATAACACTGCTAAAAAATAAAGAAATTTTATATATCACTGATAATATACAGCCGTTCAAAATCCTAAACTAAATTTTAAGCTACGGAACATGCTCAAATTATTATCAGCAACAAAGCGGTATAAACCAAAGGCAAAATTCCCAAAAGTTTATTTAAAAACTCTAGAAAAAAAACCCTTTCAGACATTTCCCAAGACACCCTACATATTTTCTATGAATTTCCGTTCTAAAACTGTAAAATTGACTTTTTAATCTCAAACCTATTTCAGATTTATAAACAGTGCCTTGCGTATTGGACACTTTCTGTATGAAAATAGCAGAAAAATTCACTTTAAGATCATAGCTGCATATCCAAAACTTATAGAAAAATCAGATGAGCGTAGGGGACATTCTAGATAATTTAGGATTGTGAAAATGTAACATTATTGAAGTCCTAGAAATTTATTTAATATTTCCCAACATATACACATATATATGACAAGGTATAATTTTAAAGTTTTAACATGCTTTTTACCTTTGAAGAGTTACTGACAAGATCGTGGCAATTTATGATAAAATTAGTTTTGAATTTGTGGTGGTCGAGTTGCCTTGGAATGTTTATCCAGTAAATCACTAATTAATTTCTTTGAATTGAATTAACCAAATGAGCGTTCCAGTGAGTAACGCTTGATATTAAAAATTTCAAATATGGAATGTGTCCAGATTTCATCCGTTAATGACGATCATTTAAGTATTAATTAAAGCAAACTTTGAATTTCTTCTCACATCAATATACCAACACTGCCTGCAACGTCTGTCCAAGCTTTACCTCTTTATTTGAATCGTGAACTATCAGCTGCATTATATATATATCATATTTTAGGAGATAAACATTCACTCATGCCAGAATGAATAAACAAAACAGCATTTCGGGAGCACTGTGATGATAAGAGCAATGGAACTCATTCATCGAGAACATTCATCGATATACATTCCCCTGGCGAAGATTCTCTGGCAAAGAATGTAAAATTTAAAAATTACAAAATTACAAAAAAAAAGTAATAAAACACGTGAGATCTATTTCTCACCATGGATTGTTAAATATCTCTGAATCTTTGCACAAACTAAGCAGAGATAGTTTAATTAAGGGAGTATCAGTAATGATAATAATAATAAAAACTTCTAATCACTACTAACCAATTAACTACCCTAATTCTTCGATAAAAACTGTCACATTCATGAAGTAATAGTGATAATATGCACTTCAAAAGAACTATAAAAATAATATTTTGCAACTATTCGAAAACTCAAAAAATCCCTATTTAATCAGAAGATCAATGCATGTGCAGTGAGTTAGTATATGTTTAATTAGAGGATATATGTGTAATGTTCAATTAAAGCTATCAGAGTAAAAATCTTACCATAATTCGCATTTGATCTTTCTACCAGTCATTATATTAATTATTACAGCACGGAAATGGAATGTGTACTTCTTTTTCCCGAAAAATCCAAACTTCTCTCACTTAACTAACTTCAATTGAATTTGCTCCTTCGCTATGAAAAATGGAGGAATTCCGGCGATGAATTCATTGCGATAATTTGTTTTTCATTTAAGAAAATGATGTTTTCACGTAAGAGAATTCAAAAGAACGAGAAATGCACCATGTCAAGAGTCGATGTTGCGAGAAGTGATTTACATTTCAATGGCGTGAAGTAAATAACTGGGAATAGAAGCCTATAGTTAGGCAGGTCCAATATTCCAACATTATCTCCTATAACATAAATTTCGGGGATATTCGTAAAACTCAATTGGTAACAGCTACACATTACTTTCCACTTTAGAGAGTCAAATAAAGCTTTTACTCTTCTATTTTGGCAACGAAAGACTGGAATTCCCTTGGCCACAATGATTCTATACTATGTCCAAATAAATGGCAACATCTGGACCGAAAACGAGTTATATTCTGGAAGATAATAAAGATAATAAAGTATCATCACTGACAAAGAGTTCGCTGAATGCAAAAGATTCAAAGGTCAGTAGGCAGTGTAATGAACGGAATTGCTGTTGGGATGAGAATGATAGAGTGACGGAAGGGTGAAGATCGAGCGATGATCAACGTAGACTCAATGATTGACAACAGTGCACTTAAAGAAGAGAAATGAATCGTCGTCATCAAGCAGAGCGAGACAAACAGATAAACGGAGCAGTATGCCCTCTCTGGAGGACACCGAACATTGAGGATAGTGACACCTACACGAAAGCGCTACGTGCATCGTGAACAGCGCCCATTGTGCCGCGTCTTTCTTCCAAATTAATCAGCGTGCGTTTGCATATGTAATTCTCTACAGTTACACTTCCTGTTTTGGATGTACCTGCAGAACTGTATATCTCCCTCTCTTTTACTATACGTATTCTGTAATCTGCCACTCTAACCGAATCTCATATGCTTTCGAACTCCCTATTAGTTTATTCCTCATTTCACTCCTCAAAAGTGCATCATCCATCAGAATGCAGTTAATCATGTATTTGTGTGTGTGTGTGTGTATGTGTGTGCAGACAGATAAGATGGAAGTTATTTGATGGATCAAAGATAGGGAAAGTATTGGGAGAAAATTCGGGAAATCTGGAAGGAATAGAGATAGGAATTGACATACATACATAACAGTGAATATACATCACACGAAAGAGATGTCTGCATTCTGCATGATTCCTAGGAATTGTAAGTGCGACAAATGGCATCAATCGATCTAACGGAGCTGCTTTCTTGAATGTACTCTTAGAGAGCAGACGGAAGAGAAGAAAGGTATGATCAATTTTAGCTGATTTGAGAAGTAAAGTGCTGAAGACATCAAAGATTGCTTGCACACAATGTACAAATCACACATCACATTACTCATCTTTTCTTTTTCTTATTCCTTCATTATCTTGAAGTATCTATCATTTTAGAAGTATCTCTTCTAAGGTCATTTTATCAGGAGTGAGAAGAAGATATATATGTATCTATCACTTCAGAATTATCTCTTCTAAGGTCATTTTATCAAGAATGGAAGAAGATATGTATCTATCACTTCAGAATTATCTCTTCTAAGGTCATTTTATCAAGAATGGAAGAAGATATGTATGTATCTATCACTTCAGAATTATCTCTTCTAAGGTCATTTTATCAAGAATGGAAGAAGATATGTATGCATCTATTACTTTAGAATTATCTCTTCTAAGGTCATTTTATCAAGAATGGAAGAAGATATGTATGTATCTATCACTTTAGAATTATCTCTTCTAAGGTCATTTTATCAAGAATAAGAAGATATGTATATATCTATCGTTTGATCTCTTGAATTCATCAATGTTCTAATTTTTTTTCTATCATTTCCTTTAATATCAGTGAAAATTAACACTTCTATTCACTCACATCTAATCGGACATCAATCAATACTCTCCATATCTCACTAATTGATTGAACAACAACTTGCAAGGAAGATATAGTTAAAATTGATCGAATTCGTATTTCTTCTGTTCAAATCACCAAAACTTTTGAAAATGATGTCATCTGATATTTGTTTTGTTATCTGAAGAGGAGGACACTCAATTTTATCCTCGAATTATATCTGGTTTTTCACGAATTCATTTCATTACATTTTCATTTAATTCCTTTGATAATATATCTTCAAGATACTGAAACATTTCTTAACATATAAAAACAAAGTGTCATAGTTTAGCAGGTAGTAATTAAATTACTGGCTAAATTACCATCAATTTTGTATCTCTCCCTGGGAGCAAATACACATTTAGTACTTTCTTACTCTCAGTTAATTCGAGCATTTCAATATCAAAACTTATTATAATTCTGCAACTAAACAGAAAGCCCAATTTTTTTAAATTTTCCATTTCAAATTAAAATAATAAATTTTAAGGAATATGTCCAGTTGAAAGAGACATGTTAATGATAAATGGAAAGTGAAACTGAGAGGAAGCTTTCTTAAAGGTAACAAGCAATTTTGAATATTTTAAATACAGAAAGTATTTATAGGTAAGAGAATATTTATTGGTTCCTCTCTTGAAGTGAAATATTTTCGCAAATGTTATAAACGCCTGTTATGATATAATAACAAAAAGAAATTGAGCTGAAATTTGAAAATTATACTGAAACATAAAATTTTATCAAACTGAAAGTACGGTAGGAAATATTGGATAAAGGCAAAGTTATGATAAGACAAAATAAGAATAGAAATTAAAAATCATTGAATCAGTTTGAATCTGCGATTTAAGCTGAAATTCAATATTTCATCATGATATTAGTTGAAAACATCATCAAACTGAATTGCATTCCTTTTAGCTATATGATTTTGTATTCCTTTTAGCTATATGATTCATCATCCAACAAATTCATCATTCATTATAAACTTACTCGAAAAAAATGTTAATGCAAAATGATCTATCGGAAGCAAATTTAAGATCGATATGGAAACAATAGTAAAGTGATACAGCAAGATTTATTTCATCACTTTCATTACTTTCAACTAATTACATTTCTCCGCTATACTATTACACAATTAGTAAGTTCCATAATATAAATATTATTTCGGTCGAAGTACGCTCAAATTCCAATTTTATGGTATGATGAAAAACTCATTTGGAATTTAAAGTGTCTTAATTCAAAAACCATTCTATAAGGTTTCACTGACAATTTTTATCCGTTGGCTGATAAAAAAATATCTGGCTGATTTATCATCTTGGATCTGTTTCATCTTTTTACAAATAAACATAATAATAATGAGGGAATTAGATTAAGCTTGCACAATTCTAATTGGATTCTTAATTATTCAAAATAACGTGAAATGATATTAACATCAACAGCAATCATCGCTTCAATAATTCATTCATTGGATGCAGTAACTAATTATATCAACTTCTATTACTTTTTCCCGTATTGTCGCAGTTACTTCAAATCAGAAAGAAAAAGTGCGAAATGGAAATTTATATCTTTGAATTATCATTGAAATACAGACAGCCAATTTTTATAAGTCCTCAATTAATAAATGACTGTATTTTTCTATTCTGCAACTAATTATAAATTTTAATAGTAAATTTAACCATGTCACACACTTCTGCAAATGTTTTAATATCAAGAAGTTTTCATCTGACGTTCCTTGCATATAAAGATCTTACTAATCTCATTGTTGACAGTATTGTCATTGAAGCATCAAAAGATATGGCATTTTAAACGCTTCAGCATTTACGATTTCTATATTCATTTGTTCAAGAAATTGAAAAACCGGAATTGGGAAATTGCTATTGACGATTGACGATCGTCATCCGAAATATCCATTTTGAGCAAAATAAAGGACCGATAATTTCGTTTGAAAATTACGTGTCAAGTTATAAATACATAAAGCGAACAAATTTAAATCGCTCATCTTCATCGTTTTTTTATGACAATAAGCTGACAATAATTGAACTTTGGCGACAACTACCTTTAATTTCATCTTATAAAACATTCAAAGTATACGATGTAGTGGAAATTCCGTTCCTCTATATTATATAAACTTCCCAAATTTGTATACAGGTTCATATATCCTATCACTCTATCTTTCCATTTTTTCTGCAACGATGCTATTTGTGGTCAATCTGTTCCTTCGAAAGCAATACTAAGCATTTCGTTCTTTTACACAAATTTATTTAAGGTTAATTTAGACTTAACAAAGTCATTATGTTTTTACTTCAAAGTGGAGAACATATCTTAGTGTTGGTTAACAAAAGCTAAAATTATTTAGCATATTTTGAAGGTTTGATTTATCAAATAAATTCTTTATTGACTTTTAATTTTCATTCACTCTTTTCTTTATTATTTGTTTAGAACTCTTTATGAAGTTTCAACTCTTTTTTTATAAATCTGTCTGTTTTGAGTTGATTGTTTATAAACTTTCAATTCGTATTCTTCTAATTTATAATATTCATCAAATCAACCTGTATAAATTAACAAATTCGATTGTCAGTTTAGATCGACCTATAATTCAATCTACGCCTTCTTTACGTTACAAGATGAAATATTAACGTGAGACACTGCTGATTTGAAATAAATCGTCTATATCTTTATCTTAATTTCATGAATTTGGAATGTCCTTTTTTACAAATATTGAAGGTTGAAACTTTTGAACTTGTTTGTTGTCGTTAATTTGCATATTTTTCATAACTTGCTTGCGTAATAGCAGGGTAAAATATTTGAAATAATTTTCAATATTTAATTATAGCTCTTGTCTTTTTTGAATTCAAGTGCAGAAGTGTCAAAGGTCATCAGTAAGTATTTTATACAAAATGAAGTCATAGCTTATTGTCATTAGTGTATCAATCTCAAAATGATACAATATGGGAGCATAAATTTTCTTCTACATATATTTTTACTGTTGAAATAAATTCAAGCTAAGTGACTTTAATTAAGTGCCAACCAATAAAGAGAAATGTAAAAAGTGTCATAAATGTCAAGGAATAAAACAAAACATTTAATTGTTCATTTTCTTTACTTTTTAGAAGCGAAAATTTCTACAGAAATTATATTTTAAAATTCTATTAAAAAAAATTAGCCCACATTAAATAATTTAACGAAAAATTAATTTTATTTCATACTTTCCGTTTTTGTATGCTTTTGCATAAATAAATAGTTTTTCAATATATATTGGAAATTAAGTAAATTTTTGAGACAATGCAAAAAATGATGATATCAATTCAATTCATCAATTTGTTTGGTAGCAAACAATACAATCAGGCATGGTACGATAAAAAGTTAAAGAGTTTTATACACTCGAAATGTTAACAACTCTGTCATATTTTAGGATATCTAAAGGTTGCAGCATTAGCAGATATACCACCGCGGTAGATCGGGCCATACTGGTTGATTTCTGGGACTTTTTGAATGAATTGATAAATAAATTTTCTTATCATTTTTGAATAATTTTCATACTTTTATTTAATCATTTTTAAATATTTTTATTCAATTTTATAAAAATTATAGCTAATTTATTGCAAACTTTGAACAGAAAGAAAAAATTTCATAAATTAAATTTTTGGCTTTTTCATTTCAAAAATAATTTTATGTATTATTAAAGTAAAAATAAAATCTATTGCTAAAACAAATGATTTCAGTTTTTTCTTGATGTAATCATAATTTTAAGTGAAGAAAACTTTTTGAAAGCAGCTGTCACTTAAAGTGCTTCCACCTCAGCTAAGCTTTAACTTCTTTTTTTTTACTGTACAAGTATATACGTATCTCTCTGTTTAACAACTGATCGAAGCATACTCAAACATTTTACTAGCATTTCATTTTCAATTCTGTTTTTCTACTTAAATTTCAAATTTATGCGAAGTGTAATTGTTTTTCAGATTACTCTGACAAAGTGCAAGCCTACCTTTGATAATTTATAAGTTTCACTTTAAATTGAACTTCAATTTTTTAAACTTAAAAAATATATAAAAGAAAGCGGAAATAGATTGAAATATTTTTTTAAGTTTGCACTTTCAAGTCTGCTTTTCCTTCTCATCTAATTTGTGGAACAGTTTTTGAATAATTGTTCTCACAAAATAAATAAGTATAAAAAAAGGTATGTTTACTTTATCATTTCAGGTTTATTTCATTATACATTTAATCAAATAACTGATTTAATCATATTCTATTTCATTATTTCAATCGATTACTTTATTCTTTCAAATGATTCACTGATTAATTCACTTCTCTACCTGTTGCTTCGATTTAATCTAACTTCATTTATATGCAAATTTCAAAAGTAGATAAGCACCGATTTTGATTAAAAGACTTATCAGATTCTAAACTAAAATGATATTAGAATCTGATTGATTACTAGATATCTGTTTTTCTGTCTTTTAAAAATTTTAAATTTTCATTGCACATTTACTCCCACCACATTATTGCTGCTTTACTACTTGAAATTCTAAATCAATGGAATCAAAAAAGCTCAAAATTTTGTTTTTATAAAATTTCAATAAATCAAAAGATGCATTAATGACTTCTCTTATAGCATTATTTTTGCAGTGAATTTTGTTTTGTAAATGTTTGATATATAATTTACCAATGAAATGTGTTCCTATCTATCTTTTATTACTTTATTTTCTTCCTGACAAATAATCTGGCAAGAACCTTTTTTCTGTTACTTTTAACTTTTTAAATTGGATTTATTATAAAAGTAATTCAAAAGATTTTGCAAATCATTTTAATTTAAAAACAAATTGCTACGAAAGTGAAATAATTTAGTAAATTAATAGAAATATTTTGATATAAATCTCGCAAAATTACGTTTTGTTTTGTCAAAAAGAAAATTTCAATTCAACTTCAAGTTTATGGAGAGAATTTCAATCTTAATTTTAGATCATAAATTCATCTAATGAACGCCTTCATGTTCTTCAAAGGAATTGATGTAATTAATGCCGTAAATTTGATTGAATAGACATCATAATAAGCTAATGAAAACGAATGATTCAAATTCATCTGTAATCTTTTATTCATTCGTCGATTGATTCTTCATCGATCGATCATTGAGAGCATAAAGAAATACTTAAAAACTTTCCAATTAAATTATTCTTTCAGATATAATTTCATGGATTCAATCAAAAAAGGATAAACTTCTCTATGATTCCTACAATCAACGACAGGTTAATCACTAAAGGTCGAATAAGACGATGTATTGAAATAAGTCACAGAAAGAAAACATTTCACAAAGTTAGTTCTATTAACAGCAAGAATATTGTAGTTAAACTAACCAATCAAAGCATATCATTATCTTAATTTAACAACAGGGACAAATGTCAAGGGTTAAAAGCATGGTTTAGTTAGAATTATAATTGTAAATGTTTATAAATTTTGCATAATAAATTCGGAATTATTTCTTTTATTGAATTTGCCAAAATTAGTGAGATCATTTTTATTTCAATAATTGCTTACCTTTTTGAGTTTGAAAGATATAAATACTGAGAAGCGTAAACATGGCATATGATATTTTTAAATCGAATCAATTATCATCAAATAGTAATTCAAATTGATGAAGAGTACCTCTTTGGCTGTAAACAACAATTCTTTACACTCAAAACATTTGTATCCGTTGTTAAAACTGCGTAAAATCAAAAGCAAAAAATAGACGAGTTCGAAACTGAGACCTAAGGAAAAATTATTTTCAATAGTATTGTGAATAATTTCAGACAACCTTTTTTCTTTGTATAACTTTTTAATCTTCGAAAAACAATAAATTATAGAACAGCAGTGTTTCTTATCAAAATTTAACATTTGGGAAAGAAAATTATTATGATGAGATATATCCAATTCATTTCAAATATTCCTTTTTTTCAGAAATCGTATGCTATTTCGTATTGTTCAATTTGTTGAAAAAAGACTGAATGTATGAAGTTGGAATTTAATTTTAGGATAAGTTGATGAATCAAAAGAAGAAGTAATCTATATTGTATTGCTATTTCTCTTATTTTTCTGACTACTTATGCAAAAATTTTTAGTGGCAAAAACTTGTGCACAGATGAGAATGAAAGAAAATGATCTCAAACAATTAATGACAATATCATCTTTACCAGTTGTCGCAAAAGGTAAACAATATCGTTTAGAAGTTTAGAAGTATTGCTTTTTTTCTAACGATTACAGCTAACAAGTTCGAGGAAAATATGATTTAAAAAATTACTAAATTTATCATTCGTAAAAAAAATTTACTAATATTGCAGGATTTTTTTTAATCAAAAATTTCATTCGTTGTTATTCTTTAATTTTTATTATTATTCTTTTTAATATTTTTATAAATGAATGATTAATTAATATCTAAAACGTCTGAAACACAATTTTCTCTATAATAGTAACTCAGGTTATTTCTTTTCTATGTACCATCTTAATTTTTGAAATCGTTTGACTTGTAATTCTATCGATATTTGCAGAACTTTCCAAATCAATGGAACTAAACGTCGCACAGGTGTGGCCATGTCGATTTTGCGGTGTAATACTTGGTACTTGTCATTTACCACTCGGCATTGTATTACTTATATTTGATGTTGTTACCAACAGCATCTCAGAAACAGCGTTTGCTATAACAGCATCACTATCATTTATCGTTTGTGGAATTTTCTCATTCATTTCGGCAAGGTTAAATTTCTCTCTCTCTCTCTCTATCTATCTATCTAATAGAAAAAGACAATATGAATATTAAAGAATTATGCCAGGATTGACATAACACAAATTGATCAGATCTCCAGACACTCAATCAAATTCAACTCTAATTCATCAGACCAAATCAAAAAATACGACTGAAATACGATTAACAAAAACAGTTTCAGAAGGTTAGATAAACCAGCACAATGGTTACTGCTGTTTTTTTCAATATTTTCTATGGCAATGAGCATAACAATGTCTATGGATAGCGCTGCTTTAATAAATTACAACTGTGATCGAGAGGAGTGCCATGGAACACCAAATAACATCCATGCTGTTCTACTCTGCTTCGGTCTGGTTGAATGTTAGTTAAATATTTTTATGAATTAGCAGTTAAGAAAATTCAATCCTAAATGATCAAAACTTGACTTGAACTTCTTTCACTTTCCTATCACAACATTTTTTGTCATTGTAAGGTAATTGTTTATTTTGAATAGCATTTTATTATTTCGCTCGCTTGTTCTAACTGCATAAAAGACTTATAAATTTTGATCAGTACCTTTACGTTAGTTAATATTAGTGAAGCTTGCAAAAAAGACGTTTATAACACTTTCTTTTTATTCTTTAAAGACTGTGATGTAAAATACGACATAATTTTGCACTTATATTAATTAAAAAGCAATCACATAATAATAGTCATTTGACGTATATATAACACAGTTGCGCACGAGTGTGTCAGGATAGAAACATTCCCACTAATGACAAATCCGGTTATTATTACAGTTATGGATGAGTGGAAGTTATTAAAATGTCATGACGTTTATAATTGAAAATCGCATTTAATTAAATTGCAATAGGATTTATGATGGTTCAAGAAAAAAATCCAAGTTGATGCCTAACAATAAATGTATCGAATTTCGGACTTTTCAAATATTAAAAAAAATCGAATTTCAGTTACGGTAAGTTTTGCAACAATAATTGTTTGTTTTCGATCATTGAGACAAGCTTATCGAGTAAGAAAAGCAAGCTCGCCGTATAGTACACTGATCGAAGGGCATTATGATGCTTTTTATATTACGCCAAGGTTTTTCCACATTATTTTTTTGCAAACAGTTATTAACAGAACAGGAAAGCAAAATCATTGCTTTTAATAAAATGCTTATTTCTTATTGTCAGAGAATATAATTTGAGGATCAGAGAATAACATGTTTAATCTGAAGACATTGCCGGTTTGATAAGATATCTTCATTCTTGAGAGCTAAATATATCGGGAATAGAAAGAAAAATATTTGCTCTTTTGCAGGATAATAACTGTCCACAATAAGAACACGAAATGCCGAACTATGCCTTCATGTGACCAAAAGCTTTGATAATAATGTTTTACTTTGCTATAAATAATTTTCCATCTCAATAAATTAAAACGCATTGCACAAAATTCTTTATAACATCTTCCACCTGATGGAAATGATTTAAATCGGCCGATGTTCTGGTGGGTGCCCATTCTAGTACAGCTTACTAAGCAGATCGATATTGGATACAATTTGGTAGCTAAGACACGGATTTCTTCGAATTTGTTCGCAGTCATAATGTAGTCATAATGCTTCGAGTTTATTTTCAAACAAATAATTCATTTGAATAGCAACGTAACCAACCTTCAAAAATCAGCATTTCTTGGCATTCCTCCAAATAGTCCATTTAACTTCCTTGGAATAAACCCTAATATGATAAAAAATATAATTTATCACACCAACCAGTACTATTCCTCTTCAGATTATAGTTGATATTGTTGATTGCATCTATTTTAAAGCAATCTATTCTTCATAATGCGAGAAAAAAATTGCGCTCACAGAATTGAGGTTTTTGCGTCGTGAAAATTTTTTGAAGTACATGCTAATAGCTGCAAACCGATAGCAGAAACTAATCTGACATCAGGTATACTAATTGTTATCGAAAGTTTAAAAAACGAAACTCATAAAATTAAAGAATAACAAATGAATATAACGATGAAACCTACTGCACGATGCAGTATCATTTAACCAGACAAATTGCACCTTCGACTCTGAAAAGAGCAGCCTTGGAGTTCATCAAATTTACTGGTAATTTTATCATCAATAAAAATGATAAATTCAATTGGAAGTACTCTTTTAAAACCGTTAACACATCACCAATTTACGATAAATATGAAAGAAACGAAATAAGTTTCGTAAATCGACAACGTGAGTTGCATAATGGTATTGAATAACCGAGCTGCGGCCGTATTCCTATTACTGTTATATCGGAGTTGAAAGGGTCGTTGTATTGAAGGATGAATCTCGATGAGGGAAATAGAGCATAGTGATGAATGAGTAAGGCGTCAAATTGCCCAGACCTAAAAGTGCTTCTACACAGGATAGGCCTTTCTTCAGCTAAAGGTACTGAATTAAATTGAATCTATATAAGGGAGAGTAAGAAATCACTGTTGAAAACGACATAGGTAGAGCCTTCATAATTCAGTTGAGAACGGTTCAACAATGATAGGTCGATGAATGATATTTGGCACGGAGAGACAGAGAGCTTCATTCATTTGGCATTACACCTAGAGTTATTAAAGGAAATTAGCGTAACAAGATTAACTCTAAACGTTTTTCAAATCTTTTTAGGCTTGCTATTATTTTGTTGTGCTGCACTGTATCAGAAGTAGAAATTAATGGCTGATGAATTTAACTAGGAACAGAAAACGGAAGTAGATTCTGAGAATTGTTGAGCAATACCTCAGTTTGGTTGCACCAATTTCATTGTTTGCTCTAAATTACAGAAGTTGGCGAAGGATTTCTTTTTTGGTTTCGTAACGTATTTCCCTCTTTGGAAGTCGTTCTGTTATTGGCAAAGAAATAAATTTCAGTTGAGAGCTTTGCTGGACTTTTTCTCTACGAGGTAGAAATTTCCGACTTACCATAATATTAACGATGACTCAGCACAGAAGATCTTATCAGATTATTTTATACATCACTCTCGATGACACATCCATCATTTGATACATAAGAATCAGGTCAGTCTAAAAAACGTAGTTCAGATGGGACTTATTGATAGCATATTTACAATCTTTTAAGTGCACAAATATTGTCTTACTTGTCACGCAACATACATCACTTCGCTTGAAGTGAACTTTAGCGCTGCATATTTTGTTCTTCAAGGAACATCGTGATGGTATCCGTTGGAGATATTCGTATAGTGATTCCCATTATTTATTAGCCTATTTTACTTCAACATAAAGTGGATTGGTGACGAGCATGAAAAAATAACAAATGCTGAGTTTGAGAAGTGAATTTTTAAAGCTGCAAGCAAAATTGAGTTGCTTCAGAGTAGCCGTGCATTACATTTCATTACATGGCGTTTACTCCGGAACGCGGTGCATTAATCGTCGATTCTCAATATGAAAATGAAGATCAGCAGTTTTTGGAAGAAATACATCTATCGAAAAATAACTGTACTGGTGCGGACAATGGTTCTATTAATAGCGATCACGCTAGCAGTAATGGCTTCTACAATCGAGATTATTCACAATCCGGCAAGACATATACACGATTGCGAACAATTAAAACTGAACCAACGGATTACGATGAACAAACTTGTTCAGAAAATGGTTTTTCTGTCTTCTCATATTCAACTTTCTTTTATTAGTCAAAAGTCCAGTTTTAATTATGGAGAGCTCTTTGTAAGTAATTAATAAATTTCTTCTCCAACTATCACACCGCTCGACCACGTCTGAAGTCCTTTAGTTTCGTTACGAATCACCTATTTTTAAGATGGAGAATTAATATACCATTTCCATGTGTTCCGTTAACAGTTTGGTGCTTATGTCAGATTTTAAAGTCGAATTAAAGTTAATAAATTAGCTGTAAAGATCTCGTTGGTAGTAGTTAGTAAGTTTAAATTTGAGATGAGTAACTCGAGAGAATAGCTGCAAATTGTCAACTGCAAATTTTCCAATTATCACTGGAAGGTACAGTATATCACACTTCTGATCATTGTATTTTTCAGGTCGGTCGGCTCAAAGTTTTGGAGAAGATAATGCATCCATTAGTGAGGCAAGTCAAGTGGATTATTCCATCAGCAATCGGTATGTAGGGCATTCTCCACGAAGTGCAAGAGCAGGCTATGATGTTGTAAACTACAGTGCTGTAGAAGGTATTAATCAACTCAATCGAGTGGTACAAGAACCAGGTCCGATAGGGGAGGATGTAGAGGAAAGACAAGATAATAATGGATTGCAAGGCCGTAGCGGTGTTTCCGCCGTGTGGACGCCACCTTCATTTCGAACATATCGTAAGTATTGCAAGTTGATTTCCCTTCATACAATATTGATTTTAAGTATTTCAGTCAGCTTAAATTGAGTTGATTTGACGGGATTGTAGTTCTTTGAGAATGTCATGACAGAAATTTCAGGACCACCATGTTCTATAGATTGGCGACATCCGCGGGTGAGAGATGTCTTACGTGACTACAGGAGTCAAAAAATTAGCTCACGTGAAGGTGCTGAACTGATCACAAAAATAACAGGCAGTCCAGTATCTACTACAACAGTAAGGGTGAAGAGCCGAATGCTGGACGAATTGGTACATTTTGCATTTCATGTATATCTTAGCTACCTTTATCAAAAACATTTGTGTAAAGGAACTATAAGAATGAATTTAATTAATCTATGAAGAATAGAAGTCATCCATGATGACTTCGATTCTTAACCGATCCAATTATTAATCGATCTTAGCACACAGGAAATACTGGGAAAATATATAGCCGGTTTAAACCCACAGCAGCAGGTTTTGTCGTTAATTCTTCGTCCCACAGATATCATAGTCGTTTTCTTTCTGGGGTTACAAGTATTATGTGTCTTTAATGTTTTCAATATATATTTTTTATGGGTTCAAATTCATACATACTTAAAGTCCATATACTCTTTGAGGACTTATGTTTATTAGTTTTCAAAACTGCAGATTTTTTTTGAAATTTATGTAAAGAACAAATATGTGTAACACCATAAATTCCTCTGAAGGCTTCGCTTTTGCAAAATTTTTTCTCGTTGTATCGCAGATGAAATTACAGTTATCATTATAATTTTGATTTTTCTTGAATTTTAAAATGGATAACTTAGAGATTTGCGCAGATAAATTTAGAAAGTTTTATTTTGAATACAAGTTAAGAGGCGAAGTTTTGATCCCTCAAAATTAGGATATGGTAAGCAGATAAAAGGAAAATGTCGCAAAAATAGCAATAAACTTTTTACTTTTAATCGTGATTATAGGCATAAATTTCTCGATGTAATCAAAATAACCCATATTTTGGATGGCTGCACATCGTCGGCAGCCCAAGCTGCTTAATATCTCTTTCTGATTCGTCACATCACCGATAAAAAAGATATAAATACATTTTATGTAAAAGATTTTTTCCGTAAAAGAATAATCGAGGTCATTTATATCAGTAAGCCCATTTTCGATTTTATGCACAGGACGCACAGTGTGTGGAAAACGGTGTTGAGTCAAGATGTGGCTGTGAAGTTGGAGCCAGTGACGGTGCAGATGCAAATCAACCATTACGAGAAAATGGAAGAATCAAATTCCCGACGAACAATGTCAACAAAGCTCTAATTCCTGGCGTCAATGCTCCAATTGTGTAAGTTCCTTTTGTTTGCTAACTGTAGTATCACAGAAGGAAAGTTGCAACTGCATAAGAATTTTTCAGATGCCTTCAACTTATTTCTATAAAAATATTTTGTCTGGTATTTCAGACTAGTGCATAAGCTAGATTAGAACAAAAAATGTTGGAAAATCCCAAATATTGATGCAGTCGAAATTTATTACGATAATTATATTCTCGATATGAGAATGAATTTTCCTACCCGTATCTTCTTTTTCATGCCGTTTCAAAAATGTTTCAAAATTTACCGAATCAGATTTGGGAATGTAACACAATTGTAGATTAATGATGTATAATTGATTTACGTTAGTAATAATGCCTCAAATTAAAACCAATGTTTCAAATTAAAACTCTTTAGGGCTCCGCCTAATTCTCCATATTATCTATCTTTTTCACGCCGCTTCAAGCAAACTTCATTGACAGTACCTCTCAATCCGGATGAGGTTCGGCTCTACAGGCATGCATCTCATTCAAAATCTGGACGAACAATACATTTCAGATGTTCGCGCTGCGATACTCTACATCAAACTTACAAAAATGGTGAGCCATTTTGCTTTCATTTTCTCATTCATTTCCAAGAAAAAAATATATCGTTGATTCGAATTCTAGGTGAAATTGCACGTATAAAAATGGTAGATGGCGTTGTTGTTAGCCAACTGTATCCATTACATCATGAACGCTGTAAACCAATAAGACTAGTGGAAGCCAGAGCAAAAGAAATCGAACGACGTTGCCGAAAAGATATAATTTTAGGAATGAATCCAAAAGAAGCCTGGAAAAAGGTATATCATTTGAGCCTTTCTTGCTGTAGTCAGTTTGGAAAGATTTCCAGCTGGCGGATTATGCAAATTTGTTCGCGGCGTGCTGCATTAACTGAATAAAAAAAGAACTGATTCAACTGCACACATTTATGATTTTACCAAATATATGTATTCGAAATCGAGAGTTAATTGTAAGATCTATTCAATTTTTTAGTTTTCATAAATTTTATGAACTATAAATGTATTTTACAATGGCTGGCAGCTATGGCACCTTCTTTGGTAGAAATTATCTTTGTTAAGGGACGAAAAGCAGCCATTTCGGAAGCGACGGCAGCTGGTTTCCCTGTGTATGGTCCTGGTTCTATATTATCTGCGTTTCCGGAGTGGGATAAAGTAAAAGCACTCTTTGGTGCCTTACGCGCAAGATATATCAGAAGACAGATGCATCTCAAACAGCGTATGGGCGGCAAAAAAAGTTTCGACAATGATGAGTATGCTTATTTCCTAATTTCTCAAATATTCTTGATCCTGATCTACTATTATTTTAAATGATAATGAAAATTTTTAACATGTAACTTTGTTTACATATATAAATTACTTTACCGAAATTTGCTTTCTATAAAGTTCAATATTTAGAAAGAAATTGGAGACTGCTGATTTTGACATGGCGGAAGTTGCACGACCAAAAAGAACATGGGTTGGACAAGGAGGAGCATACGCTAATGCAGTGTAAGTTTGTGTTGCAGGATTTTGAATTTCGTTAGTTTTAATAGCATTCGTTTTGTCGTTCGTTCTGAATTTCTTTTTATCAAATTAAAACATGAAAATCCAAGGTTTATCCGTTAACAGTCTTCAAAACGATTCATTAACATTAATAGAATATTGCAGGAGGCATGATGATGGCGCGTCAACAAGTGGTTTGGAGAATGTAGCAGTCAGTGAAGGTGAGGAAATTGTGGGTAATGACTTCGAACTGGACGATTTTGAAGAAGAGTCACTGTATAATTTCATGCAAAATGCGGGGAAAGTTGCAAATTTCAATCAGGCCTGCAATATTTCAAATAATACTGTGAATGGTGCGGTTCCTAGAAACTCTTCAAATGAGTCACCAGCACTTACATCTACTTTTACACCAGGTATCGTTGTTTCGCTGGTTCTTTTTTTCGAATATAAAATTCGAAATATGGATTCGAAACTGTACAAAATTCTAATACTGCAATATTTCAAAAAAGTAAATTGTTAAAAAGTGAACTCCTCGGCATATTTCTCCGTCTACACCGTTTATTGGAGATCTTGATTTATTTTTGATCTTTTCTGTAGGCAGATGATTTTATAATGCTCATATAATAGTAGCAAATCTTGCCATTGTTGTTTATATTGATTGGTTATTTGTAGAGCTGTACAATTCATTTTGATCTGCTGGTCATCAATCCTGTCAGACTTTCGGCAGAGACTACATTGATTGTTTGTGAATGTTAGTTATGTTTTAGAAGCAGCAGTTGTAGATGAACGGCATTCTGATGTTCGGCAAAATACCATCAGGCAAGGACATGTTACTATGGATTCTGACAACTCAAAAGTAACATATGAAGTACAGGAAGTAGAACGCGCAATTGCAAGAGCAAGTTTGCCACTTGAACGAACTTTCCCGGATCAACTGAAGTTGGTTTTGATTTTGGTAATGAATCACATATTTTGAAAAGCCAAACTTTGTATCATTTTTCATTGCATTGCGATCTTCATTCGGGCATATAGGCTTGTAGAAGGCACTACTAAAAATTAGAATCCATATAAAATAGTGAAATGTCGAGAACATGGATTCATCGTTTATGTAATTTCTTTTTAGTCGACCACCAGTCTTGACACCATCTCGTTCCAGTCCATCATCCAGTGTTCTTTCTGCTTCCGTAGAAGGCCTGTCGGACGCTGAAAGGAGAGCTGGACATCCGAGTAAGCTTTATCTTCGAAAATGTGGCGCACGTTTATTTATGTTTGGAACGCGCAAATAGCTTATAAAACGCTTCATATTATGTACTTTCTGAAGTGCAATTCAGCCGTTTTTTAAATGTACTTTATCTCGCATATTACAGGAAAAAAACGAAAGCGGTCAGAAGATCCAAAACCAGGCCAAGATTATATAACATTTGTGTCTCCAGCTGGCGTTTTACCATGCGCAGAAAAAAGTTAGTTATTTTAATGTAAAATTTCATTACATCTGTTCCCAATGACTTAATTGGATTGTTTCATTTTTTAATCGCACATATCCGACTCACTTTACTGATGGCACTCTTTAATGAATTACGGACAGTCATGATTTGATTGTGACATCATGTTGCAGATGATTATCGAGTCTGCTTGTGAATGAGATTGTAGTACCTTCACCTAGCTCGAATGATTAATGCAATTATTTAAACACTTTTTCATTTTTTATGTATTTGAAAGGAAAGGAGAAAGAAGTTTCAGAGAAAAAATACACTGAGGAAGATGCGACGGAGAAGCTGAAGAAAATAGAGTTATATATTGCCCAGTATAATGCACTAAGTGATAATAAAATTGCCACAATCCATGTAAGTCGAGGAGGTGATTTGAAATTACATGGTAGTAAGTATATCGTCGACGCTTGTTTGCATTCATCCGTTATTAGAGATTTAAAAAAGAAATGGAGGGAGCGAGAAGAGGTTGATGAGGAAGGTGTCGATGATGATGAGGTTACATTTTGATTTGTTTTAATGATTTTTAAAAAATTCCAATTAAGGCTAATTGTTCAAATTTATTAGATTGCTACTTTCTGCTTGGTCAATAGCTGTTCTATTCACAAATCCACTGATGTTTTGTATTACAGTCAACTTTCTTAATTGATTTGGCAAATTTCCATTTTTTATTTTTAGTTCTGTTTGCTGAAACTCTTTTAAGTGAAAAAAATGCCCAATTTCATATGTGAAATGACTAATTATATTCATTTTTCAGCTTGTTTCAATCCCGCTGGTTAGGTGTTTACCAAATTTAGAAATTAATATTGCCAACACTTCCGATGTACGTGCAATGCTTAACCGATTCTTGGAATCAATGCATTATCCTTGGAAGCCATGGTTTGGCGTGTCGCATAATCCAGATTATTGGCCACCGTCTGTTCCATTTTACGATCCGAATAACGATCTTCTGAGCTTGAGTAATTTTAAACAGCGAAAAGGTGAATTCAAATTCCTTGTTTATTAATCACTTGAAAAAACCTGAATGTGAACTGCAATTCATAATGTTTGCTCCTTATAGCTCTAAATTCATATGTACCATTTTTTTTATTGTCTTAATTCTTAACCGATGATTTAATTTTCCAGAAATTGAAAAGCATTCTATTGTGGATCTTGAAAGGGATATTTTGAAGTATGCTTTCAAACATTATATATGCTTCATGGAATATCACTTTGGACTTACTGGGCCAAGTAAGAAGCTCTTACTTGTTAAAGAGTATGGAATAATTATGCTGCTTGTTTGGAGCTCCCGTGACATTGTTCTATTTTAGAGTAGTATTCTGAATCATTACTTCAATAATTTTCCGGTTTAAATTTGAAAAGCAGTTTTCTCTGACTTCATTAACCGGAAATAGCTGACATTATAGATTATGATGATGATCCACGAAATATTGAGGGAGATACAAACACAAAAATGGTGCGACAGTGTACTGTTGGTGTAAGTGCCAATTTGCTGCAAAAGGAGTCTTCAGGTTCGTTTGTTTTGTAAATTACGACATTTACATGCGTGACATATAAAGATGATGACTAGCATACGTCATACCGTTTATTCAAATAGAAATTTCACTCTTTCGTCTTTCACTCTTTTGTCAGCTGCTTGAGATTTTATGTAATGTAAAAGTTGTTCCACCTTGTCATGTGCTATTCCTTATTCCTCTTACTCTTAAGCACAATTTTTTTCAGCTGTTTCAGTATCAGAAGTACAAAATGTAGAAACAACGAAAACGCAGTCAGGTAAAGTTCAAGAGTCAGATTCATCTGTTGGCCTCATTTCCGGAATACCACATTCATCAGCAAGTAATGAAGCTGGCGAACAGTGTTCAGATCCGACAACGTCTGCAATCGTTGTCCCGCCTATTTCAAATTTTGCAACATTACCTCTTTCCAGTGAAAGTATTTTAGAGGATCAACTGTCACTTTTTCGAAATTCAGGTAAGCTTAAGTATTATAGCATTGGGAAGCATTTTGTAGAAAATTATGTACTAAAAATATTTCAATATACGGACTCCATTTGTCATTAGAATTCAAAGTTGTAGTGATTCTTAATTTTAGTTTTGCGAATTCGTTATGATCAAATGGGTGCAGATGTGCGGACGATTTTTGAATCAATAATCAAAATCCAGAATCATTCGACATGTAGAACTTTGGTGGTTTTTGCGGACGAACGAAATAAACTGAGCTTATCTGGTGACAAAACTCTGATCTCAGCCTTTTTAAGCTCAAACATACCTCAATGTCTGCCTTTGGCCATAAGCAACGGCTTTGACAATGTTGGTATTTTCTTTAGCGTTCCATACTTTTTATATCCTCTAATTCTAGATCCACTTTTTGTTTTTCCATTATTGCCAAAAAATATGATGCTCTATCTGATTATGTATTACTTTCATTCTGCTAATACTTTTTAGCAAACTATAACACTGCCTTTACTTCAACTTTACGAAGATGCCGTTGTCGATGGAATGACTGAAGACCGCACATTAGGTAAGCTGATCGATTAAATTGATATTAAATATTTAGTTCTTTTAGCTTTGAATAATTTCAGTGTGTCAATGATCTTTTAAGACCTTAAGAATAAGGATGTGCATTAAGAACTTTGCTTTGACTGGTTAATTTTTCTAAATGATTAGGCATCCTTTTTGATTGGCACTTATGATGTAGTCAGTTTATTTTTCGCATGGCTAGTACTCTAGTACTCTTAATGTATGCTTCAAGTTACTGTGTTTTGAAATATAATAATATTATGCGGAATGTTAGCGCTTTTATTAAATAATTTCATCATGATTTAGTTTTCATTTTATTAACTTTAACAGCATATCTCGTTGCATTAGCGCATAACGACATTAACAGGTGATGATAAGTTTTTCGTAAGCTGACTTCGTCATTTGCTGATTGATTCAACTTTTAATTTTATTTGTTAATGGACTATTAGCAGTTAATTTTATATTTCTCGTTATTTTAAGATTTACTGGATGACATGATGACGCATGTTAATTTCCCATGGGCAGATCCGTATGATGGCACTCAACCAGATTGTTGGCCGCCTGAGATACCTTTTTGTCCACCTTGGTCAAATAATGGAAGAGGAATATTGAATCGACGAATTGGTTATTCCTTATGTTTCGCTGAGTTATATTCTTAGAAGTGGTTACGAATTTTATCAATCTCTTTTTTTCTTAAGGTGCAAATACTCCTGGTCAAGCTGCTAAGGTGGTTCTCAAAAGCGTCCGATGGTTTTATTCTGAAATGCTGCTTGAGAAATTGAAATTAGAGGACGGTCTGAATAGGATTGCTCAGTAAGCAATTTGTTAATCCTATTCTTTTTGAAAATACTGAGAACTCAGTAATAATGCGTTTTTTTTTGTATTAATCAACCATTTAAAAATTCAGCTTTCGTAATAAAATTTTTTAGTTTCGACCATTTTAATTACCCTGAATTTATGCTGAATTTTCCTTCTTATTTTGCCTTATCTTGTTTTAGATCATTAGCCGAATTGACTCATAATCTTCTTCAAGAAAGAAGCAGCGCTTTACAAACACCCATTCCTCGTTCAGCCTCTCAAGAAGTAACTCAATTCCGTGTTCCTGGCAAAGTCGTGAAACGGAGTCCATCTCAGCGCTCTTATTCTTCGCAGTTACGAACTTCATCACGTCATTCTGGATCATCACAGGAACTGCGAATATATGATCAAGCGCCACTTGTACCACCATCACCAGAAGTACGAACTGATTTCACGTTGCAAGATTTGCCTTACCGTGGTCGTCCAGCTCCACTTAGTCCATCGCAACATTCGGTTTCATCTCAGGAAACTGTTCCATTTCGATTGCCGCCTCATCATCCGTTGGCAAATGCGCATCTTACTTTGCAGCAACACCCCATTTCTGAAGAGCCATACGAAGCTCGTTCAGAAACTTATATAATATCTGATGATCGTGGTATGTCTGGGATGACACCTGCTGAATCTTGCATACTCCAAGAAGTGCCTTTCCAGAATCCGAAAGCAGCAGTGCCAACTCGTTCTCATGTTTCAACACCATCACGAGATTTCAGGATGCCGCGGATTCCATCTCAACAAGTATTTACTTCAGAAGATCGTCCGGCTGGCTGGACCTCGCGCCATTCTTCGATAAGTTCGGGATCGAGATCTTCGCAAAGTAATAAAAGTTCTCGTCACTCTAGTGTGCGTTCTGAGTCGCGTGGATCAGTTGCAAGTGCATCATCGAAGCAGTTTATTGCCCCCGGACATTCTTATCAAGTACCTATGTACAACAAATCAAGTGCAGTAAGGTTGCATGACCAAAAGGAACAACAGCAGTATTCTACGGCATCAATAGCTACCAGACCGCAGCACAATCCTTATATAGTTGGAGAAGATTCTGCTGCAACAAATCGATTCCGTGACGAAAGTTCCTCATTTCGAACTGCAACCCCACGTTCCCATCATTCCGAATATTCTGCTTCGTCACGTGATGTGGTTGTTCAGGGTTCATTAAGTCCACAGTTTCATTTTCAACAATCAGAGTTGGCGAGAGATTTTGTGGCACCTCAGAACCCATCATTACAGCAACTAGAACAGCAACAAGCACAGGAGAAAGGTTTTATAAGGGTTAGTAGTTTATTTCAGATCACTTTTATAGTGATGTTTATAAAATTGGCTGAAAAGATTTAGTGATACGCGTCTGTAGTACTCGTTTAATGAACTAGGTATAACTTTCTAACCTGTAAAATTAGTAAGGAATCGGAAATAGGAGAAAAGCAATATGTATCATTAAGAATTTAGGCACTTGGAAGCTTTTTATATTTTAAAAAGGGATGCTAAAAAAGAGCTACTTCATTTAATATGAAATTTTTTGAGATCTCTGATTCGAATCTTTCTATAAAGATCAAAAGACTTTGATGGGTAGCTTTAGTCTCAAATTTTAGGATATTTTGAACCAGTGTGTGAAACGATCAAAGCGAAACGCGGCTTACATAGTTTTTGTTCCAAAATAATTTTAAAAATAAGAATTAGTTATAAAAACCAAAATGTGAAGAACAATGGTTGTGTATTTTCAGGTACTGTGTGCCTGTGAGCCAGGTGTGGAGTTGAACGCGAATGATTGCGTACGGTGTAATCGTTGCCATAAGAATTTTCATTCTAAGTGTTTGCCGTTAAAACGGAGAGTTAGTAATTACTACTGTGTGTCTTGTTATGAGAAGTGATAGGATTCATAATTTAAATTATCAATTTTTTTTGTTCCTGATTTCTTTTTAGATGTTTCCAAACTTTCCAGCCTTAAATTTACTTAACGAAGAGTTTAAAAAATGGCTCTACTACTGATACATTCTTATTAGTTTAATCTGTTAATTGTAGCAGTTGTGATGGTGGATGGTTACATTTTTGTTTTCCTTGTTTTTATCCTTTCTTTACGCTTTACAATACCAATTATTATATAGCGGTGATTTCATGTCGTATTCGTAAAAATATATTCATGTACAAAACCGCAGATTGGCCACTGTTGTGTTGGAATTTTCAGTTGCCTCTGTCAAGATTGAGCAGGCAAAATTTACATCGAGTTCGCTCCAAATTTGGGAATTGTGGAAATATGTTATTTTTATTCCGGTCTATATCAATAATTTTTTAACGCTTTTTAAATACTGCTTGCAACGCTTTTTTTGTAAGTTTTTGTGTGCTGTACACATTTCATATGTTTCATAGTTCTTGTACATTTTTGAATCCGTGCTTTTGTTTGTATTTTATCTTGTTTTTTTGCAGTACAAATTTATGTCCATGATAAACATTGATAAATTGAAGTAGATTTTTTGTTTAACCTGAGGAGGCTACTGGAGCATATTGGCGGCATCGACTATCATTTGGTATAGAATGTAATTCGAAAAGCTGAGTTTTATTTACATCAGATGTATTCCGGGTACCCAAAGTTGCTTGGATGAACAGGAGTGAAATAGCGGATTTTCATTTGTAAAGATTATTGAAGGATGAAATTGGTTGAGACTAAAAAGGTTTGTAGTTAGTGGCGATAGTTATCGAACTCATGTATATATGGTGTCCTGGCGTCAAGGTTTTTTCATATTCTGTAAATTAAAGAGTTCCAGGATTAAGTAATGAATACGTCTTCAACTATGATACGAGTTTTTTTGAAAGAGAAAATTTGTCACTTAGAAATATACAAAAATTTCTTACCCTAGTTTATTATCATAGACTACAAATAGTTGTTGTAGAATAATTGCGAACCATTCTATTAACTTCTCCTGGCGACGGTCTGTCGCTTCCCTACTAAGTTGGTTACAGCTGTTTTGTTTTTTCAATTTTTTTTTTTCAATTACAAGATGGAAGTTGAAATTGAAATAGATGGTTTAATCTTTATATTGGATAATTTTATTTATCAATAACATTCTCTATCGAATATGGTGGTACTCAGATATTGTCCAGTAGTAAGAATAGCTTTTCAATCGAATAGTGATAATCTTTCATGTAATAACTTCTATTGATAAATTTATAAATTGGGAAGTAAGAGTGGTGAAAGGGAAGGATGAGATATAATTGAATTTGATCAGTTCTAAATTTAATTTCAATTAAAAACCTTCGAATTGTTTGCAGCTCAACAGCTCTAGAATAGCGAATGCACGGTATCACAACTGAACGAAAAGCCTAGCATAGGATGCATATGATTAAATTATTACCCGTTGTTATTATTCTCGTTACTCATAGCAAAGCAGCGGAGCATCAAAATATTTACTTGGATGACTGGGATGCTGAAAAAGACTGGACCTCACATTTTGGGCCATGTTTGTTCTTTAGATTATTTTCTTGGGCCTAACCGTAAGCCAAGATGTTATGGACTGTGTGTTTTCTTATAACACTGAAAGTTTTTATAAATTAAATCCCAAATGAAGAAATAAAAGTGGATGGAATAAGTATAGGAGTGGAAATAGAAATGGAAAATAAAATGAAATGAATTAAACTTAAAGAAAGAAAGAACATGACAAAAAATTAGATTAATTGAAGTGAAGCAGAGTATATATGAAAGGGAAAACTGAATTTCATTGAAGTGAAGGAAATCAAATTGATTTGAATTGAATTAAATTGGAATAGAGTTGATAGAATTGATTAAACTGATAAATGGACGCAATTGATTTTTTTAAGAGTAGAATTGGAAGATTTTTCATAAACTATTACTAAAGGCAGGACTCATTTTATGTTCAAATTTTCGCCATGTGAATCGAAAACAAAAATGTTGGCATGCTGTCGGCGCTTTAATCCGTTTGTGCTCTTCATTCTTCTGGTCCTCAGTATAATAACTATAGCTGCTGGTATATTTATTTATTAGTACTAGCACAAATTTCATTTCTAAAAGCTTCATTCAAAATGATCATCGTTGAAATTACAAATTATGGATACGCATCATCTCCATATGCTGCGAAAATATTGCATTTTCAAACCTAATCGAAAGATTTAATAAGATTTAATTGTGGCATATTCCATATTATCATATCATTACTTAAGTGACATGATATGCTTTTTTTGTAGTGCCGATACTGATGCTATGTATAATTTGTCCACCATGGCGTGTTCTATGCGAATGTTGCTTATGTTGCGCATGTTGCGCCATCGATGAAAATGGGAACTTTATTCATTTTGCAGAAGAGGAAGAGAAAAATACTGAAGAATTCGATATCAAAACAGAAGAGCAAAGTTCTATCAGAAGCAGAATAGGTATGTATATGCCTCATTATAATTGATTTACTTAATTGAATTACTTTTAGAGTATTGCAGTAAACTTTTCTTATTAGTTCTATCATTTCAATACTGTCTTTTTTTTTGATTAAAAGAAAAACTCAAAACAAAAGAAATAGACAATAGTTAATTTGTTCTGCTGTGAAAAAAAGTGAATTTACACATTATCTTACTTTATCTCATTATTTTCTCTTCAGAAGTTTGAGAGTTTCTTCTAATAATATTTGAGCTTTTTATCAATTCAACTAAGAAACAAATAACTAAATTTAAAATACAACAAAATTAGATGTGAATTGAATTATGAGAAAGAAGTTTGAAAATCACTCCTTCACGACTTCAGATGACTAAAGATTAAAAAAAGATGAAAACTTAAAAATTGGTCAGTGTTTTAACAGTTTTCTGAATGAACTATTTCAGAAACGACGAGAAAAGAATGAGGATACTGCATAAGAATAGCGAGGAAAAAGTGTGAAATAATTTTATGATACGAAATTTGATGAAGATGATATAAAGCAATTCTATCAAAATTGAAAACTGTTTTGAAATATAATTTTACCCAAGTAATTTCTGCAACTTTCTTCATCCTTAAGTTATTTCATACAAAACAGCTCTTATCGGGAAATTTAAAAATTCAAATCATTGTTATATAATATTTATATACTAATGCAATACGTTACTGATGCACAATTAAAATTACAAAGTTATTAAAATAATTGCTTAATGAGTTTTCAGAAAATTAATTCTAAAATTGTTCAAAAATTATACATTAATTGATGGTAATATATTTCACTAATTTTGCAAATATACTGGAAGGAACAAATAGTCCATTTGATATGCTAATAATTAAACCGAATAAAAAAATTAAACTCTTGAACTGTTAAATTTATTTGGTTACCTTCTACGGCAGGCAGATAAACAACAAGTTCACACCATAATGACACGATTTGGAAAATTTTTTCAGTTTGAGAAAAATATGAGCTCATTTATAAAGTATTGTGAAAAAAACTAACTCCAAGGGAAATATGAAACAATAATTGAAGAGAGTAGATTTTCTCTGCTGGTTAATTAGCTTTTAATAATTATCTTAAGGTCACAGCAACTTACTACTATTGTTCATTGTATTGAAAATAGTTTCGGGTATCTGATCCTCCTTATAAGAATTTCTCTTTTACTTTCCATTTAAAATGTTAAGCATCACCATCAAAACAGTCGAAGATTACTTTATCCTACAGTGCAGAAGGTTCTCAGAGAGGTGCAAACATTGTAACCTCGGAATTACTAAGCGGTCAAAAAGATAAAGAAGCCATTCTACCAATGAAGTCTTTGAAATCTTCATCTACCAGTATCATTTAGTCATTTTTCTTATCAGCATAAATTTTTCACCGATCGATCTATTTCTATACTGGTTCCCGGCAGTTCGAGCGCAAGGGAGATCAAATTTATTAGCTTTCTCATTTTTAGAGAAAATCTTGGCTTTTCTTCTACCTAATCAATTTTCAGCATTTCTCTCTTCTCGATTTTTTTTGCGTCGAATTTCAAGTTCTCGAAAGTGATCACTTTCATTTTACCATCCTGATTGAAAAATATTGCAGCCCTGCAAACCATAATAATATTATCGTTTTTAATTCACAAATTACATCTTTATCACAAATATGTTTATCCGTCTTTTCTTACTGGTACTTCTCGACTGTTACCTTACGTTTGCAGGTGAATTTTTTGGACCCTACAGCGATTTAATCCTATTTTTACTATTTAACAAGAAAAATGTCTATTGTAGCAAAAGTTTTATTTTCCATTTACAAATCACTTCATAGATATTTACTGTGATTGTGAGTATGTTGTAATAATTATACGTTAAAAATCACTTGCTTACATAAATTTTCTTATTTTAAATAATTAGCAAGCTTAAAATTAAATTGAAATATAATCAATCCAAGTTTCACGCAACAATTTTCTTCAAGAATTCCATAATGACAGGATATTGTGAGAAATCTAGCGATAATTTATGCAAAAATGGCGGAACATGTGTCAATGTTGGCACGAATGACTATAAATGTGTTTGCCTGAATGGTTATTACGGGAAGAACTGTTCAATAAATGAAGATGACTGCATTGAAAATTCATGCGCACCTGGAAGTACCTGTATTGATGGTATAGCTAAATATACTTGCGCTTGTCCATCTGGAAAAATTGGTTTGATTTTTTTTGATATCAGTTTAATAGTAATGTGGATTTGTACATATGTTGACTTACATAGTGTGATTTTTGACATAAATGGATAATGATATTCCCAGACTTCAGCGCATTCCAAAAGCGATCACACAGAGATTTTTCATTGAATGATTATGGTATAATGGATGCTTTGACATATCCGTGAGAGTTTTATTGTTTACACAGGTTTATTTTGCCATTTGGATGACCCTTGTATGCAGAAACCATGCGGAAATGGTTCCGAATGCATTGCGGACACTGCAAGCGGCGAATTTTTATGTAATTGTATGAAAGGTACCACAGGTCAAAATTGCGCCACTGATATAAATGAATGTATTGAGGTGCAAAGTTTGACTTGAAAATATTTCAAAAATATTAATGTTTATATTACAAATAAATGAAATGAAATTGTAAAATAATGAAAGGAATAAATTATTTTAAAAAAATAAAAAATGTTTTAAAAAAATATTTTGTCACTTTAGTGCACAGGTAATCAATGAATTTAAATTTTACTATTTATTTTTAGAGTGATAAATTATGCTTCAATGGCGGTATATGCGTGAACACATTTGGCTCATGGTATTGTGATTGTCCTGTAGGATATAATGATCCGTATTGCATGATCCATGATAATGAATGTGAGCCAAATCCATGCCTTAACGGTGCATCCTGCCTTGATTATGGCAATCGTTATGAATGCATCTGTCAAAATGGTAATTTGTTTTCATTCCCAAAATTTTCTTAACAATGAAATCTTTATCAACGTTATTTTGATCGATTTTTTTTTGCAAATTAAGTGAATATCATTTACATATCTGTCGAAAATGATTTCACATAGTCAATTAACACTAAACATTTCATGTCAGCCCTTTGAATAATATTTCACAAATTATTGACTGAGTAGATTAATAAATTAATATTATAATCAATAAAATACTGTAATGCACTGTAATGATTTCTATGGATTTTTCAGCTTTCTACGGTACAAATTGTGAAAAGATGTGTCCACCAGGTTTCGAAGGTCGTATGTGCAAGCAGCATCGTATCTTCCTGGATAATAATCATCTAGAAGAGTTGTTTGAGAAGCAGATTTGTTTGCTTCATAATTGCTCATCAAAGACTGATAACAATGTGTGTGATTCAGAATGCAACTATCCTGCATGCCAATATGATGGATTTGATTGTAGTGCACATTTACAACCATTTCGACATTGTCCGCTTCCAGATTTTTGCGGTCGAGTATTTCACGATAATAAATGTGATTCGGTTGGTAATTACTGGAATAGAAAGAATTTTTTAAAATGTTTCTTAGAATTTCTTTTTCTATTTAATCTCAAAATAGTCGCACAATCTCAAAAGAAGAAATGATAGTGCCACTAACCTTTCATTGGTCATCTTCGGTTCTTTAAAGGTATGTAATCGTCCTGAATGTCTCTTAGACGGATTTGATTGTAACGAGAAAAGAGAAAGATGTTTGTTTGAAGATTACTGTTCTGCTCGTTTTAATGATGACTACTGCGATCAAGAATGTTTTACCGAACAGTGTTATTTTGATGGCACTGATTGTACGCAGGCAATTACACATAAGGTTTGTTGTAGATTATGCATTAATGATTTTAGAATAGTAACACAAAAATAAGTACAGGGAGGCGCTTATGACCCCGATAATCTTTCTCTTGTAGCGGGAGACATTATTATATTGATAAGTTATTCATGTTCATCAGTTCTCATTTAGCGTCATTTGAAGTCAGTTGCTATATTTCAACTTATGCTATTATATGCTTCATGATGCAGTAGTACTTGCATCAATAATGGTTAAAGTCAAAACTATAATTATTTGTTCAACTTACAAGTAATAAATAAAAATATATATTCATTTCAGTTGGAAGGTAGTTTGAGTTTAATATTCCTTATGAAGCCGGATGAATTCTCTAAGCATGCACCTGTTCTGCAGTTCGTCTTGAGCCAAGGCATGCAGGCCAGAGTTACTATTGCTGTTGACAATCAAAATCATAAACGACTTTATTCATGGGAGGCAGAGGCAAAAAGTTAATTATATCTGAATTTTATTTAATTGTCTTAATTGTTTATATTTATATGAAATTCTCAGTTTGATGAAACAGATGGTTTGCTTTAAACTTCATTTTATATGACGGTTAAGTTAACTTTGCCTTAATAAGTCCTATAAATTTACTATCTTTGAATATACATACAAAACTATGTATATACTAAGTACTTTACTAACGCTTGCTCGGATCAAGATTTTCCAATTTATATTTATTTTAATTCATTAAAATTCAGCTTGATTTTAAAAACTTCAAAAAGTGAGCATTAGAAAGTGTGACTTAATTTTCTTTTCCTTATAGAACTGAATGGTACGAAAGTATACTTTAATGTTGAAACACCACGGTGTCAAAAGAAAGCTAACTGTCAACATCATATCACTGATATAGAACAAGCTGCTGATTTCATAGGTGCAATGAGTTCAAATCAGGTAAGATACTCGTTGGATTTAAATAACTAAATTTAATTTTTAAAAAAGCAGGACAATAACTTGCAATTGCTATAAAAAAATTGTTCGTAAGTTATCGAGAATCCAGAATTACTTGTTGCCGAGGATTATATTGGAAACAAAAGTTACACATATTCTTTAGTTGCTGTGGCATGTCGGTGCACGATTACACGCTGTTGAAGTCGAACCTTCAACCAAAACTACAAAGTGGAAGAAATGGATAGTTTATGCACTCTCGGGTTTTGTATTGCAAATATTTGTGATTGCCATCTTATTTACGCTTCATAAGAATCTCAAACGTCGAAATATTGCGAGACAACTACAAAAGAAGGTCCACGTAGCCGGAACATGGTTTCCACCTACTCTTGACAATTGTAAGTATCATTGATTTGACATTTTTTTACCTGCCTATTCTGATAATTGTTGCAATTTCAGCGGCTTTATGCAAATGTTTTGCGCTCCTTTCTCTTAATTTAGAAGCAGAAAATAGTTCCATTTTATAGATTTTCCGCTGAAGTTGCTTAAAGATGATTGTAAAAGTAATGGAAATGTGCAAAGCAATGGTATGATAAGTGAAAAAATTAACGAAGATAAAGAAAGGAATTATTTTACCGAAATTTACGTGATTCCTAATCCTAAAGATGAAAAAGTATGCGAGAGAAAATGGACTATACTTCATGATCAGGCAATGGATTCTTTTCCAATCAAAACACCGGTAAAAACATGATTACTCTTTGTAAATTTCCTAAAAACATAAAAAAAAATATAATAAAACATTTAAAAAAATACTGTAACAAATCATTGGAAGATATATCCGATATTGACAAGCCGATATTATAATGAGCTCATTATTATTATTATTATTATTATTATTATTATTACGGAGAGGATAACTCAGGTATTATTATTTTACTCCTCGTTGTCCAGTAATTACTAATAATTTTTTTAATTTTCATTATTTAACAATCAAATTTCATCCTACATATAGTCTCTTGGAGTTTAATATTGAAATATTTTATAAATTGTTAAAATTTAGATCGATAAGTCACTTGTTAATTTGAAAAATAATGATGGAAAGACTGCACTTATGCTAACAGCGCTAAATCAAGAGAAAAATGAGGAAGCAAGCTGTACAGATGTGGAAAATCTGTTCTTAGTTGGAGCTCTTATCGATGCTGAAGATGATTGCGGTGAGACGGCTTTAATTATGGCCATAAAAGCAGGACGTGCAGAAGTAGTGAAATGTTTCCTACGATTTGGTGCCGATATTACAATATCAGATATTCATAATCGTACAACGCTACATCACGCTGCCTCAATAAATGCCGCTGATATTGTTCGCATTCTTCTTGAAATCGAAGAGATAGAGGCTTGTTTCATTTCATATGATAATCTTTTTTTATATTAAAATCTTATGCCACCAATAAAAATAGTTGAAGTTTTTTAAATAATAAGAAGCTTTGTTTTTTTCTCAATCTTAAAGATATATGTCTTAAAATGAAGACTGATAATCTTTTTGAATGAATTATTGGCCATTTTAGTTTATATTTTCAACAAATATATTTGGGAGAGAAGAAATCATTTGAATATACCATTTTACATTTAAGATAGATGCAATCGATGATACAGATTGTAGTCCACTGATGACTGTAGCTAAGCTTGGTTATCGAGATCCTGAAGCAATAGCTCTACTGATCGATGCGGGAGCTGATATCAATTGTACTGGTAATCATGTCAATGGTGACACATATAAAGGCAGAACAGCGCTACATTATGCTATTATGCAAAGTAACCAAGAGTTGGCAAGATATTTGGTAGAACGAGGCGCTAATCTCAATATTCAGGATCATATGGTTTGTACCATTCCGTAATTTCAAAGTTATAAAAGAGTGGAAAATTAAAGGGATTGTTTTAAACGATATTGAAAATAAAATATGTGAAAATGCAATTTTATTTCCATAATCTATTTTCTTAATTACACAATTGATAGTCTGATTACATTTTCGAAATTAGATATTAAGAGGCCGAAAAATCTACTTTTGCAAACGTCACGAAGATAGAGGTAATATCCTCTTTTGCTCTACAACGATCAAATTTGTAATAATAGTTTCTTCTTACAGGTCAAATTTGTAATAATAATAGTTTCTTCTAATAATAATAGTTTAATAATAGTTTCTTCTTACAGGGACAAACACCGCTATTTTTGGCTGCTTCTCAAGGTCATGTTGAAATGGTTCACATGTTAGTAACCGCTGGTGCTCGACGATCCATTCCTGATAATATGGATCAAACACCAGAAGATATTGCTAATCACAAGGAATACAAAGAAGTGATCCAATATTTCATAAATCTTCGAATGCAAAATGGTTCTATGACAAATGGGAATGGAAGATTGAAAAAGAAAAATGTAAAGGTAATTCTTGCAAGTATCACATGTATTCTAAAAGTTTTATTAAATTTCGTCATTAAGTTTGTTCAGGATTTTAAAGGACTAATTATGAAACGCCTTTGCTTCTATTTAACTTCTGAATTTAAATATTACATTTCTTATTTTTATCAAAAATTCAGAAACCGCGAATTGTCGAAGTGTCACCCACTCCATTGGAAATGATATTGAATTGCGGTACTACAGCTGCAATGACACCCGAAAGTTCAAATTCATCGAATTCATCCACTTTGTTTGATCGTTCTAAAGAATGCTACAATCTGAATTCACATCTTCCGTACGAAACTACCACCCAATTGTTTAATTCACCAAATACAATTCCGCAACAACACTTCACGCAGGTACTTCTAAATTAAAAATATCCAATTTGACAATAAAGATTTTCATTTAAATCACGCAGTTCTAATTCAGAAAAGAAAAACTGGATCAAATTTATTTTTTTCAAAACTTATGATCCTCCCCTAGCGAAACAGATAATGGATCTTTCAGGTACCTTATCCTTCCGTGGATTATATGGCTGTTCAAAGCTACAATATGCAAAATGACTGCGTAATGAATAATGAAATTAGCCCTGTAACTTCCAAGCCTTTTCTAGGATTCGAATATTATGTATAACATTTATAACATTATTTCCGTAATAGTATTATTGAATGGAAAGATGAATTTTGATGAATAAGAAATACTGTGAAATTTCGAATCCTCTTGAAAACTAATTTTTTATTTAATATTTTGCGGTGTGTGTAACAATTTATTTTTCTTCATTACGTAAATATTTTAGATGCCTTTGTTGATTTTTCATTTTTCTTTCCAAAATTTCTCAAACTTATTAATTAAGTATTCATTATAACAAGAAACTTATCATTGCATCCTTTTGGATTCAAATATTACAGTATGAACATTAATCGATCCTTGTTACTGTTTATCCAAGTAAATAGAAAGTGGAATGAAATGAAATTGAAATTGAATCGACAATAATATGTTGTCAGTTGAGTTTAGTAAGCATTTTTATTAGTGGGACATCAGTTTAAATCTAGTTCAGTAATGGTATCATATATTATCATCACATTCATTTCTTCATGAAAGTAGCACTACTTGTCTCTTTTGATTTGCTCACTTTGTAAATGCTCATTTTGCCATAATATATTGTGATTGAGTGATACTGAAAATATTTTTTCTTCTAAAAATATAAATTAGGCAATAATTACTTGTTAACATAGTAATCTGTAATAATTTGCAAAAACAGTAATTAATTTTTCAGAAGACAAGAAAAAACTTTAAAACGTTTGAAATTCTAATTTAAACTTCAAAATATTAAAGGCAGCCTGCCATACTGACAACAAAGCAATTGATATCAGTTAATTCTGACTTTTGGGAAGGATAAGATGATGAGATAGGAAATAGAGGAGGGTAAATTTTGTTATGATAAATACCAGAATATTTTACATCGATTTGGAATGAAAGTTGGCTTTTCATTAGCATCATGCTTGATTCGCAGTCGGATCGTTGTGCACCAGGGCAAACCATTTAAGGCTCCTTTAATTTCTATTGGAATTTCTGTCACATTCATTTCTTTAGTCGTGCTTACTAAAAAATTTTGCGATATGTTTTTCTAATCCTTTAAAAGGTGAATCATTTTGATTAAATAACTTATAAATCGATAAAATAAAACTTCTCAACGAGTTAATTTAGATTTAAAGGTTTTAAAATAATTAAATTTTACTAATAACAATTGCATAGATATTAGTTTGTTCAAGAATTAGGCTGATATATTATTCAGCGTCAAAATAAACAAACTCAGTTAGAAAATTATCGTTTTTAAATAAAAGAAATTTTTGAGTTTAACTGCAAAGTAAATATTTCACCTTTTAGTTGAATTAAATATTTATTGAAATAAAGCTCACATGTGATATCACAGTCGAGGGTGGAACGTATGTGTGTTCCAGTACCCGAACTTTGACTTCTTGATGTTTTCACTCTTTCCTCCATCACAAATTTTTTTTGTTCATTCAAATCTTTTGCTTCTTTAGGATACTGAAACTTTTACATTTACAGTTATGAAATAAGTGAAATTCTTGTGAAAAGATTAGTCATTATCAATGAATTTGAAAATGTTCCATTACCCTTCTAACTGGTGTTGATGTTTCCAATGGGCTAAAAGTAGCCGGTACTGTTCGAATTGATTCTGTAGAAGCAGGATGAGTTTGAGTTTGAGGTTTGAGTAGTGCAAATCTGTTCCAACGGCTTGAACGTCGTAAACTACGTACTGTGCGTGACTTCTTTGACCGGGAATCTCCAAATTGAGATAATTACTTCAGTAATTCACTAAGTTTTATAAAGAAAATTTAAATTATACAACTTTAAATGTTAATAGAAATTTTTCATAAATTTTTAAATACTTAGAAATTGTTTTGGACAAAAAATATAAATAACTTCGCATCTAATAAATGCATATTTTTAATAAGAAAAAATTATGCAGCAAATTCAGGCCTGTTTTTCCGTGTTTCACACTATCGCCAAGTTGTTTTTGTTTGGTAGCTACCTGAAACATATGAAAAAAAATATCTAATTACCATTCTTGAATTATTTCATCCCTTTATAATTTTTCAATAATTAGAACTTAAAATTTTCAAGTTCAAAATATATTATTTCAATAATATTTAATATTTAATAATTATCAGTTCCAAATGAAGAAAAAAATATGTGAAATATTGCAGCATATTCGAAATTTTTTGAACTTAAAAATGATTTTAAAAACGAATAATAAAGAATATTCTAAATCTTATCACAAAGTATTTTTATTAAAAGCAAATTTATAAGTGATAAAAAAGCTTACAGGCGATTCGGATATTCCATTTATGATTGGTATTCCATTAGCACTTACTTCCTGAAATTTATTGGACAAATTTTTGGGTATTAACGTTTATTTTCTTAAAATCACTCTTATATCTTTAAAGATTTCTGAAATTTAAAGAAATCTTTTGAAATTTGTTAAATTTTTTACCCGTACAACTGGCACTTCAATGCGCTTTTCTGGTTGAATTTTCTGCATAACTATTTGTTCTGAAGATTTTGCATATCAGAAATGTAATGATTTGTAATTAAGAATATTGTGAAATTTTAAAATTTTCCATGATAGCTTGTTAACTATATTTAACTATATTTTATATAAGAACTGTTTAGTACATAAAATTAATGTGTGGAAAGGAATTGCTTTTTATAATAGCATTACCTTTTTCATGTTTATCTGCCAAATCTGCTGATTTCAGTTGTTTGAATTCCCTTGAAATGTAAGATGAACTTTTATAGAAAGCTTACCTAACTCAAATTTTCACTTGCTATTTTTAATTATATTAGTGAAATAGATAAAAAATTATGGCAGTGAAAAAATACTTGTTGGATTTGTTTGACATGGATCATGAGAACATAAAAAATTAGATAAAATAATGTCTAATCATTGTACCTGGATGGAAATTGACGAGGTGTAGTTTCTTTAATTTGGCGGATCTGTCGATCAATCAAAGGTGTTAATGATGATGTTCTCTGAATGGGATAATCAGTTTGAATGCCACCAAGTGATCTAGATCCTGAAAATTAGGAAAAAGAGTGATTTCAATTTTTGATTTCAAAATGATGAATGAATCCTTATTAACAAAATATTCTTTCGTATTATCGATACTTTCAGTTATCACTTTCTGTTCATCTTATTGTTGTTTATAGATAAGGATAGCTGATTTCGAATTTTATTTCATATTAGCTTAAATTTATAAGCAAGTAAAATTATAATAAGAAATACTTTGAGGAATGTTGCAAATAGACATACTTTTTTTCAATTTAAAATGGCAAACGTTTTTTGTAATAAAATACTTATTTTTATTAGCTGCGATTGCCAATTGACTAATTGTACTCAACAAAGTATTATTTATATGACAATTTATATTTGTAACACGGAGGATTTTATTTGCCTAATTCATTGATACTAATTAGACTGTCATCTTCCAGCATTTATTTTACAAAACGCAAGAAATAAACAGATTAAGTTGCCGATGGCACCTAAATTACCCTCTATAATATAATCCTCTTGAATAGCTAAACACGCAGAAGCTTCAAGTTTTACAAAATTTTACTAGCTAATTTAGCAATTTAATGTCAGAAGGATAAAGAGGTTCGTTCATCCAAAAGACAATATGAAAAATAAAGTGAAAGTTTTTAAAAAGCGCTAATGTTTGCTTATGCAAAATATTTTGCAGAAGTTATGCTCGCTGTAGAGGAATAAATTTGAGGTCTAAAAACTTCAATTTTAATGTCTATGAAACCTTAGAAGTTACTGTTTAACTCTGAGTTTTACATCAAACATACCGCTTAAGCTATGCATTCAAATCAATTCATTTCCGAGTGACTCGCAATCAGAAAATTTTCAAAATTGGCAACACCTACTTGACGGTACAAGATTGCCATATCTTCTTATTTCTCCAAATTCAATTACTCGTGGCTCTCCAGTGGTCATAAAGTCACTCAGTCCTTCTCGAGGATTAATTTCTGCTTCACGGGTGATATCGATGCGACGGGGTCCAGTTAGTACGTCCTCGGTATATTGTATTGGTATATCGTAATTTTCTGGTTCAATTATTCGTTGTTCAATTTGTTTTTGTAAACGTTGGGTTGCTTGAGGTTCTTCACTACTAGACAAAGTGATTATCAGCTTTTCAATCAGTCGAATATTGCCATTGACGGATCGCTGTTCATCGTACATCGAAGTGACGTTCAACATTGATTGGGGTCTCAAAGCTACATTACTAAAAACATGAGCATATATTTCTATCATTCTCAATGAAGAATGCTTGAAAAAAGAAAAAGAAACCTATGAAATCCATTATACTAAACAGATCAATGAAATTTTTCAAAATTATTTCAATCAATTTACTAACCCATAAATTTCACGTTGTGCAACATTAGTCATTTCTGCTGGACATAAATTATTATAAGTACGACGATCATTCGTTGTTATTTGCTTCCCATTTTGCAAATCGCAGAATAATGTTGATCGTCTTATTTTAATAATATTATTTTTAACAAATATATCTTCTTTCAAATTTAACGGTCTTTTATCCCACTCTGTCTCATAAGTCTCACGATTCATTATCGATGCACCCTAAAATTTACTCAATAAATGCCAAATTTCAATTCACAAGTATAGCATAAACAATAACTTAATTGTTATCGCATGAATTATACAACAATGCCGTTCGACAAATTAAATATGGAAATCATTATCGCTTTATCGCTTTAGATCAATTTATTCTTATACTCTTAGTAAATATTTAAAAAACCATAAAATCATTTGATGTGTTAAATGTCACTTCACAATTCATTAAGCTGTATAGAACATTTTTTTTTCATCCGCAATAATAAATACTGCACAAGATGAACATCTGAGAAAGGTTAACTCGTATCATCAACTCATATCGTTAGTGAATTGATATGCATATGCTTCAGTATTGTGTAACTTTAAATGTGCATGTCACACTGATTAAATTGGTATCAGATTCAAATTAATAGATTTACTCAATTTCTATTTTGACTCAACTTTATGATGTCTTTTTTAACAAAGAATTAAAAACAATGAAATACTCGCAGTAAGCATTCCATCAAGTTGCTCAATATTGCAATGTCCCAACTGATTATTAGAAAAGATGTAAATTGTTGATTGAAGCCATGATTGACGTGTCGTTGATATGACACGAATACATTGCTCTGTGATCACCTGAATTTTTTTGAATATTAATGAAATACTAAATTGGATCGATATGGTCAGAAATAAGATTGAAGCAAATGATAAACCGGATCAATAAAGCAGATTCTTCAAACAAATCATACAGATGTTACTTTACAGTATATGTATGACCCATTCAGACAACTATAAATCAGATTATCATTAGTCACAAGGAAGCTCAATATTGAAGCGATAGAATAATGAGGATTGATAAAAGACAAACCGAAATCGGAAGCTGTAAGAAACATTGCTGTTTTTTATCAGTTACCAAAGCTGCAAAAATACATCGCTCTAATAACAGCTTGTTTCACTTTATTTTTTAAAGAAAAAAATTTAGAATTGATAAGACAATTTTTCCGAATATTGTAATAATATAATAAAGCTGTTATTAGAAACAAGCTGTTATTAGACATTACCAATTATGAAATTTAATATGGTAATATACATATTGCATATTATTCAAACATTTGCGACTTCGGGATTATATATTCCCTGAATGCAAATAATACGAAAATCTGATATACCGGCTTTCAATTTGGCATTTTGTTGTTCCATTCGACTTTTCTTCCTGTCTGGAATACCTAATAACGAAATCATCGCTCCAGATGTGGTTTCATCTTCCGTATCTCCTATCTACATTACCAATTATGAATTTTATAAGGCTAACAAAACAAGTTGTATTGAATTTCTCCCTTGGAATTTATCAGATTATACTGCATAATATGGATCATAGATCAAATTATGGAATAGTAGAAATAGCTTATAGTAGAATAATTTGTAGTTTAGATTAGTTATAATGCAAATCAACAAATTTAAAGTTACATTTCTTAAATCGGGAGAGGTGTAATCTCGTACCGAATAAGTACCATCATATAAAGGTACGCTTAACTTTCTTCCCGATTGCAATCGAAGTCCTGATTTACTTTTTTTAACTGAAGACTATCTAAGAGTTATACAAAAATTAAACTGGATTTGATTAAAATAAGTTTTTCAATGAAATTGCTGCATGCTGAATTCTATGTTTCAAAGTTTTGACAGAGGAATTAGCTTCCAGTAACTTATAAGATAGTAAAAAAAGAATGATTTTATCTTTCTCTTTACTTTTTTAAAGTAACTTTGATATAATTTTAATCATTATTTAGGCGACATTTTACTCATTCTAAATTGCTTTTTTCAAATTTGGCATTTTTCTAATTTGCTGAAAGTTGAACTGATACACGTGAAAATTTTGTGATTGAAATATATACTTCGATGATTTCCTGCGCTTCGGAACACATTTTCATAATAATCGTCGGATCTACGATTACATGAACTTCTTGTTATGAGATCAACATATTGAGAATTTTTATCGTCAACCTAAAATTTTGCTGGCAATCAGCTGAACTTGAAATAAAGAGTACAACAGTACTATCATATTAATTGTTTAAAATTAAAGTTTCATTTTTAATTTCACTTGCATCATTTTCGTATTCGGGCAGAATAACTCCATTTCTTCTTGTTTTCATCCTTCGTCTTCGTGGGGTCGAATTGGAACGAATCTTACTTTTTGGCAATTGAGTATGCCTTCTTGATCTGCACAAAATTATTATTTATTGTCTATTAAGTTTACTTTTCTTAATCTGCTCCACTTCCTTCTATATTTTCCTGATACTATCCTATCTATAACCGGAAGATAGAAAAATGCTACTTTATTTTTTATTTATTCTTTCTGCTAATCTCATTTTTGTTTCTTAAAAAATATTTGCTCCATCTTTTAAACAATAATTTTATGATAAGCAAATATTTGAGCAACGAAAATTTATAAGAAATTACACATTTCTGAATAAGCTAAAAATTAACTGTACCCTATTTTTCATTCTTCACATTCTTAAAAAAAATCTTACCTGTAACTCTAATCAATAATAATAAGTAAAGGTAAGCTGGAATTTTTAATTTTTCTCACTACAAATAAGAATGATGAAGTGATGGCAATTAATTTTCATTTAACCATTTCTGGCTTTCCATTGTTTTTCATCCATTCTTTCATATATTTAAAAATAGTCCAAAAAATATTAAGAAAAGTGAAATGATAGCATAGTAATTAATTATTTTGATCCCAGAATATTAGTAGTATGATAAATGAATCAATTGAATTTTTTGAATTTTAAAAGTGCCTTATGTTAGTGTTATCTCTTTTTTAATTCAATTAATTGTAATATTTTATTAGATAATATTTGAAAGACGCACTGAGATACGTTGAAGGTTTTTGCGTGACTTATTCCTAAACCTCTTTTATGCCTGGAACGTCTTCCTGTCTCATTTTGTTCACTATCAGATAATCTATCAAAAAATGTATCACCACCAGTTGGTATTGTATTGTATATTGTTGTACCTATTTCTGGTATATTTCCATTTCGATAATTCCTAAAATCCATTTTACAAATATTCCACTTATTTCAAACAATTAAGTTATTTATCCTTAAATAGTCTCAACGAGCTATGGATCGGATCGCTTTTACAAAAGACTTTATTACTTTTCCTCCTCCATCCTCCAAAACAAAAAACACTTAACTTTTCTTTCATTCTATCCATACTTTCTTTTTTCTAATTCTATATGGCAATTCCAATAAAAAGGAATATTAAATTAGCATTTTCGGTAATACGAAGCTAAAAAATTTATAATTTTGATTTGATTTGATAGCAAAAAAGCTTTTTAAAAGATACGATTTTGTCGCATCGAACACATATCTATCATTGCTTGAAGGCTCCTGAAAACCTGATGAGAATAAATTTTGTTTCATTTTAGTTCCGAAAATGCCTATTTAAATCCTAATTTCAGAGCAATCAGTAATTGTTAATTTAAAATTAAAATTTAAAGTTTTTTACTATGGAAAGTATTACCTCAATATTTTTGGAGTAATAACTGCTCAAATTATAAAACGACATTTTTGTAGATAAAAACTGGAATAAACCACTCACAAGGAAACAGTTTTTATAAAATTAAATATCTTCCATTAATTTTATGTAAAAAAAATATGGCTATTAGAGAAAAACTTGTTCAATTACTTTTGCTGCAAATAAAATCTTTGAAACAGGTTTGAAAAACCTCAGAAAAGAAAAATATTTTGCAAAAAAACCGGAACTTAAAATGAGAACTGAAACCTCTGATGCGGTAAATTGTTCTACCAAAAGAATATCTAGGACAAAATATAGGACAAAAGAACGATATATCACACTATCACATTCATCACCACAATATTATCATTCATATTTGTCTTAACAACAACTATTATGCTATATGGTGATAATAAAATCTCTTCAAACATTATTATATAAAAAAAACAATAGCTATTCATTTATCAATTTATGTTTAACAATAATAGATAGTTTTAATAAATTTAAAATTTATTGAAAACGATAAAATGACAAAATTACTATGTTTTTTATCAATAAAATGACAAAAGTTGTATATATTTTTTAACTTTTTTTATCATTAATATATATTGAAATCATATAAAAATTTTCATATAGAAAATAAAAGAAAGTTATAAATTTCTTCAGAGCTTTATCATTGATAAAGGTAATGTTATAATAGTGTTTATCCATGAAATGATAACTTTTTCTTAACAAATATCTTCATTGTGATCAATAATAGAAGAGGATAGAAAGAACTAGTTCAGTGAAGAAGGTGCTGTTACATCAGCTATTAATGAAATCCATGAATACATTCGACGATAATGACGACGATGGAAGAAGTGCTGATGAAATGGAATGAAATGTGACGATACAGCGATCTCTTTATTCAGTCCCGGAATCATTATTGTCAGTAGTAGTGTGGGTGATACGAATCGTGTACATCCTTTTATTCCATCTTCATGTTTCAACTTCAACGATGTATTCTGCTTTTTTCTCTATCCATCATTTTTTTATCACTTCAAGGTAAGCACATTATAAGCTTAGTTTTAATAAAATTTCACTTAAGCAATTTTTCAACTTTACTTCATTCTTTTTCACTATTCTTAGATAAAATCTAATTTCTTGACAATGAACTGAACTGATAAGCTAAGCAAGATAGCTGTCATGTTGTATTATCAAATTCTACCGTTTTCAAAATATACAGAAATTTTTGAGACAATTAGATTTCAAGTTTTGTTGATTTTAATTAAAATTGATTCTCTCAATAGATCATTTAAAAAAAACCTATCATTGCATTCATCTAACAAATTATTCCATTGTGCTATCTTTTATTCATAATCATACTATATCACATGATACTTCCGAAAATGATTTTAATTTTAGGCATAACTGTACAAAAGCATTAGAATTAACTTTATCTCTTCTCAGCAATTTGTTACATTTTGCAGCTTTTGGTAGTTCACTTGATTGCAATTTTAATTGGACATTTTGTTGTTGGAAAAATAAAGGCAGCGGTGCACAATGGCAAACATACCGCGGTAGAAGTTATGATGATAAAAATGGAACAATTTTGCATTTACAACTTCATGAGGATAAAATAAGTAATTTATTTCATTTTATTCAAAAATTTGTTATCATTTTTCAAATCTCTTTGAAGATAGATACACAATCAGATAAATTGATAAAAAAATATTCACTGATATGAAAACAAAGAACTTAATGATAACTTCAAAAAGTTTTTTAGTTTATAATTCAAAAAAAAGACGCTTGAAATTCAATAACCATAAACAAAGAAATCATTTAGAAAAACATAAACAATGTTAACTTTAATTTCGGCGCTATGTAAAATGCAATTATTGCTGTTAAAAAAAATCATTTAATTTTTCGATGTAAATTTTTGTGGTTGTAATATCGGAAAAGTTTTGAATATTTTTTGCGGAAAAACAAAAGATTTTTAATGAACGATATCATGTTCTATATTATCTTTCTCATTGTTTTTCATTCTTCTGTTGCATTTTAAAAGCAATTTAGCAATTTAAAAACGAACGGTACAGTTTGCTCAAACCAAAAGCAATTGAAAAGGAAAAAATTAAAGAATTTTTATCAAACAGAAATAGTGTGATCAGTTAAGTTTGAAAATATACTGTATTTATATAATGCCTCAGAATATAAGCAAATATCTCAGAACACATTGATATGTTTTATTGTTGAATTTTAGCAATATGCAATGATGAGCCTAATAAGGCATTAACAACTTCTAACAGATCCGCCATAGATCCTGTTGACTAAATTTTAACAAATGAAAATACTTTAATTATTATTGTATTACAATATTCTAAATCAAACATAAAAAAAGTAATTCTTCATGAGAGCTTAGTAAATTGATTCATTGGTTTCAACAAAATAAAAACCCGAAATAACTCTTAGAAACAAAATTACTTTAAATAAACAAAAGAAAACAAAGAGTGAACTTTTTCTTTTGTGAATAAATTTTTCATATTATCAAATCTGATTTTGTAATTTCTCTACTCAATGTGCTTCAAAATAGTATTATAAAAATCAAATCTGTTATTCTACTGTTTTGCTTAATTTAAGACAAAAAAATTGTATCATCAAACATGCAAATTATGAGCCTAATGAAGTACTAACAATTTCTAACAAATCCATTCAGTTTTAACAAAATAATCTTTTTATGAAGACAAACTTTCTTATATAGAACATATCCAGCAACTATCAGGCTGTTACAGAAAATGCATTCCAGGTCATTTTTTCCTGGCCACATCGGTGACGCCCGAACAGAAATTTTCTAGCGATTGGACTTCATGCGAGATATGCTCCAAAACGGGTCTTTTTACAGTTCTTGTAAGGTTTGTTTTGTCGAAACATATATATTGATCTTAATTACTCGTATGACTCACTTCTGTTACGATGTGCGCTATACTCTATATTTCTCACTAATTTTGAAATTCGAACTTTACCATGAATCATTTAAATATTTTCAAGAACTATGACAATTTGCTATCGATAAGCCTTTTGGAATTGGATAGTAATTTTAAAGTGTAAGATAAACAACTTTTTATTGTTAAAAGTAAATACTTCGAAAACACAAATTTTTAGAGCTTATCAGACACCAAGAACACGTATCAAATTATGCTGGAAATTTGCTAACAGTAAGAAGAGCATTTATCGATATTGCACATTTCTACGAAACTGGAGATCTACTGATTATGCTAGCAAGCATTTCACTATCACTCCGAAACAGCCAATTCAAGTATTATAATTGTTATTTTGTTTTTCTTTCTTTAAAAAAAGGAGATGAAATTTAGTTGAGAAAGTTTTCATACATATTCATTATTCAAACTTTCATTCAACAGTTTAACAAATTTATACGTAAAAGATTTGCATTTGTTTGAGATAGCAATAAATATTTGTAACTTGAAAGGAACATTTCATTTTAGTTTTATATCAAACTACATAATCATGGACAGTCTATAGCGACAGCAGTTATCGACAATATAAAAGTTGTCACTAAAGAATGTGACACACCTTTAATACGATCAAAACAGAGATCAATGAAAATATATCCGATACAACGAATTCGGGATAAAGAAGGATTTACAACACAAGCTATAATTTCTCCATATGCAATGAGCAAGCAAATAATTATCAAGAATTCTACAAACACATCTAATCCAAATTCTTCATTTAGTTAGTTCACTCTCTCTAAATTTTACAAATGCTTAAAAATTTTAAAGATCTGAAACATTTACAACATTAAAAAAAATTCTTCAAAAGTCATCAAAATTTCAGTACTCAGTGATATTTTTGGAGATGCTTTTGCACAGTTTTTGGTGGATGATTCGGATGGCTTAATCATTGAAGGTCAAAAGACTAGAAGAGGTGATATAAATAGGAACAAGTAAGCTCTTCATATTTATCTTAAAATAAAATTAAGAAGAGGAAAGAAAAAACAGAATGAAAGGTAAGAGAAGGAAGCTGCAATAATGAAACGTTTAAACCAAAATTTTCGTTGGGATTTTAGTATATTACTTAAAATCTGATCATAATTTTAATGAAATGAATGCATAAAATGAACTTATAAATGAACTTTAATTACTGATAAAAGTTCGGTGTACATTTAACCTCTTGCGGAGAATGAGTAAAAAAGCTTTCAAGTTTGGTGTACACTTTACTTTTTGCGGAATATGAGCAAAATGAATATAAATGTTGAATAGAAAAAATTTTAGCTAAATTTAAAAAATCCTTACCAAGCATTCGGAAAAAAAAACTTGTTTAGATGGTTCAACCGAAATAATGCCGAACAGTATAATGTAGTATATGCTGCAACAACCACTGCTCCAGAACTACCCTTCACTTTCAACCTTTTGGAATGCAATACTGTTGGTGGTTGTTTATTCGACCAGTCAATGTGCACTTATCAAAGTTCACTTATGTCTCGCGGTTCAACTTTCCAACGGGTCAGACGTAAGTATCTCAACTTAATATTTCGAAAAACCGGAAAATCCTATTTTTTCGACGAAGTTCTTCAATTGATTTTGCTTCCAAACCAAAAAATTATGAATCTTTGAAGAAACGCTTTGTTACTTTTGTCAATCTAAAACTCTTAGTTCCTATTTTCGGACATTATGTAGTGCTTTCTTCATTTTTTCCTCCTTTATTTGCAATATTCTAAAACTTCTAATCATTGTCAAACTTCTATCATTTTAGTTTATGATCGAAATTTTATGCAAGCACTTACGAAACCGAATACAATAGCAGTATTGGAAACAGACACATCATTCACAGAAGATCATAAAATCGTATTCGACGCATTGGAATTCACAGAAGGAGAGCGGTTGTATGGATGCTGCTATAATACAAAATTGAACTCAGACGGTTCATTTACTGCATTTAACCTCATTAAATATCAATTTCATTCAGTCAAACGCATACCATGCTATGAAGATAGCAACGATTAGACATTTTCGAAGTAAGCGATCGTATATAGGTAGCCGAAGCATGAAAGCGCTTTATCACTTCTCAGATAGTGAAGTTAGAGCAAAACTTGGAGTAAATGAAATTTTCTACTTTTGGGGCGGAAAAATTGAAACTAATTCTTTTCAGAAACCTTAATCAATATAAGGACGTTATTGGGAGGCAAACAACCGTCCGAACTATTTTGTCCATTTGCAACAGCAGCGCACTCAACTCCACTTGTTTGGAGGACAGAAAGATTTACTTGTCCCCAAGGCACCGAAAAGGTATCAAATTTTTGAACAATTAAAAGAACGATTAGGCAGATAATCCTGTACAATTTTACGTTTGATATTCCTGCATCAGACAGAGACGGCAGCTTATAACTTCAACTACGATTATTAATGAACCGAATATGTGATAAAAACCCTACAGGGTGAAAACCGGACTGTTAGCTAATCAGAATAATAAAATTAACCATAAAAAAAAGAATAGAACCTAACAAAAGCATAAAGTGAGGAATATATGATATATATATATGATCAGCGTAATCCATTTCAGATTCTATTTATGTGTGAAAATAACGGAAAAATAAATGGGGCATGTGCAATGGACAATATTAGAATACACAAGATTTTGGATGTTCTGGAAATGGAACCATGTCAAAAGAACATTATCTCCTTCTCATAAACCATTTTTTCGTTCAAAGACCTTCTAGGTAATTTGATCTGAAAAAGTACATGGTACACATTTTGACCTGCTAACAGATGGTTCAGAAATTCATCTAAATAAATGATCTCAAGCCATTTGCTGCGAATTTCTGAATTAGAATTCAGAAATGAACATTTCCGAAATCATCGAATTATTACTTATATCTAGTCTACCTACCTCATGTCTGGCATATCATATTATTTTGATATTGAAACGTCTTTAAGACATGAACAAATAAAAATCATTTTTAATCGAAAAAAGTCATATATATAAAAGTGAATAAAAAAAGGTATTGGAAGAGGAGGTATCCTGGAGCAAAAGACCACAAACATCTGCTCACACATCATACTTTTTTTAGTAGCCATTAGGTCACGTAACATTAGTTATAAACGCAAAAATGTGAATAAAAATCCAGGAGTGGCTAAAAAGTCATTCAGCTTATCATTTTTGAATTGCCGGAGATAACGATTTTGAAACAAGGCTGAAAAACCGATATAGTAAAAACTCGAAGAAAAAAATGTGAGTGCCGTTACTGCATAGTAAATTTAAATGATGTCAACTAAGATTTTATGAAAAATAATTTTTATTTCATCCTAAATTTCGATATGTCGCAGCTCCAAAGAATTAAAAATATTTTGCGCGCTCAGAGTTACGATTATGGTATTGTGTGTAGGACCCAACCAAAGACAAATGAAACCTAGAACCAAAAAAAAATTATTACCTTAAGCAATAAAATAATTGTTTGCAAGCAGAATAAACAACTGGGAGGTAGAAAATTAAAATAAAAAGTTAAACAACACCTAAATTCTACAGAACTGCTTAACATTTTTGAAATATACATATAATCAAACAAACTAATTCATACATTCCAAAGAACAGAAAAAAGTCGATCTGGAATTGCAAGGCTGAAAGGCATTGAGACACAAGCGCAACGTCACATTCAAGAAAATCATTTTGCATTCAAGCTCAAGAAATCACCTTTCATTACAATTATTCCTACACGAAGCCAAAATACTCAGCATAAATAAGAACTCGAAAAACAAAAAATAAAAAATTTCAAATATAATACAGAGAAAATCAAATAACAATGCACCAAATTAGTGAGATGCAAAGAAAACGAGAAAACGAACTAACATCCGGGAACAAGAGAGATCATCGATAAATCGTTGTTACTACTTTTAATCAACCAAATCAGGAATCGATTCATTAGTGACATCGAGAAGCGGTAAACCATTGGTGATCGTTTTATTCGTACCTTCAATAGATTCTTCCATTTCTAAGTCATCCCCAATTTTTTCTGAAAATAATGATCAACAAATAATTCTCTAAATGAAATATAAATATTTACTCCTAAACTAGAATTCTTTTCTACTAACTATATTTTCTAAATAAAACTCTATTTTCCATTTCCATTAATAATTTACACTATGAAGAAATGAGAAATAATACTACTAAACACTATCGTACATCCCAAATACATTGTGGTGACTGCAAGCTTTCAGTCTTACACATAACAGAAATTGAGCGTTTTACAAAGAAATAATTATAAATATTTGATCTATTAGACTTCATTTTCACTAGAAATGAAATTAGAATCCCACTTCATAAAAGTGAGTTCAGAAATAAAATCAAGTGTGCAACAGTCTAGACTTAAAAAAAAATTTAATCCAAGTTGATCAAGCAGACGTATTAATAATGAAATTTTATAATATAAATCAATTCGGAAACAGAGATAACAGTAAGATGATATTTTACTACCCACCTTCAACAATCCCTATGTTCTGCTTTCGATCATCATTTTTATCATCATCGCTTCTCATAGGAAAATCGTCCTCTGTTTTTTCTATCATGGTTTCAATATCTTCCATATCTCCACTTCCTTCATTTTTCCTCCATTTGATCGCAAACGTAGTTACGCGGACATCATCAGTACAAACTCTTCTTTGCAGCTGCAACAGGCCAGACATTATTTTAAGCACTAATCCAACACTTTTTGTAAAAACATGCAAATTATTTGATCTGGCAACAAAGATTTAACTAATACTTTCTCCAGAATCGGAGATGCAGGGGGTTCTTCCTGGAATTCTGGATCCGTGTATTCTGTCGCAACGAACCAACCAATATTAATGAATTCCTGTTCCATGTATCTACACTTCAACAACAGCACTGTTACACCAACAATTTCACTTTCCGGTATTTTAGACGGGTCCGGACCATCAGCCTATAAATAACTATAAATATAGGAATATTATTATTTATTAAAAAATTTCACGACGCTCAACCAAAAATTGTTGAACAAGCTTTAATAACAATTCCTCTTAATTTCCAACGAAAATTCCGAAAAATTTAATATGAGTTTCCAAATAACTCATAACAAACTTCAATCTTTATAACTCAAGTAACATATAGCTCATGAACTACACTTTTTTATTGTAGCATACCATACTAAATAAAATAAGTTTAATACCTATTAAATAAAAAAAATCCTCTTTTTATCATTTTATTTTGTATCTGCACATACTCCAAAAACAAAAAAAACCTCGAAAATAAACTTGTGACGTCCTTCCACAACTGGACCGACTAGAATGGAATCAAGAATTTGATCATATTTATTTGATTCACCTGAACCAACATACACTAGTTCCCAGTCTAGGTCTAAAATAAATTGTAATATGAAGAATAATCATATTTAATCATATATAATTTTTATGATATATAGAGTTTTGATCAATCACAATAATGTACAGTTTGCACTATATGCAAACAATGCTCATAAACCGTTGCGGCTACCTCAAAAAATAGAATAGTGAACTAACCATCTATGAGAGGTTCGTAACATTCAAAAGTGATTTCCAACTTGAAAGGGTCACCGAATTTTCCGGGATTTCCCAACACATTTACACTGCATACATTCACCACAGAAGCCATTTCTGGAATATAGTTAAGCCAATTAGCAGTATTGTTTGTGCAGAAAGCATAGAAGACGGACTTAAAGGAATGATTGAAACATTTCTCCTACCCGTATTAGATTTCATGTGCAAAATGACTTTCTCCAAGTGAGTTTCACTTCTCCCTAATAAAATAGCAATTTCCTTCGAAAGGTCAACGATGTTCAAAATAAAAAAAAAAGACTGTGGAGGATCATTTCATACTTCGGTGATATCCGTTACGAAAAAAAAAAGCTACATTACATCTAGCTGTACTGAAATGTGACATGAAGTTCAGTTAGTCACAGCCGCATACTATTCTATAACAAATTGTAGTGGAAAGCACTGACGTAACCTTACACTCTTATTTCACCAAGCAACGCAAGAAAAACTACACAGCCGAATTTACCTCTGCCTTTTACCCTTTAAACCCATGCAAATCATAGCGATAGAAAATCATAGCGATACAAAATAATCACGCGGACAGAGAATGAAAATTTTCCATCCCAATGGGAAATATCAAGAAGTTTGTTGTCAGCTTCATTAAGCGTCAGTTATCTTAAAAGGAAAAATCAACCGATATTCAGTTTTGATGGGAAATACTGTAATCTTTTACAGGAAGTCTTAATGGATTTTAGATTCCAAAGCAGGAATATTCGATTCGATTCAATCATCGCTTGTTTCTCGAAGTCGGAATTTCAATATTTCAAGTTTCACGATAAACATGTTTAATGGTTTTCGTTTTGATAATGAACAATTCAATTACTAATTTGTGATTTTTACTATTTTAATTTGTTAAAATATAGCAGGAACGATACTAGAATTATTTAAACGGGTTATAAATAAGTGTTCGTCTCACCTAAATGTAATTTAGTTTGTTGTTGTCAGCTGCGTTGAAGTTCCCACCGCAATTCGCAAGCAACGATTTGATATATAAGTAGCATACGAATACAGATTAAGGCAACAAATAGAGATTAAGGCATAGATTATGAATAAAATTTTGTCCGGAAAAAAATTTGACTTATAAATTTAAAGGTATTATTAGATTAAATAGTATTTAAAGGTAGTAGATTGTATAATAAATGATCGAATGACAAATCACCTTGTTTTGTTTATTTAAGCAAATGAAATTAAACTAAAAATTCAAATTTGAGATTTATTTTGTTTATGTATTACAAATAATCGATGGCAAATCGAATATCCGTATAATCTCATACGGTGTAATCCACTGCGCTGGTTACTAAATAACTCAATTTACTGCTGGTCACACTAATACACTGCCTATCTTTGTCTATGAGCTGCTTTTAATTAGTTGCAAATAGAAGTAGGTTTATTCAAGCTTATAAAAGGACAGCTACTCATTGCTCATCATATCAGTAGAGAGAAAAGAGGGGAGAATTTTGGGATTGACAAATGGATAGGCCTGCCTTCTATAGAATTGTGTTAGACAAACACTTAGTAATGGAATGCTCTTTCTCTTCATGTCTAAGGTTGCAGTCGGCTTGTGTCCATACGACAAACCACATGGAAAGATTTTTTAAAGGATTCTCTCCCGGGAAAACATTAAGGCCTCGAATGGAGGTTGAGATTATCTCTGCAAGCAATGTACGCAGACGAAAAAGGCTCGAATTGGAATTTTATGGAGGTGCTATGAGTCTGATGTTTAATGACGAGACCTACAGTAGAGAGCATTATCCAAAATGACTCTTTTCAGTCCTAGCAAAAAGGCCTTCTCTCCTCATCCTATTTCCGTTAAGCTGATTTTAGCAATAAGCTAGAGCAATATAGTTCGAGGCAAAATGTTAGAGATGAAATAAAGGAGGACGAGACAGCTGCTTCTTCCATTGGCCTCCAAAGGATCGATATATGGGTTTCAAGCCTAGTGCACTTGGAATGTAATCGCCTCAACTACATATCCATGCCATTTTTTATGCTGTTTCACTATTCAATTTTTTTTGCAACCTAATATTCATTCCGAAATTTTCATCAGTTTTTATTTAGTATATCCTAAAAATCATAAGAAATTTATGACAACTAATTCTATCCATTATCATAAAGATACTGTAAAGGTTATCAGAAAGGTGATACTATACTATTTTTTCAGCTTTTAGCCTAAATTTTATCATTTGTAAATTCTTATTGGTATTTCATCCATTATGTAATCTTTAAAATTATTTGGTTGAATAATTTCGATGTTTTCAAGTTACGACTTACTTATCAAATGATGTTAATTTAAACGATTATCTCACTTTGTCCACTAAGAAATAGTAATGAATAAACAAGAATTTTGCTTTGTCTTTATGAGAATAAGGCTGAATGACTCAATTGATGAAAGATGATTCATACGGGTTTTTCTAGGAACAAATCCCCACTCATTCAATAATGCGAATAAGAATCGCTTTTATGCTTTTCAAGAAGATGCATCCATTTTTGTCGTAAGCATGTATTTATGATAAAGAGTAAAACATTTCATGCAGTTTATATTAGTTAATTACTGGGGAAGAGAAAGAAAAGAAGGAAGTTGTAGGCTATGATGGTTAGGAGGTAAAATAGCTTTGCTTAATCATTTTAAAATTTATAGCATCCAATGAACTACCCTTCCCTCCTCATCTTTCACCAAGTTTTCGTCTATTTTTCCCTTAGATAAACTTTATTTCGGACTAATCTAATAATTCATATCAAGTAATTAAGTACTTAAATAGATAAGTGGAAAAAGTAGTGGTGGTGGGAGTATATTCTTCGAAAGTTACAATCAATAAACGGCTTCTCTAAGTATAATTTGCATTAAATGTAACTTTACAATAATCAAAATGTAATAGCTTTAACTTATCAAATTACTGAAATATACTCATATCTTTAGCTATATATTAATATATTACTTTTGCTTTGACTTCCATATTTGATATAGTTGTTGTGTTAATATTAATTTCATATGTGTTAATAATACATCTCATACTTCCTATTTAGTCTTATTATTAACTCATAACAAATGAAAAGCAATGGCGTCAACCTTGACGTGAGATATATTTGTGTGCTTAATAAAGCTTAACTCTTTGGTTAACATTATGATAACGAAATGCTAATTTGCAAATGCATGAAAATTGGTTAAATGAAAGGAAATGGCTAGGAGACAGAGGGAAAGAGTAGAAAATCGACATATAAAGCTGTTTAATTAAAAAGCAAAAAATATTTTATATGAAAATGTTGCTTGCAAATAATTCAGAATTTTGATCAAATTATCATCAATGAAAGTATCCAAATAGATCAGCTACGTTCACTTTCATAAAATTTTTATTCCTAACTTTTCAAATTATCAAATGATAAGTTTTTTAGTCTTTCCATCTTTCATTTTCCCTGTTTTTTCCTTTCTGTTTTCTCCTTTTGTTTTCCACTTTTTGTTGTTACTTCGGTTATATGTGTGCCAAAAGTTCAATTCGTATACTACGAACCGTTACTTTTTTCTCTTCATATTAATTTATAATTTGCATTAATTACTGCATCGTAGTGCACTGCACGTTGTCGTCTCTTTACCCATTGATTAACGCTAGCTGTTTGCTTGAAATCAATTTGGGTCGATGAGAAATTCAATTGGTCCTTCTTGCCACATATTTGGGGACTGATTGGTGCAATTATATGTAGTTAAATCTCTGACAATTCTGTATTATTACTCATCTCCTGCAAATTTGTTGTGTACTGGAAAGTCATGGAACCTTCGCCATACTTGCATGGTAGCCTTCGTCATACTATGCCAGCAGTACGAAATGATATGGTTTGAAATACCACAACACAATATCCAAAAGCGCTAAAATCATTAGCCAAAGAAACGCTATTAGGAAAAGATAACGAAAGCTGTAGAAATAAAATAATCTATTTCTGAAATGTTCATATTTGAATCGCTTTAAAAGCAATTTCCAATTACTTAAACATTCAAAGATTTCCTTTGTTAGCAATGCTATTTATCCTTTATTTATTTCATTGTTTTTATTTTTCACTTATTTGCATGAAATACTGGAGGGAGAGAGAGAGAGAGAAGGAGAGGGATAAGAAAGAAGAAAAGGTAAATGAATGAAAGGAAGCAAACAACGAGTGGTGTTTTTTTTATAATCAGTAAGAGGAATGTTATTGCATCATCATCAATCATCTATTCGTATTTTAATCGAACTGCCCAAATGGTGCGAGTGGTTTTGAAGTAATGATGGTTGGTTGGTTGGTAATGATGATAGTTGGCTGGAAGGATTGGATGAATGGATGACACTGTCAATAATATTTGACTGTTCCTTTGGTAACATTTGATTTACAAGCCCTTTCCGATGCACTCTCTTTCCTTCCGTACTTTTCATTAAAAAATAAGCGATTAAATATTAAATTATTCTTTTCACTCAAATTTGGCAGCAATAAATTTTCAGCTCTATGGAAATGTTTATGGTTGAATTTGTATTCTATAATTATCACTTTTGATTAAATCATATATTAATTACGGATAATTTTTTCTTTCTCTCTCTATCCCTCTTTCTTTTTCACCCTTTTTCTCCTTTTTTTCTCACCCTTTAAATATATATATATATATATAACTGATAAGTTGTATAATATACATGCTATTTTATTTTATTGCTTAGAAAATGTTAAACATATCATTATTGCATAATGTCTCTTGTATTTCTTTTTGCTATATGTTAATATTCAAAGATTTCGATGCAATTATTTAAATAATCGAGAATTTAATAGAATTGAATTCAATCCAATTAAAATATAAAGAAAGCGAATAACCCAATAGTCTAATTCATATTGAATGTAACATTTTACACATTATAATATCAAATTGAATAAGTAATTTGAAATTTATAATTTAGATAGAAATTAGCTGAAAGGCAAATATTTCATTTAATTGTGAAATATTTGATTAGTTTGTCATTTCAGTGATTCATTCCATCTTATTTTTATATTGCATGCCCATCCATTTGTTAAGCAAAAAATTCTGATATAATAAAATGAATTGATAATTTGTCGTAATTTCATAAAAATTTCAGGCATTAACCTAGGTCAAGCTAGGTCAAATAGGTCAAATATGTCATCTGTTAAAGTTGCTGTTAGAGTGCGTCCATTTAACAGTCGAGAAATTAGTAATAATGCGAAAATAATTATTGCTATGGCTGAAAATACCACAAGTTAGTTGCATTTTTATTTCTAGTTTTTGACAGGAAAGAAACTTCTGAAAGGAAAATGAAAAAGCTGTAGATGCATTTCTGGAATAAATAAACATCCAGCTATTCAAATATTTCAAAATCGACGCTTTCAAATTTTTAAAGAATTGAATAAATTGCTCATGGAAGATAAATTTGATAATGGCAATGATTTATAAAGAAAAGAAGCTTTATTTGATTTTCTTCCAGTATTTCCAACTATTGAGGAATGAATGTAAGGGAAATAAAACTGATTATTTAGCAATAATCGGTGGAAGTGCTCCGGAACGAACACATAGTTTCAACTTTGATTATTCTTATTGGTCATTCAATAAAGATGATCCTAATTTTGCAAGTCAACAACAAGTTTACCAGGATCTCGGTGTTGAAATGTTGGATCATGCATTCGAAGGGTAAACTTTTTTTAATTTCAAAAAACTATTAATTGAGCTTTTTTCCTGGGCATGAGATTGTTGGAATTCTTTCACTTCTCTCTAACAAGTTTTTGATTTTGGATGAAAATATTTTATAGATATAACGTCTGCATATTTGCATATGGACAAACGGGTAGTGGTAAAAGTTACACAATGATGGGTAAACCAAATGATGAAGCTGAAATGGGTATTATACCACGTTTGTGTAATCATTTATTTCAAAAAATTCATGGTAATCTGGATTTCAATTTGAAATATTCAGTTGAAGTAAGTAATTTTAATTTAATCTTTTAATATAATCCTTTGATAAGGAAATTATTTTAGGCGGATCTTTTCTATACTTTTTCTGATTTTTTCTTATTTTTGCTGACTTTATTAGGTATCATATATGGAGATATATTGTGAAAGAGTTCGAGATTTATTGAATCCATCGAATGGAGGGAATCTTCGTGTACGAGAACATCCTCTCCTTGGACCCTATGTTGATGATCTTACCAAATTAGCTGTATGCTCCTATCAAGATATTTGCGATTTAATGGATGAAGGAAACAAAGCGAGGTAAACTTTTTACTGTTCTTCATTATTTCTTTAAATTCAAAATCCAAAATAAGATTTTGAAGTTATTCGACCGCTTTAAAAGCATAATTCGTTATTAAAACAAATCAGAGTAGGTAGAAATTGAAGAATGAAATTAATGAATCTTTTTTAGAACTGTAGCTGCAACAAATATGAATTCAACGTCAAGTCGTTCCCATGCTGTCTTCACAATTGTTCTCACGCAGAGAAAGCATGATCCGGATGCAGATTTGGATTGTGAAAAGGTTAAACTAATTTACACAAATCTCTTTTATATTTACTTCTTTACCTTCCACTTTTGTTCAGTTAAAAATTTGAAATTCCTTCAAATTAAAGTCGCTTAAATTTAATAAATTTATTTAAATTTTTTAAAATATAAAGATTATAGGTCAGCAAGATTTCATTAGTTGACTTAGCTGGAAGTGAACGAGCCACATCAACGGGTGCTGAGGGTCAGCGCTTAAAAGAGGGTGCCAATATCAACAAAAGTTTAACAACGCTTGGTCTTGTTATCTCAAAATTGGCTGAAGATGTTAGTTCATCATATAAAATCCTTAGCGACATAAATGTGTTTATCATTTAATGCTTTATCGTTTCATTTAAGCTTTTTTACATTTTGAAATATTCAGTTCATTTTAGGCAGGTAGAAAGAAAAGTAAATCTAAATCAGTGATACCATATCGTGATTCGGTACTGACTTGGCTGTTGCGAGAAAATCTCGGGGGAAATTCGAAAACTGCGATGATTGCTGCATTATCACCTGCGGACATTAATTTCGACGAAACGCTAAGTACATTGAGGTATCATTTTCCGATTTCCCTAGATTTATAATAGAACTTACTGCTATGATCTTTGATCATTAAATTTATCAATAATTTAGCTAATTTTATCATCTAAAATTAAAAATATCACTTTATCATTCATTTTATTCCATGTTGATTTGATTACCATATGATTCTGTAATTACAAGCTGATGTCAAGCCGATTTTTTTCTTACTTAAAATTGATTTTCAACTATGAGATACATGCTTTTGATTTCAGATGAAATATATAAATCAATAATTCAATTTTCAATAATATTTGAGGTATGCGGATCGAGCTAAACAAATTGTATGTCAAGCAAAAGTAAACGAAGATCCGAATGCGAAATTGATTCGTGAATTAAAGGAGGAGGTATTGAAACTTCGAAGTTTGCTTGAATTAAAAGGTATCGATAGCGATGATCCACAAAATGAAAAAGCTGTCTATTCGGCTAGAGATCATGATACTATTGAACAGCTGAAAGGTTGTCTTTATTTTTTTCTAAGGTTCAATTTAACAGCATGTGCGCACTCTTGATGATTTAAAATCAAGCTCTAGTCAGTTAAAAAAAAGTTTTTCATTGAATTTAATGAAAAATTAGAGAACAGTTCCTAATGAAGCTAAAATTAGGGATTAAAATTGTAAAATGTTTGAAATTTTGTATTCTAAACATTCATAAAACATTGAACTCCAAAATCATTTTTCTGTAGATTTATAGCATCTGAAAAACTTATTGCTGAACTGAATGAAACCTGGGAGGAAAAACTGCGCAAAACCGATGAAATTCGTAAACAGCGGGAGGATGAGCTCCGTGAAATGGGTTTAGCCACCGGTGCTGATGGTACCACTCTTGGAGTTTTTTCGCCAAAAAAAGTTAGTATAATCTATTCCAAAGTTATGACGAGTAATTCCGCTGGGCAAAAAAGGGAAGGAGTAATTTTGAAATAGCATTTTGAAAATTTTTCTCACAGTATTTTTTTACAGTTTCCGCATTTGGTAAATTTGAATGAAGATCCTCTTATGTCGGAATGTTTGCTTTATTATTTGAAAGAGGGAATAACAAGGTAAGCACTAGCAAATAGTTGCTCAATTATTTCCCGTCTAAATGTAAGTACAATACGAGAAATTCAGTGCTCAGAATAGATTTCCCTTTGATATTACTTTTTATGGTATTAAACTTTTATGGCATCGTTACTTTTTATGGTATCATTAATGGACTTCTCGACACTTTTATCATACCAAGAATGACCTAAATTGGTCGTTTTGAACTTCGATCATTAATTTTTAACAGTTTATAGCTGTAATTTGCAATTATTAACCGCTTAATTTAGGTGTTTTTAGAGTTGGACGACCGGAAGCATCTCATCGTCCGGATATTCTTCTGAGTGGTCAGCTTATTCTTGACGAGCACTGTCGTTTCTTGAACGAAGATGGAGTAGTGCATTTGATTCCGGAACCCAATGCGCTATGTTTCGTGAACGGCAAACCAGTTACCTCGTCGGAAGTGTTACATACAGGTTCTCGCGTAATACTTGGCAAATATCATGTATTTCGGTATAATGATCCAATTGAAGCCCGTCAAAGTCGACAAAATCTAACAAATTTGATGCCTAGTGAGTATCTATTTTCGTTTTCTGATTACCATTACATTCAAAACGATTGATATGAAAAGTTTTTAATCCATCATTTATTTAAAGGTTGTTTTTGATGTTTTTGCTTAATAAAATTTGCAGTAGTTCGAGCTTAATTTTTTTGATTTAAAATACAAAAAGTCTCAATTTAAATTGCAGAATAAGCAAGTACGTATATGAAAGTCACTTGTTTAGGTGAAACGCTAGATTGGAAATACGCTCAACAAGAATTATTAGAGAAACAAGGTATCGATTTGAAAGCCGAAATGGAGAAAAAAATGTTAGAAATGGAATCACAATATCGCCGGGAGCGTGAAGAATTGGAAGTAAAAATGATGCGACAAACAAAGGTTATGTTGTGATATGATTTTGTTACTGACAAATATAAAATTTAAATTTAATTCTTACTACTGTTAATAAAGTTAGAGGAATGACCAATAGAAGCTGACCTCAAGCATGTTAAATAGTCATAATTAGTCGCAATAATAAAAGGGTGGACTGGTAGGGATTCTATATCGACATAAGGATTATTGAAATGGCACTGATATTACGGATATTTTAGGAATACGAAATGCGTATCGAAACGTTACAGCGACAAGTTGATTTAGCACAGAGTATGATCTCATCTACATGTTCCACGTGGGATGGCGAACGTTTTCTTACAAGCAGCTTGCTCAATTTCGGTAATTTTCTAAAACTTATTAGTAAATAACGCTTTTCAGGAAAAGTTGATGGATACGATGTTGTCAGTAGATAAATCGATTAGCAATGTTATTAGTGGAAGCCTAAAAGGAAGGATAAAATTTGAAATTAATTATGCTTTTATTGAGTTTACTAGGATATTAAATTGTGTTATTACTGACATATGAGTATTAAAAAAATAAATTCTCTGCAAAATTATCATTAAAAAGTTAACATTTCGAGAGCAATTCCTAAATAGAATGAAATTGTGAATTTCAGTAGCTGAGCCAGAATGTAAATGGACGCCAGAGGAGGAACGAATTGCTCGTTGTACAGCAACAAAATGGCGCTATCATCAGTTTACTTCGGTTCGAGATGATTTGTGGGGCAATGCAATTTTCCTAAAAGAAGCGAATGCTATTTCTGTTGAATTACGAAAAAAGGTTAGAAAATGTACATGAAATAAAATATACATTTTTCAATTTTGTCACGAATTCATTACTTTTTATGACATATGGTTATACCGGTCACTAAAAAGGTTACTAGCATCAGAGCAATGTCATCGAGAATTTCGATCAATATATACATCATTTCAGGTACAATTCCAATTTGTTCTGCTAACAGATACAATGTACAGTCCATTACCACCAGATCTACTTTCACCTGGCGAAGATTTGTCCTTACGTCCGTATCCAAAAACAGTTGTTGCGGTGCAGGTGCAAGATTTGAAAAATGGTGCAATGCATTATTGGAGTATCGATAAATTGAAGTATTTGTTTTTAAATTTTTTCAGTTTTCAATTATGTGCACGTGTGTTAGTACATAGTCCAAAATACAGTCTTAGCTAATAGGCTAATGTTGCATGTATATCACGAGTTGTGGGAAATATAATATATCAATTATTTTAAGGACTATTTCATGGTTCTAAATTAAACTGTCATCAATTCTTGGACTCTTATATTATTATATTAATTAATACACACCTATATATTAATTACATTAATTAATACACACATATAATATTAGCGATTTTGTAATAATTTCCGTCGAGCTATGTTGAAGAATTTTTGATCGGGTGAAACAAAAGTACTGTTTAGGCAGAGTATTATATTTAACAGTAACTGATAATAGCTAGCATGCACTCTTCACTTCTTTATTATCTTTGTTCATCTTAAAAAAAACTAAAGGTCAAAACTAAAGGTTATTAAGTTATACACAATCTAAAGGCCATTAAGTTATACACAATTACTGAAGTAAGCACGTAACAATGGGAACTTGAAGATTTTCGGGCATTCCTTTTGATTTCAAGTTCATAGGATAGATTTTTCTTTAATGAATAATCTTTTTACTTAATTCTGAAGTCAGCTGAATATTTTCGAATCTTATCTATTTAGTAGAGCATATTGAATTGATGCCATTGATACTTTCTTCTGCTTATTTACAGTTTTATTTCTAATCAATTCTTTATCGAATATGCCAGTTTCTCTAATTATCGCACCTTTATTCAGTTTGCTAAATAACAGAGGTTAATTATTTGCGAGATTCTTTTTAACTTTTAACACCATTTGACATTATGCTTTGCTCATATCTATCCTACTTACCTTTCCAAATAGTCAAACATTACGATTACATTTCGCCTACCACATACTTCTCTTTCAATTACAATTCGAGAGAAGTATTTCTCAGCTGATGATAACATCGCAGTTCTTTTCGAAGGTAAAAAGAGGAATAAATAATATCTAAATATATATCTAAAATATATTATATCTAAAATATATCTAAAAAATTCATATCTAAAGCGTATAACTTAGGCTTTCAGTTCCATGATCTCAGAAATTCATTTCAACAGGTTTTAAATTCTATGAGGCAAGAAACTTAATCCTTCCTCTATTTTCTTCATTCCTCTCAGTTATTATTTTATATTTTTAGACCTTTCTTATCAATTATTTTCTCATTAAAGAATTAAATTAGAAGTTGAGATGGTTGCAGAATGAGATTGGAAGGTATGCGTCGCTCCTACAACGCCGACATAAGTGATGCGTGTACACCGGATAGTCCTGAAGAGGAACAACATCAATGTTGGCTTAGTGCTATGCAGTTCAATCCTGCGAGACTAATACCTGACAGGTGCCCACACCTCGTCACATCCACTGAATATTACATATTCACAAGCATGATACTGAATTGTTGCTTTTGCACTCTTCTAACCACAATAGACTTAGTTATTTGACATTTCGTGAATACGCTTGGTAGCTACACGTCGTATATTTTGTTATTCAATTCCAGAAAATTTTATTTAATTAATTTTGAATTAAATGCATCTTCTTACTTATTGTGTAAAGATATGCTGGGTTTTTGATATAATTTTTAACACAAATGATTACATATCATTGCATTCATAGCCTCACTTGATTTGAAGCCTTGAACTTTTCATAGCTTTGACTCCTAGTTAAAGTAGCTTAAATTTTAAAAGTGAAATGTTTGGGTAAGTTCAGTTGTTCTTTCATTAAAAAAGTTTGGATCATATATTTAAGACGTATATTTGGCAAGAGTAATTTTAGGTTTCAAATATTTACAAAAAGAAGATAGGAAACTTTTGATAACTACATCTAAGCTAACCCATAAAGTTAATAGAATCTTGACTTATGGTCCCTTTTATAAAAATTGAATGTTACACAATTCTTATTTGCGAAAAAATTCAGTAGGTAATTTAAAGTACTGTTATTTGTTTTTCAACATCTTTGAACTTGTTGAATTTTTAAAAAAAGATGTTATATTGAAGGCAACGTTTGGAATCGATGCGTGAAATGTATCACATGGAAGAGGGATATAGTCCGGAAAGTCCAGAAGATCCAATGATGGATGCACTAATGGGTACCGATCCATTCTATGATCGTTTCCCCTGGTTCCGAATGATTGGAAGGTTAACATTTGCTTCATTCTTGCTTAGTTAATTTACAAACTTCATTTCGTAACTTAATTTTTCTCAATTTTTACAGGGCTTTCGTTTACCTAAATAATCTAGTCCACAATGTACCGCTTGTGCATAAAGTTGTAATTGTTAATGAAAGAGCCGAAGTTAAAGGTCATCTTCGTGTTGCTATAGAGCCTGTTTCGGATGGTATGTTTTATCAATCTTTACAGATTTTTAGGAATTATTATTAATAATGAATAGTTTTATTTTTTCATCGAATAATTCTAATAAATATGTTAAAATGTAATACAGATGAGATAAAACCATCAAAAGGTGTTAACCAGTCGATAAAGTGTCACTTCCGCAAGGAAGACTTCACGAAAAGAGTTCAATCAACGACTACAACATTAGAATCTACAAATGAACGTTTCGTAGAAGGTATTAACACAAAAGATGGTGATATGCAACAAATGATCGGTAAGAATTCCTTTATAATTCAGAATTCTGTGTAGTCTATATCACTTGCATAAAAGATTTTAATTTTAAAATATCAGAATTAATGTTGTTTTGATAATTATAAAAATTTCTAGAAAAAGTCGACGAGGAAGTTGTACAGCATCCAAAGCATATGCAAGTTGATACGGAATATTGTTTTCGTATTACTATTATTGAAGCGTCTGACATCTCCGAACAATACACTGATGTATTTTGCCAATTCAAGTCCGTTTTTTAAGATTAAATTTAATTTTTAATTATTTCTAATTTTCAGAAGTTGTTTTAAATTTTACTACATTTTTCCATTTATTGAATTTTTTAAGGATATTTATTGAATTTATTTTTATGGTTGTGAAATGAAGATTTTTAAAATATTACAGTTTTTTGCATCGTCATGATGAAGCATTTTCGACGGAACCAATGAAAAACACAGCAAAAACTCCATTAACTTTTGGCCATGTTCAAGTAAATAATTATATTATTGGCATCAGCTAAAAGTAACCGGAAATATTTGACTTTATTCTTCTGTCAATTTTTGACCGAATTTTATCCAAGTTAAAATTTATAATTATAGAATATTCGAGTGGCCATGTCACCAACATTTCTACATTACGTCAATCATTTTCCTATCATATTTGAAATTTTTGGTCATTATAAGCCATCAGTGCAACAATTTGTTTATGAACGTCAAAACAGTTCTCTTGGGTGCAATTTATTTACATCATTATGTAAATTGTAACTAAGTCCGACTTAATTAACTCCAATTTAATTAAGTGTACTCTTGCTAATCAAAATGAGCTCCATCAAATAAACTGAACTAAGGTTAGTGAGAAAAGCCAAGGAACTGAAGTATTTATTTAGAGAGAGGTAAATTACATTAAAATTTTCAATTCGATTAATCCTAACCAATTTAAAAAATGCTATATAAAATGATAATGAAAATATGAATTTAAGGCGGCGATTATCAACAAAATTATCGTTCCAGCAACCGTCGTTATTAATTGCAACACCTGTTAGGAGCAGAAAATCCACCATCATCCCAAACAAGTGATTCTTTCATATATTTTTAAAAAAATATGTATATTTTGCCATACTTGCTTTAATTCATAATTGATATTATAGTTTGAATCAAGTTCGATCAAAATATGATCTACTTGTGTGGTTCGAAATTTGTGAACTCGGAAGCAATGGCGAATATGTTCCAGCAACTGTCGACCATGCCCAGGGTGAACGATTGAGATATTTGAATATAACTAAAATTTAATTCATGAAACTTCAATAACTGAAAGAAATTTCGCGAAAGTTACTGAGTGTTGTAATGAAAATTGAGGAATTTTTGGTTGCCTTTTTCACTAATTATATATTCAGGTCTATTAACTCATGGCATATTTCTGCTCCATCAGGGAATCCAACGTCGATTGAAAATTACAATATGTCACGAAAAAGGCGATGATGTAAAGTGGAAAGACTGTCAAGAATTGGTAGTTGGTCGGATAAGATCTACGCCAGAATGGAGTGGTGAAGATGTGGACGTATTATCTTTAGGATTGTTTCCAGGGACATTCCTAGAATTCTCAATGGATGATAGGTACGCATTTTATTATACGACCAAGTAATAGACATGTAAAAACTATATAATTAAGCTTGTAACATAATATGTTACAAGCTTATCATTATATTTTCATTCATTCACTTTATATTTATTCAGTCATATTTGATTTAAAAGAGAAATGAAGCATCGAAGTTAATTTGAACTTTCATTTCAGAATTCATAAATTTCTTCTATTTTTCAGAGTATTCTTTCAATTTGAAGCAGCTTGGGACAGTTCACTACATAATTCCCCACTTCTTAATAAAGTATCAAATTACGGTGAACAAGTGTATATGACATTATCCGCCTATATGGAACTGGAGAATTGTATCCAACCAGCAGTGATAACAAAAGATCTATGCATGATGATTTATGCCAGAGATTCGAAAATCTCAGCCGCCAGCAGGTTACCAACAATAGTCGCCCTATACAAATACGGCCTTATTATATGCTTTTTAAGGTTGTTTTGAGAAGAGCACAACGCAGCAAAACCAGCCTCTCGCTTGCTTTTTCCTTCTTTTACCCTTTGACCTAATTATTTAACACTTAGCTGTTTGTAGATGTGCAAGCTAATTTAAATCACTAAACACTGCGAAATATCAACAAACAAATGAAATAACTGACAGTTCAACCTTATTTGCTCATTTCCTCCTGCTTGTTTGCTAACCAAACTACTTATCTTGTTTTTATCCAGTCTTTAATTAAGACTAATACAAGCAGCAATGAATTTTACATTAGTAGTATATTCAATATATAAGTACGAACTTACGTGACGTGAAAATATACGCTTATAAGCAATATCATAAGAGGCTCAAGAACTTAGCATAATTAGCGAGAAAACCTACACCTCGTTCTGCGTCTCACTTTACTTTAGCAGATAAATTCTAATTATTTCATGAAACTTTAGATTTTTTTATCTTTCAAAAACCACCATTTTCTAGCAATTTTTTGACCTTCACGATAAGTTTAAAACGATTCTTTTGCTTAAATCGAATAATAATTTAAAAAACTGTTATTTTGCAAATTTAACAATTAAGGTTTTGTCGATCGCTTATTGGTGGAATAAGTAAAAGTCCTGAAATGAATCGTATACCTGGCGTTTATGAACTTACTATCAAGGAAACTCTCGACAAAGGTAGTCCAGGTGTGCTTGTCGGTTGTGCCTTTAAGTTCACTCTATCTGTTTGTTAAATGTTTACTTATTTCAATTGCTTTCTTGTGATAATTCTCATGACTACCAATTTTTCATTAAATTATCGAAAAAATTTAGGAACTTAAGGAATAAACTGCTTTAAAATAAACCTTCGCTCCATTTTTTCCCTAATTTTAGAATTTCGAAAATGAAAATAACTTTGGTTATCTCTTGAATTTTGCATATTTTTGAATCATTTAAATTTTTTAAAGAATATTTCACATACTTCCGAAGTTCAAGTGTAGCAATTATAGCAATCATGTAAATTACAACCTTGCTGTGATACGATTTGATTTTTGGCTAATGTTTTGCGATGGTATATAATTTATTCAAAATTGTGAATAACTAACAAATTTTTATCCGACAATAGGAGCCGCACGGCGGCAACGACGCGTATTGGATACTTCATCAGCGTACGTTCGAGGTGAGGAGAATCTTGGATTATGGCGTCCACGTGGTGATTCACTTATATTCGAGCATCAATGGGAACTGGAAAGATTGACACGATTGCAACAAGTATGTGATAATGCTATTAAGCTTTTAAATTGCAATGCGTGGATTTCTTGGATACTGATAACTGATAAAGAATGATAAATATTCAGTAATTTTCGCAGTGACGCAAAAGTTATTTTCTTGGAAGATTTCAGGTAGAACGTGTTCGCCTATTTCTTCGTCTTCGAAATAAATTGAAATCAGAGAAGAAGAATGTAGGAGAAAATGATATTAAAACACCGCTTTCTCCGACAACACCAAAATATCCGATTCCGACAATAATCAAGTTAACAGAGAAGGAAGCAGGTATTGCGCAAAAAGTACTTCGTCTAATCAAACAAAGAATACCAATAAATAAAGAGCCACCTACTGGAAAGGTTACTTTTTACTTAGCTTCTCTAATTTTTTATGTTACCTAGGCAATATATTTGAATAAGGTTGAATTATTTTGTATATCGATCAATAATGATATTTTTTATTGTAGATAATGGATCAGAGCGATCAAACGTCATCTTCACTCGGAGAAAGTGTCACAAGTCCCACTACTGATAAGTTAGATGATATTCAGACAAAATAATTTTTTTGTGAAAATAGCATTAAAAATTTTTAAAATTATGATAGTTGAAAAAATATATTTTATCCAACAATAACTTTTTCTTTGTTTCCATCGGATAGATTTTAATGTTTCCCAAGGTTTAAAATCTGAAAATACATTAGTTGCAAATGAAATTCTATACTTTCAGGAATTTATTAGTTAATTCGTCACTGTCGTCTGAGCTTTTAAATAAATTGAAATCGAAATCAAATCAAAATCTGGTACTTAGTTCTAATGAGGCGAATAACGGCATACATCGATCGATGAGCGGAAGTCGAATTTCACAAATGTCTTTGCTTGTTCCTGAGGTAATTTTATTTCATTCGAAAATTTAAATTTAAGTGCAAAACAATTTGAACTTTTGTTTTCATATTCCATTTTGCAGTATTGGATGCAGTTTTGACTTATCACACTGAACAGTTAGGCTAGAAATTTGATGTCGGAAATTGGCAAGCTGAAATAAACCAATATTTTATAACATTGATGTACTTCTAGAAGTTGACAGTAAGAGTGTTACCGTTGAGAACAGATAATAATGACTATACGAAGAAGCGAATAAAAGAATTAGCTACGGTTCATCATTTATCATTTAAAATAATTTTGATAAATCAAACTTTTACGATGGCTTAGGAATTGGAATGAAATTTAGTAAATTACAGGTAACAGAAGAGCGTGTGGGAATTGTTGTTTCCAAGAAAGGTTACATGAATTTCCTGGAAGAAAAGACGCAAGGTTGGGTGAAGCGATGGGTGGTTGTTAGGAGGCCATATATTCTACTGTTTCGTGATGACAGAGATTTGGTCACTATTATCTACATTATAATTCATATGTTTTAAATTAAAGTTTATTAATTTTTCCTTAATTTAAATATTCAAGTCAAAAATGTTTTTCCATTCTCTTATTTCATTACTTAGTGATTTACTGGTTTGATTTTCTTCTTGACTTCAAACATTTAAGGTAATTCGCGGTATAATAAATCTGGCAAATGCACGAGTGGAATATTCGGAAGATCAGCAAGCAATGCTTAAGGTACCGAATACCTTTTCAGTGTGCACAAATCACCGTGGTTTCTTAATGCAAACTGTAGACGATCAAGTTAGTTTTTCCTTCTTTCACATTCATTATTAACTTGTATTTGCATTCTATTATTTTATCTAGCAAATCTTCTTTGATAATATTTGCAGGTATAATTGTCAATGAATATTCAAAATATCAAAATTCATTTAAAACATCAGTCTTTTCCTCCCTTTTTTAAATGTAAATTTATCAACAATTTCAGATGTATGATTGGCTCTATGCTATCAATCCATTGTTGGCAGGTGAATTGCGATCCAAGAAGGGATCATTGGATATCCCTCTATGATAATCTATTTTTTTTCTCCTCTATTATCATCTGTTGCTACCGTTTGCTGCTACTGCTGCTGCTGCTGCTGCTGCTATATGGGTATTGTAAAAAGAAGCGTGTGTTATCATTATTATCATATGATAATTCATTTGATTCTTTCTTCTTTTCATTCTCTTTTCTGTTTTCTTCAGGAAATGAATGAATTTATATTTGTATCAAAAGTATAACTTATCTAATAGCAATGAAATAGTTTTATCAATAATGATTTGTTGAAATTTGTTTTCATAGGATGAAGTGATTTAGTTTTCAAAACTATTTTAATAAAGCGAATTAATTATCCAAATGATGGCATTTTATATCTTTTTTAGTCCATTGTTTTATCAGTGATTGCTTTCATTTTATATAAAATTATAGATAAATAAGGAATTTTCGCTGTTGTAATCAAAAGGATTTTGTGCTATTTTTAAAATTGAAATTTTGTTTTTAAAAATTTGTTTAAATGAAGCTATAATTTCATTCTTTGCTCATTTATTTCTTACCGATATTTGATTTGCTTAACTTGCTGGAAAGCTGTATATCGTGCTATCATATAGGTAAACTGTGATAATATTTAGTTTCGATAACCGATAGATGATCATTAGTTGTTAATCATTGATTTTACAGTAATTTATTTGTTGACAAAGAATCGAATGATGATATGATAAGGAATAATATTTCAGTTAGTTAAAATAGAATTGAAATTGTTTGACTGATTCATTTCTAGGCTTGTTGCTTGTCAAGTAAATAATATTTTTCATGCATTTTTCTGATGTTTGTAAAGAAACCAAGTACTTTTCCATAATTTTATTGCGATTTCACTCTTAAAGTGGATAAAAATCCAAATGGTTAAACAAGTTTCTCAACTAATTAAGAGTAATTAAGAATTTCTAATGACTCATAATGACTGCAAGTGTTACTATTTAACACTACTTTTTGACTGTTGAGAACAATTTAACTCTAAAAATTAAACTTTCGCAGATGAAATAATGGAGTTTAGAGATTTAGGTGGTCAGTTGTCGTTACATTAAATAATGAATCAAATGGGAAAGTACGGTTTCACCCGATCACTCTAAGACATATGATAGCTTCTTGCTAAATTTAAATTTTGAATTTTGCTTAGATTTTGTGAGAAGAAAAGCAAAATTGTGCTCTTTTAATATTTTATCAATCTTTCACCGTTATTGCTATGGCTATTGTTGTAAGCATTCCAATCTTTTTGTCCTAACTTTTCCCACTGTCTTCCTAATTTTCTACTCGTTTCATTTTTCCCTTTGCATTATCACATATGGATTTTAAAGGACAATATTACTGTACAGATAAACTATACTTCCAGTGATCATTGAATTGAGATGTTAGAATAGAGTGAAAGGTAATTGCTGTGGCAGTAAGTCAGAAGTTCGGTGTCATCGAACGTCGGATATCCTCTTAGTCATCGACCCTTATGAAGACTTTTCTTGTCTCGTTAATGACTTCCATAATTGATATCAATTGTAACAAATAAAACTAACAGATGAAGAAGTTCAAGAATTGAGAGTTGTAATTCATTTACATGAAAATTTTCGTAAAATTTATTAAATGAAATTTAACTGAAACGTCAACGGCTGAGTGGTCTAGTGGTATGATTCTCGCTTTGGGTGCGAGAGGTCCCGGTTTCGATCACCGGCTCAGCCCGATCTTTTTGAATCTCAAAAAAATACTGAATGTTTCATCTACTTATTTTCCACACCTGTATCTCCATCATTTTATTTCGCTAGATCTATTTTTCTTGTTTTACGAAAAGCTATCAGGAAAAACAACTATTTCACATATCTTTCTGAAATAAGCATACGTGGAGAAACATTGCGTTGGGAGAAGTTACGAACAGCGAAAATGAAGTAAAAAGTTCAATTATAGTGTTATTTGACTTAATTAAAGTTTATTAATGAATGCTAAGTTAAATACTAAAGTATTCTCTTTGTTTTAACACATTAATTGTTTTTTTTTTTGATCGATACAACGATTCATTTGGGTGTACGTAGGTGAAAGGTCGTGAGAGAAAACGATCTCTTTCCTCATTATTATTCAGCTATTTAATGAATAAATAATGGAGAATTTTTAAATCACCAAGGTATAACATTTGTGAACAAGCAAAACTGAAACCAAAACTGTAGAATTTTAACCATATCCTAATTTACTTCAAACCTTCCAGTATATCTCGGGACAAGAAAAGGAAAAATTTTTCATAGAACGACTTAAAAATGTAATGATCATAGAATATGAGAGGAATTTATTATTATCTCTATCTTAAGCACCAAAAATGTGCATTTTATGCATTTCAAGATTCTATCGTTTATTCTCCGCACTTTTCAATGGCAATTATCAAATTGCGCATTTATCAATGCACACAAATATTGATTATGAAATTCTTCATATATTCGATTTTTCATACAATCACAGAGTTCATTGGAACGATTTTAACGAATAAAATTATGTATTAATCTATTTGGAACTAAAAAAATTCACATATCCCTTTATATCATCTTGAATTCGTCTTATCTTTAATGGTTTCTTTATTTCTTTGTAAGTTAAATATCGACATCAGAATGATTATTTTCCAACTTCCATTGATTCAGTTTTTTTTTCCTGAAGAGAAATAGGCTTTTAACAATCAGAAAAAGTATCGGAAGTGGAAATTTGCTATTCCGTTTCAGTTTTCGAAATATAAAATGCTTTTGTCCTTTAAGCAAAAAAATTTAGAAATGAAATGAATCAAATCGAAAGGAAATATTTCTCTTATTTTCATTTGAACTGCCATCTTCAACAACAGCATTTTCTCAATCTTATGATGAAAAATGTCAAGAAATATGAAGCATTTTCATTAAATAATAGTAATGAGTTGATGGAAAATTATTTAAAGAATGCAATTAGAAGTATAAGATAATTTCCTCAGATTTATTGAAACGTTTAAAAGAGTCTTTTTCTCATGCCATACCAAATCATCATAAAATTTTTCCTCAATAGAAAAATGGGAAAAAACATAAATTGATAAGTTCATCCATTCAATAATTAATGATTCTAGAAAAGCTTGAACCTTTTCTCATCTCTTAAACTCGATGTTTTGTTTACTTTAATTTCATTCATTGTCTTTTCTACAAGATAAGAGCTTAATTGGGATATGATATTAGTAATTATAGCTAAAATACAATTTTTAAAATATTAAAAAAGCCTAAACTTTTTTTATCTCTTAAACTTGAAGCCTTTAGTGGAATTCCTTTGAGATAATCAAAAATTTGTGTATACGAAGATGAGAGTTTTAAACCTAATACAGTATCTAATTTAGGTTTATCTTGTCAATTTGCTTAAAAAATATTTATTAAATTTTCCAAATTGAAAATGTTCAATTTTCAATTATTGCATTAACTTAAATGATACGACATTTAAAAGATGCATAAATACTTACTCATAAAGGAAGCAATTCCATTTTTCTATCACTCAAGTAAATATCACACAATTTCTTCTGAGAACTCGATGAAAATGCTGGAAGTACAGTGAAATTTGTGATTTTCTCTTCTCTTGAAGAGATAAAGTTTGAAGTATAGATATTGAGAGTTGACTTCAGTTTACTTCATTTTAACTTAACTTAATTTCTTTATAGTCGTAATGATTGTTCTAAATCAGCACTTTTCTATCACCGTCCAATCAAGGATTTTGAAATTTGAAATCCTCATATCATATAACAGAGTTTCGCTTTCTGTTTACTGACCATTCAGTGCTACTATCTACCTTTGTAATGTTATTCTTGCTAAATTTATCAACTGAGAGAGGTGCATGTTCCAGGTAGATTTCTTCTTCAATCATAACCATTGTCATATCATTTATGATAAGAGTAGTATTTTAGAATTCATCGTATATTAGTTGAGTATATTAGTAGGAAAAAGAAGACGAAAATTCGAAATGATATATGACAACGAATAAATTCATTTATTTTAAGAAAGGCAAAATTCCAAACATTGTAGCATTTTATTATTACTTTCTCATTTTAAATTAATGATTATGAAAACAATTTATTTTCTAGCAATTATATAAAATCTGAAAGAACAAAATGAATTTAATTAAGTTAACTCTAACAGCTAAAAATTGATTTATGATAATGCTAAAAAAAGATTTGCAACACTTTCAAATTTTATTAGAAAAATTTAACAATGAAGTACAAATGTCTTATCGTTTACAAGCAATCTCCACGATATAACCAATCCTTTTTATTTATTTATTGTTAAATAATAACAACAATTATTAAAGATTTTATTCCAACAAAATCCTCAGAATTCAGGAATACTCAGATAGCAAAGGCTGGCAATAGTCAGATAAGAATGCTAGCAAATGGAAGAAGTAAGCTTTTTTTTTTAATTCAATCGTCTGTCTTATTCATTTCTTAGATTGAATGAATAAGACTCTCTAGTTGGATGGATATACATACATATCAGCATGATTTCAAGTGCAGCAATTGCATCATAATTGTCGTGGTTTATTTTACTAAATATTCTTCACACTATTACACTTCATATCTTATATTATACTAATATTAAGTAATAAAGTGTGTGGTGATGGTAATGAAAATTTCTCAGTCAAGTTTTATTCAAATTTTTATTATCGTCTGATGAAAAATTTTCATTTAGGGAGTAACATTTTTGCTATGGAAAAAATGCTATCCTCACATTTTGAATATTGAAATTGGCAAGAGAGGAAAGTTTACTCATGGGAATTTCTTTCATCAGTTCTATTCTATTGTATATGAAAATGGTTTATTTCTGGTTCAACTATTTGAATGCTCCTTTTTTGTTAGATTTTAGTTTTCTGATAGTGTGATATCTTGTAATGTCGCTGTTATTGATAGTTTCTTAATTTGATATTTAATATTTTGAAGAATTTCCACTTCTATTGAAAGAGAAGATAATGGAAAATTTTATCAACTATATCTGTTCAGTAAAATCTCCGGTAAATGCTAAATACAATTGATAAGCAAATTTAAGTGAATTATCAAAAGAAATTATTGCTTCATTGTTTTAAGTATAATTGAGAGTAATTTAATAATTAGAAAATTTTATAAATATATAACTTCTGCAAGCATGAATTAATTATTTTATTGTTGTAGAAAAAACAACAAATTTTTGTTTTTTCTACAGTAATAACAGTTTCCAAAAAATAATTCCAATTTTCGAGAAATATTTTAATACCGTTTAAATATATGCTTTATTTTTTAAAGCAAAATATCATAAATAATTTATATATTATTAAGCAAATAATAATTTATAATATATAATTTATATTTGTTATTATTACATTTAATGCATGCACTATTTCTGAAACTGTTAATTTATGCTAAAGGTAAAGGTCATAATGCAATTATTTGCTTGTTTCCAAGCAACTTCTATAGATTTAATTGTCATTGCCTTTTTAGTTAGTTGCCCTGTTAATTTCAACTCTGTCAATCATTGATTACATTTAATGAAGTCTGCGAAGTTTCATTTTAACTATTAATATCGTAAAACCTGCCATTTTATTTTGCACCTTTTTTTTATAAAAGATTTAAAACCATTTGAAAAGCATTTAATCAATGAGAAAATCTATTGGAGGAAATTGAAGTATTTTAAAAATAAAAGACATTATCAGAGGGAATTAAATTTTGCATTAAAACTCGTTAAAATTAAGAAGTATGAAAGTAAAATGAAGAATGAAATTGGACTTTCTCTGTTTGTTGTGATTAGTTGACAGACTTTTTAAAAGCCTTTTTTCCTCGCATATTCACTCATTTATAAGTAAGTAAGTCATTGACTTATATGTTTGCATATTCATTCCATTCAACAATTTCTTTAAAATTGATTTATGCAATTTGAATTTTATTTACTTTACATTCTTTTCTTTTTTTTGTTGTTCTTTATAAGCTCTAAAATATTCGTCAACAAAATTTTCAATGTGCAAGCCATATGATGAAGTATATGGTATATTATTTATTGAGAGGAAGGGAAAAAGAAAGAGAGAGAGAGAGAGAAAGAGAGGGAGAGAGAGTTGGACAAACAAATTGAAATGAATTTATACTTTTTGAGGCATATAGAGAAATGCAAAAATAGAAATAGAAATTATTTGATAATATAAATCCTTCGTTATTTTTCAAAAGAGAAAAATGAAGAGTTTTCAAAAAACTCACTTTTCTTTACCAATTCAATCTCTCTCTCTTTCTCTCTCTCCTCTCTCTCTCTCTCACAATATAAGTAAACTAAAAGGTTAAAATTTATAATTTTATTTCTGTTAGTATTTTGTTTGAAAAAAAAAAGAAATGTGACAATCTTTCCTCCGATATTTCCAATTTCCCATTGATATGTGCGGGGGGAAATTGATAATGCAACAACAACAACAATAATGATAGGTAGTTGTTTATCTTTGAAATAATATTTATTACAGCGTTATATTTGTTGTTATCATTTCAATATTATTTTTAAATACTTTTCTTCAACTCTCTAAAGCATTCGTTTAGCAATAAGAATTATTGAAAAAGTTGTGATAAGAGTGAAATTGTTTTTCCTTCCTCTAAATTCTTCTCTTCAAATATTTTTCTTCATTGTTAAAAAATTTTCATCTTAGAGTTTTTTTTTTTAAATATGTCTCTTTAGTTTCAGATGCAATCATTGAATTTCTATTATTCCAATAGTTGTCATATATATAGGAGTATATATATATATATATTATTTATATAATAAATGTTATTTCTGCTTACGTCATTTCAATGGGAAGAGGAGGAATGTTATTTGTAATAAAAATTGAGAGAGAAATATTTTATAGATTAAAGTTTGATGTGATTTAAAGGATGATAATAAATAATTATCAGCAATGTTGTTTATTACTAAGACTAGTTATCAAAGTTTGAATTTAAGAAATGAAAATTGAAATATTAAGATAATGTTGAAGTAAACATATTAATTGCCGTTTTATTTAGTTTATGAAAAATTTGTTAATTCTTATTTTTTTTTTGAAATCATCGTTTTACGGAATTTAATAATAATTTATAAAATTTTTCCATCAAATAACTTGTATTAGTTCAGTAATGATCTCAGTAGTGAAGGGTGGCAATGGACTCTTCTCCGCAACAAGCGCAAACATCCACTCCCAATATCGAACGACCATTTCGATTACTTGTCAAAGATCGTCTATTTATTATTGAATCGACAATTATTGCCAAACTTTCGCCTATATTTGCTGGAATTGTGGTCCATCCAGATAATAACTCATCTGGCACAACTGATAGCAATGATCAACCTTTACGGGAAATTGTAGATGAAAGCAGCGGTGATATTGCTACGTTTTTAAATTGTTGCAATGATACTAATCTTATAGATGGTTAGCTTTCTTAGCTGTTTTCTGTTAAATTTTAAATGATTTCCTTAAGATTTATCAAATCAGAAAATAAGAAATGTATGATCGCCCTCTTAGAGGCAGATTCTACAAAACATTTGGAGATCCATCTTTTTAAAATATTCATAAATGAATTAATTATTGATTAGAAAATTACAAAACAAAAGTTTAACGTAGTAAAATGATACAATAAAATCAACGATGAGAGATAAAAATTCAATGTTTCTTATTTTGGAATTTTCAGTCAAAGAGAAATGCGCCTCATATCAAATGTCTTTCCAAAGTTAAATTGGATTTTTTCATTTTAATTTCAACTTATATTTTAAATTACATTTCAAAAGTTCTCTCATTCAATTCATCGTTGTAATAATTTCTTCAACGAACATTTCTTATTTACTGAAATTTCTATCTGAAGTTAAACATTCGAAAATCTTTTGTTAGCAAAATATAAGTACATTCCACAATATCTATAGTAAATCTCTACTCTTCCGCACTGTAAGCATTCTTTTTCCTTCTCAAAGCATTAACAACGATTACCAATCAATCAATCAATTCGTCAGTATTTCTTCTAATAAATTAATTTTAGGCAATGCAGCTTACCATTAACTTTAGTGATCGTATAAATCCTTTAATTCTAGTGACCGTATAAATCCTTTGCTTTTCATTTAGGGAATAGAATTTCTCCTTATCGAAACGATAAAATTTATATGGCTGATTTTAAACATACATTGTTAAGTAGAAATTAGTACATAGAATAGGAACAGGAAGTGCAATTTTTAAGTTAATTTTGGCTTACGTGATATTTTAGAAAACAATTTTGCAACAGTGCTGCGTTTATCGAAGAAGTACCAAGTAAATTCGTTGATCGAAGCTTGTGAGGGATTCATTTCCCGTAAATGCAATTTAGAGTAAGTTTCAGGCATTAACTTCAATTTCTACATTTCCATTGCTTATATGAAAGAATTTGTTTTGTATTTCTAACAGTAATATCTCTTAACTAAATAATTAGACTAATTAACTGATAATTATTAGTTATTGATAAGAAATGAATCATAAAATGGAAAAATGAAAGGAATAATTTGTCATTGCTTTTTCAGTTCAACAAAAGAATGATTAATACTGAAGAAGCAGTTGTTGGATATATTTCCAACCTCTCTTTTATTTATTCATTTCAATTTATTTATATTTTGAAAGCGAAAGATAATTGAATTTTTTGAACTCTTTTTTAAGATAAGAGTAATTCTGTGGTAAAAAGGCTAAATGAAATTAAATAAGAAATTTCAATTTGGTCATCAAAATAATGAAATAATCAATATTACATTCATAAATAGCATTCGATGAAAAATAATATAGGATGATAACAATTTTACTTTCAAAACTCTGTTATCTTTTTAATTATCTTTTTTCTCGCGTTGTGTAATTAGTTTACATTAGATAATAAATTAAAATCTGAAGGAGACGGTATGCTAAAACAATTAAGTAAATTCCATATGATGACAAGGTATTGTGGAGAAGTTTGATAATTTTGATAATAGCAAGAAATAATTTATAAAATGTGAAAAATATTTTCAGTGGATTAAAGGCAGATCAGGTGGTAACACTTTTGGTCTTAAGCAGTGAATATCATTTGTGCAGAGAAGTAATGGTTAAACTGATCAATCGGATAGCTTCTGAAACTAAAAATGATTTAGCACGCTTGAAATTAAGCAGGTTATTACCACCACAGGTTAATTACTCATTCATTTGCAATAAATTTGAGAATAGCTATTAAAAGTTTTGAATCAAATCAGTTAAATGGTTGATTATATTTCAAATTTTTGAGTAGTTTTATGATTTGTCGTATTTTTTAAGCAAACGTTAAAATTTCTGATAATATTTTATCATTAATAACTATTCGCATACTTTCATATCACATAAGTTTCATATCACAAAAATTTCATATCACATAAGCCTAAAACACATTAATTTACGAAACATTTTCAGAATGATTCAATCATTTCAATTTAAAAATAACGAAATTTAATAATTTTTCCAAAAAAATCATTTAGAAAATAAAAAAATGAAAATTTAAAAAGATTTCATTTTAATATTTTTTGCAGTTACATAGTTCAATAATAGCAACAAATTTAAATATGACTCATATCAAAGAAATTGAAGCGATGAATGGTCATCTATTCAAGATGAATCGTTCCATAACATTGTATAGACGAATGGCTTGTGAGATGTGCAAAAGAATTACTGATTCCGCCTATTGTGAAGGTTAAATAATATTGAATATTTTTGAATGCTTCCAATAACATTCATATAATCAATGTTAATTAATATATTTTCTTAATTAATATGTTTTCAAAACCTAAATTTGCCCTTTTGCTCGTTTTTAAGAACAGCAAATGATTGATGAAAGTTTATTAGTAAATCACAATATAGTAAAGAATTAAATTGAAAAACTGAATATAAATTGGGAACTGAATCTGAAATATAAATTGAATTTCTTTTTGCAGGCTGTAAGAAAGCATTTTGCAAAGATCATTGGACTCGAAATAAATGCACAAGCAATTATGGACAAAATATGATAGATGAATTGCGACAAAATTTGGTAGAATTGGAATATGAATAATTGAAAAAATAAAACTCGACTGTACTTTCTTTGAAATAACGAAATTTTTAATTTAATTTCAAGTGTAAAATTGATGGAATCATTTAGTTAATATACGTGACTCTCTAATTGCAAGATGCAAGAATGACATGCAAAGGTTTAAAACTTTTAAAGTTCAAGGATGTAAAACTTTTTCCGATTTCCATTTCTTACGACTATCACTTCCGGTTTCTTTCGTTTAATTTAGATTTATTGTAAATTTTATATCGACGCTTAGCATTTATCATTTACTTTTAAATTTCCGATCAAATTTTTAAAAGAATAATTTGAACGAAGTCATTGTTAGAGCGATAATGCAAGCAAAAATTGGCATAAATTAACTGATTTTCAACTTTCCATGCGAAAATAGAAATGATAAAGTTAGGTTAAAATTTTATTATCGATTTTTCAATGATAGGAAATCACTGTTTATAATTGCATATGAATAGAAAGTGACGCTTCTATAGCTATTCTTTATTTAATAATTTTGTATTCATATTTTCTTGCGAAAAATGTTATCCCTATTCATTTACCTTAATTCATTTAATTAATCGTTTGTTTATTTTTAAACAGGTATTCCATTTATCATTATTATTGAAATTGAAATTTTAGGATTAAGTAAAATCATTTATTTTCAATTCATTGTTATTTGCTTTAATTTAAAAAAATAATTGCGAACAAAAAGAAAGAAAAGAAGAAACAAATTAAAATTAGTTATATTTTTTATTTACTCAAAATATTCATTCCCAACACATCTTGATTTATTAATTACTAAAATAACTTACATCTTCAATTGTAGTCCATAATCGTTGATTCTATTTTTGAAATTTAATAGTGAACTTTAATAGACTGAAATAAGGAAATTTAGTGAGGAAATTTATTTATGTGAGGAAATTTATTGTTTTAGTGAGGAAATTTATTGTATGCATTAAGAGGTGATAAAGAAAAATGAACTCTCGTTCTCATTCACTATCATAATAAACTTAATGATATATTTTGATTATATCTCCTAATTTCTTGTATGATGTTTGTTATTACCACTAAGATTATCACTTTTTCCGCATCATTATATTTTCTGAATTTTTGTGATATTTCCTCAAAGTCAAAGTGATGTAGTATTTCTCATTGCTATCATCTCTCTCTCTCTCTTTCTTCGGTTCTTATCATTTTCATATGTCACATCACGGAACGGGAAAAATTTTTGCTGCAAATCATTGTGTTGAAATTCATTGTAATATCGGCATTGCGGAAATTATCACTTGACCTCATTTTTCACCTCTATCATTCACCAAACCAATGCTGTTCCCATAATGTCAAGAAACGAATATGTTATCATACCCTGTTGATATTTTTTGAAGTTAACTGAATTTTGTATTTTTCTGATATTTTTTGAAATAACTGAATTTTCATGATGATCATTTTCCGGAAGTTTACCTTTCACGAGAAAATAAACGATTTTTACTAGTTTATGTATCATTATTGAACTGATTACTATGGGAATACAATTTCAATTCATCTATACTAATCTTTATATCAAATTCAGAAATTGTTTCATACTAAAAATGAGGCGATTGAATCACTTAATCCAATTTTAATTTAAAAGCAAATAAAAGAAAGATTCAGATGATGAACGTAATTCTTACATGAATCTTATCCGATCTTATCCCTTAACGAATGGGAAAAATTTTAAACGAATTTTCAAAGATTATTTTTTTCTATTCTGCTTAATCATCTTATATTTCAACCTTTCAATAGCACTTTTTTAATATCACTTCTGTTAAAAATGATTTCTTTTGCAGAAATCGCAGGAATATAATAATGAATTTAACGCTTCTTTATTGATTCTTCTTTCCTTCTCTCTCTTTTTTTTGATTGATGAATTCATTAAACTAAAATTTGACATCGAAATTGATACTCCATTTTCTACCATTTGTAAACTTTCTTTCTCTAATCATTTACCCATTACTTTGCAATATGAAATTCCAACAATCCCAAAAATTTTCGAAATCATCTATAAATCTCCTTTGTGTTATGTGATATCAGAAAATAATGCTCGTTATATGTTTCCCAGGTAAATCAAAATGACCCCTACTTCCTGATAATATTTCTAATATTGTAGAAAAAATTTCCAAATATTTATTTTTTGAATTATCGAGATAATCGATATGCGAGACGATCATTGCAATCGACGTAATTCGTCAATGTCACGATGGATTCAAATATGGCTTAAAATTTCAACAGTAATCTGTAGCTTGGATGTTGCTTATACAATGTTTCGCCCATATACCCTTCGGGGTAATACACTTGGAATCTTCTATGAATTATGTTCGTTTATCCTCTAATCACACATACATACATAAATACGTATAATTAATGGAACAGAAGAACCAATTAATTTTGTTCCGAAAAATTTTGAGATTGAAAAACAACTTCTAAAAATGCTGTTTCTTTTTAGAGTATATACTTTTCATAAAATAATCACTAAGCAAAAACAATCATCTCTGTTTATTCGATTGAATGGTGAATTGAATCGACAACTTATCTTATAATCCTAGTCCTTCTTGAAAGCTAACTCATATCATTTCTGGAAAGGTGATTCATATTTTTCTAGAAGGTTAATTCATATTCCTCTGGAAGGTCACATCATCACATACTTCAAAAGTAGCTGATTATTAATCCATAAATTTTTCGTAAGAAAGTGATAGATTCTTCTGTTTCATTGATGCTTGCATACGTCAGCGATCTTTTTCCGAAGTTTTTAATTCCATTCCTATTCAGATAAATTGATCACTTGATTACTTAAAGTCTATCATCCCTCATACGATTATTTAACAGTAATTCCTTCTGTAGAAAATTAAAAAAAATTGAAGGTTCGTTGACCCACTTCCTTCGTGTTTTGCAATGTTGATGAAGTAGGTGGATTAGAATGATTGACTTAAAATCACATTTTTCAATCATCAAATACTTCAAAAGATATCGATTTATCAATCCATAAATTTAATTAACAAGGAACTTATCAGGTCTTCAGTTTACTGACTATTGAAATTGAAGCCGGAAAGGATGTTAGAGAGAGAAGGTACTGAGAAAGCATTGATACCATACAGAAATTTTCTGATATTGAACTTTCTTAGTGCCTCAAACATCAAGAAAGAATCACTTTATTGAATAACGATAAAAAGAGAAATTGATATCAATAATTTTTCCCGATATTTCTAAAAAAACACTTATAAAATTATAATTTTAAAGAATAATAATTTGCCACTGCAGGGAATATCTATAGTGACGTTGATCTAAGATATGCTACAACTAATGATATTGTTACAATGGCTACTGGTCGGTTGATGACCATCGAAATAATCCTAAACATTATTGCTCTCTATCTGGTAAACCATTTATTTACTTAAAAATTGAACTGTTTTAGATTATTATCACAAATTTCTTACAAGGTTAAACACTTACAAATATATATAATAATGTTTTCAAATTATTCTTATCACTCATTAATTAATTCACAAGTAACATAATGAACAATCGAATCTTTTCAATGGCGTATTTCATGATAACACTTTGACTTTATTTATCAGAGCGAACATCTAGTAGGAATTAATAAAACTTGAAACAATTATTCAAAAGGTGCCTAAATAATAATAATGATAATAATAATAATAACTTAATTTAAATCCTGCTCCCAAATTAGAAAAATTTTTCATTTATTCAAAATTTGTATTTTATGAAATTTCGGAAAATTAGAAATAAACTTTAGTAGACAGAGCCTAATGACTCTGTCTACTAAAGTTCTTCACTATATAATATTAAAACTAACAAAAATTGAGGTTCACAATGAGCAAAATTCGAAGAATGTCGAATTTATTAAAACTGTTAAATGTATTGAAATATTAAATTTTCTTTCAAAAACAAATTGTAAAATTTGATTTATCAAAAAGCTTTTTTAACGATTTATCAAAACTCTTATTTTTATGAAATTTATGCCATAAATTAATTTCAATAAAAAATTTCAGAAAGACGAATTTAGTGTCACTAACATTTACCTTTACAATATTGACCCTCTCTCTAACAATCTCTATATTACTGTTATTAGCTGTTAATCTTTAAGGGTTAAAGATTAATCCTTATGTCAATAATTTTCATAATGAATGTAGGCCATCACCAATTCTCGACAATCCTTTTTCCATGACTCTTTTAAAAGGGTCATTTGAAAATTAATTTCAGTAACACTTAAAAATACTTATTCTGGCAAAGTTTGTGCTATTGTTAATTAATTCATAAGGTTGGAATTTTAGAACAATTAAAGAAATCAAAGTTAGGAAGTTAAAAAAATTACTTCGAATACATATTTAATTAGCAAAAATAAATAAAATAAAATTTTGGATGAGAAAGTTTTATTTTTCAGTGTCGAGATTATCCACGTCATGCAAAGTTAACGGCTTTCCTTACAAGCGCATTCGTCTTTTGGAAAACTCTTCTTTATATGACATTGTTTATTGCACCACCAAAAGGTTTGTTAATTCTTTTTTTCAACAAAGCAGTATGATACTTCATCTTCTTCTTCACATACTCCTCCTATTCAATTAGCAGTTATTTATTATTTCAATACTAATTAGTATTATGTTAATGATCAAAATGAATTTTAAATAAAGAAAATAACTCATTGATTATTAGATTTGAGTAAGTTACTCGAATAGTATACTTTCAAAAATTTTGCTTAGATTAGAGTTATCGTATCATGCAAGTTTTATAAATAACTCTATTAAATGTAAAGAAACAGAAAAAAGAATATAACAGATATTTATTAATCAAATACTATTATAATGGTTTATTTGCTTTTTACAATTCAAAATAATTAAACAATTAATAATTTTAGTTCCATAAACTGAGGGCAGCAATAAATGTAATGAAATTTCGTTTTTCTTATTTTCATTATCCATTTCTTTCTTTACTTTCTTCATTAACATTTGCTAGCAATTTCATTCATTTAATTTGTTGAACAAATCCTCAAAGCATTTAATGAAATAAGGTGTTATCCAATAAAGTTTTAATGATTCTCCCTTTAATATTACCTTTAATAAAAGGAGAAATAAATCATAGTGTATAATAGATTATACTTAAAACATTTAACCATTCAACTTCGTTTACTTTCAGGAAGGTCTAAGAGATATTTAAAATAATTTTAAGAAAAGCCAAATGTATTTTGATAATCAATGAAAAATATAAAAGTGATATTATTTGGTGCAATATTCTTTAATGCAATTTCTTAGATTTTCTTTGGTACATTTTCTTTCATTTTCGATATTTCATTGTGAATTTAAAATTTTCTTATAAAATTCATTTACAGTTATTTCGAAGCTAAGTAAAAATTTGAATGCAAAGTTGTTTCCTATCAATTTTATCAGAGAATTATTGCTTTGCTATTTTGTTAAGCGATGAGTGAATGAATGGAAGAGAGAACAAATTGTTGTTAAATCATAATTATTATTTATTTATCATTTAATTTGTTATAGAACAAATTTTTGATTTCATTGAATAAGCGTTTTAACAGCGGTAAATTGAAATTCACAAATCTACGATGTCTATGAAAAAATACTACGATGAATCCGTTATGTTACTAATGCTTAATCAAAACATCGATCAAAAAAATTATGATGGATTTTATTTTATCGATTAAAATTTCACTTTTAGATTAAATCCTTTTTCATATAAAGGAAGAGAGAGAAAGAGAGGAGCGTTTATTATTTAAAAATTAAAATTTTCAATAAATTCATAATGCATTGCTATTCGTTCGGGAAATTTATATACTTTCGATGGATAATCTGTAGGCATCAGCTCAATTATTTCAAAGAAATAACCCAAAGGATGTTTAGATCGCTAAATGGAATCATTTATGGAATTCCTTCAGTAAAACGAGAATTAATTCAAAATCACTTCACGCTATACTTCAAGCATTACATGTATAAAGTTAAATAGTTTGATTATTCCAAATTGAGTGACGGCTGAAGAATGTTTCACGTGAAAGGATTTTTAATTAGTAGCGCATATAGCGATGACTTTATAACACTGAGAATACTTATGGCTAATAAAAGTTTAAGTAAAAGCAAACAATTCAAAATGCGGCTGACATTTAAAAATGTATGAAATAACGAGATTGATAATTTGTGGAATTCGTAAAATGCAATCTGCATCCGTTAATTATGTATCATATATGTTAGTCACATTGTTTTTTAATTAATGATTTTTGGGACCGAATTGATTTTTGGTGAGACTATTTTTTATTCCTAAATTTAGGTTGAAAATTCAAAATTCAAAATAACTTTTCTGTAGAAAAATGTTCCGTGTTGTCAGCATTGATTAATAAAATGAAATCGATTTGAGGATCAAAAATAATAAATGTTAGATGAGAAGGTAACAAATTTGAAAATAAACATTATCTGCACTTTTTGTATGATCAAGCAAAATATCGTAATTGATGTGATGATCATATTTTGCATAATTATAGAGATCATTCAAAGATTAGCTTTTTTGAGAAATTTTTACTTTGCAGAAATTTTTTTTGAATTTTTCAAATCTATGGATGAAGGTTTCTCCATGATTATTTTTTCTTAAACTTCTTGTAATTTTTAAAATGTTTCTCAAAATTCTAGAATTTTCCTCGACTGAGATATCTTGGAAAGAAATGACAGAATAATTTTCTTATTGGCTTTTGATAACGATTTATACGCTTTTGACAACGATTTCTTTTATTGGCTTTTGACAGCATTCCATTGTTTTCGAAATTTTCTGATATCATAAATGACTTTTATTCTTTCAGTTTAATGAACTCTTACTCATTTGCAATATTTAATTGTATCATTGGAAATTTATCGTTCCTAAAGATAAGATTATTTTCCTTTAGAACTAAAATTTATTATTTTTTCCTAATTTAATATATTTATTTGTATCATTTTAAAACTTCATTTTGTCAATCAAAACAGGCTTGTTTCGGCATCGTTTGCAATATTAAAATCAAACAGTTATGTATTACCATAATGCGGTGGCCGTAATATAATGAGATATAAAGTTTGAAAGTTACTTATACACTTCAGCAATTAAAAATCGATTGGAATTATTCGGCAAGGGCCATGGCCAACTTGGCCAATTTATTTTTCCTTTTTTCTTTCCTTATCTCAAAAATTTTTGAGATTGGTTAAGGTTTCAACAATCGAAATGAAAACAAGTGAAAGGGATTTTTTGAAAGTGAAAAATGAAGAAGAGAAAGAATAGGATATATTTCCTATTTCTTTTCTTCATCTTCTACTTTCATTTTCCATTACTAAACAGGAACTGACTATTATTTTTCATGTTGAAATAATTAGAGGTCTCATTTAATATTAATTAGTGACCTTATTTAATATTAATTAAAAAGCTCGCTTAGTACTAATTAGAGATGTTGTTTAATAAGAAATAATTAAATCATTAAACTCATCAGAGGAAAACAAAAAGGATAGCATAAGAAAAATGTTCTAATAATTGTAGAAATAAAAATATTCCTTGCAGTAACAAATGCTAACAAGACTTCTATCAAGAATTTATTTACCAATCAATATCAAGAATTTTCCGTACTTCCGCTGCATAATCATAATCTTAGATGATACGTGGCATGTAATGCTGATTCATTAGTTTTAAAAAGTGCATGAAAGATGATAAAGATGAAAGATAAGCATGAAAGATTTCATAAAAGACGGTGGGAAAAATTTAAAGGATTTCTTTTGATCTCTAAGTGAATTGAAACAAATTACTATTTGGTTTCGATTACTAGGAAGATTGAAAAAGTGTTGGACATTGTATTCCAATATACTTGGTGATTACAGATCTTCAGCAATTAGATCCTCAATATAAATTCTTTTTCATTGATATTTCAGAATCATTTAATTATTTGGCTGAATCAGCTGGCATATGGAAGCGATTCTTCATTTTCTGGCTTCCTGATCTTATATGGTGTTTTGTTCCATTGGCTGTTATGGCTCATTTATGGAGTGATTTGGTTGATACAAATACATCCTTATAAATGTATGCTTGCATCCTTTGGTTAATTACTAAATTTTAAAGTGCCTTAAAGATGCTTCCTTATTGTCTCGTTTTAATCAAATTTATTTGTTAGCATTGTTTTCCTGTTAAATTTGTAATAGATGATTGAATGAATTGACTAAAATTTTCTTAAAATAATTATTGCAATTAATTGATCACAATGATCGCTGAATATCTCCTTATAGATCATAATTATAATTGAAATCATTACTTCAGTTAAATCCTGAAATAGGTCGAAATAATCCTATTTCTACCTATACTTATTACCTACCTTTACCCTTTATTTATTATTGAGCAGCAGAAACAACAGATGTCACAGCTGAATACAAGTGATCTATTCAGAATACTCGAAATCAACTGATTCCTCCGGAAATGTAAAAGACAATTCTGTTTAGGTACGGTGGATGACTATAGTAGCACTAACTAAATTATTCGACACAAAACAAAACCGTTGCTTTCCGGGAAGAAAGCATCTCTGGATTTTACTCCAAATGTTAGCTGACCAGATCTTCTGTTTGTACTTTTCACATTCGTTGTTTTGTTTTTCCTTTTTGCTGTAAAAGTCAAATTCCAAATCACGCACACTATATCGGAAGTGATACTGATCAATGAAATGTCTCAATACACCTCGGGGTATGTCATTTGTTTGAGACAAGAACGATGCCAATGTTCATCATCATAATTACCGTTATGTGAGTCGTATTTAAAGCGCACCTGATCAAATGTTTCTCTTTGATTATGAACAAAAGCGAGAAGACTGATTTTTGTAATTTTACTATTACCGGTATCAATATATAACTCTTTACAAACAATCGACCTGTTTTGCCGGAGCTACAGTCCGCTTACCACCGTCCTTTTCTTTCATATTTACTGAGTTTCATCCGTGTGAAATATGAATAATCAATCCTCTTTCCATGCTGAATGAAATAATAAATTAATTAATTGGCAAATTAAGGTATTTTTGCATAAACAAACGATGATTTCAGGCTTTGTTTAATGTATGACTAAAAAATTACTAATAATTGAAAATGCTTGTACACTATTTTTGAAAAAAAGAGCATACTGATGTTTTCAAAATGTTTTTTGAATAAAAATTGTTCTATATTTCTGAAGCTATTGAATAATTCAAAAGTTATTTACATGTATAAATGAAACGTAACTAAAGTTAGCTGAAAAAGTTAGTCCATTAATTTGCAGTTTTTAGGATTTCATTCTTTTTAAATCTAAAACTGATCTCTTTCTTCTCTTCCATAAACCTTGAAAAATATTCGTTACATCCTCATGGAAGTCATTTTTATTAAAAGGATCAAAATTCTGCGATGAACCAAAATTTATTTGTTCGATTCCTATATTCCGGACTGTAAGACAATTTTTGTTCGGCTGACTATTTGGGAAACTTCAGATTTGAGCAAAATGAATATCGTAAACTTTGCAACTGTCATCTACTTAGAAGAACGAATGAATGAATTATTGTGAAGAAAAAGGCGCTTCAGATGGCTTTCTGAGAATTCTCTTTGAAATATCTAAAATTTGTAAATAATTCACGTGATTCTTATAGCACAGAATACAATTTTATCGGGAGGATCATTTCAATTTTATAGACAGGATCATTTGATGATGAATATTTCTGATTCCAGCGTGGTTGCAATTGTTCTCTATTTTCTAGTAACATTGATTTCCATAAAGGTCGGTGATAAGTCATTCACACTTCTCCACTTTATTTTATGCTCAATATTTTAATTTAGTGTTAAGTTTCAAAGATATCATCCTCAAATGTCTCTTACATCGAAATAAAAGTTGAATAACAAGTAAGCTTATTTGAAATAATGAAATCTAACTACTCAATTAACATTTCTCAACTAATTTTTATTGAAATTAAAAATCAGAGATCTCCACTTTTGATCAATATAGTCTATTCATAAAGTTCCGAGAATTAGGCAGCTCTGAATAGAGTATGACTACAAAGCATAACTAAAGCAACAGTTACAATCGATATCAAAATTAATTGGAAAACTTTTATTCTTTGGCATAGCTTAATGAAATCTATCTGCGAGCATTTTAAGTCATATTTGCTTGAGTGTCATACAATCCCACTGGACTTTATTTCAAACAAAATGACATTACTTGATTTGCCGATTTTCTGCATAACATTTGAATGATTAAAGTGAGCAGTTTCTCCCAGATATCTATGAAATTTCTATGATTTTCAAAATAAATTGGTATGATCATGAAAATTATTTCATTTATCCCAGCATGTCATACGACAGTATCAATTGATGATGAAGTAACAAAAATTTATAATGAAATGATATCTGATTTGAAAATGGTTGAGACAAAAATGGAGCATCAAGTTTTCAATAGCTTAAAATATGTGCTGACAAATTGTCAACTTAATATTATGTAAATGATTTTATAAATTTTGTTCAGACTTAATAAAACTTATCATTTGCTTTTTACTCTAACTGTAAAGTGTTATACCTTCAGAGAGTACCATCTCCCTCACTCCTTATCTATTAATTCCCCACTATAGACAAATTCTCCCACAGATCGTTTTTCAATGCTTCCAAAATAACCCTCGCTGGGATTGTCATTTTCATAACGATCTAGGCGATTGCTTAACATTTATTAAACAACTCTATTTCCGCTATGTAATTTAATCGAGGCGTTTGATTTTTCAATAATGGGAAGTGTGAGAGTTGTGGTGCGATGATTAAGCCAACACGTAACATTAGGAAAGAATTGAATTAAGATGCAATGTGAGCTATATGTTCATAAATAAGAGCGTTTTCGATCGTCACATTTGTATGATTTAGATTAAAAATTTTATATTTATTTTGCAGAAACATATTTTACTTTTCTTTAAACTTTCCTAAAATACTTTTTATGCAATACTTTTTGAGTTTTATGGAAAGTTCGAGAAGTGTTGCATAAGGGTAACTTCGAGTTCGTTGGTTGACATTCATTAAGTTGGAGCTTGGTAGCTTTATTGATAACTTCGAGTGTTATGGAGATTTACCATGGAAAAAGTTTACCTACCTTTCTTAATCAAGACGTATGACTCCAGTAAGCCATAATTTTGCATTTTCCTAGTGCATTACTGCGGCTTACTAGTTGTACTAGTTTATTTGGCTATCCATTATTGATAAATTTAATAATGTTCCAAAAACTAATAATCCCCTATTACATTGAAATATTCTACTAAAAGAAAGAAGTTTTAGTAAAACTACATTTAATTTATGCTTTAAAAAACTCGTTTTTTTTTCTTTTATACATAAGCTTATTTACAAATGTATGCTTGGATTATTGATTCAATATGTGTTATCAAAAAATACATTTGCAAATAAGCTCATGTATAAAAGAAAAAAACGAGTTGTTTAAAGCATAAATTATGAAAGATCGTTGAGGGTTGAAATATTTTACTTTCTAGCGTCGACAAATGAGTATGTCCGAAGGAACAATAGAAACAAAAGCGGAACGGTTGGCTCAAGCTCGAAAAAAAGTAAATTCTAAAATTTTAGTTCTCTTCAGAAACTTATCCAAATGCGTAGAACTGCATGATCTTGAGCAGATTTTAGCTCGCATAATTAACTACATTTAATTTAAATAAAATTTGTTCAAAAAATTTTCGTATTATCGGTAGAAAGTTGAATGTTTATTCTATAAGGAAATATACTGATCACAAGGTCCAGCTTTGCTGTCAAACAATATTTACGGAAAAATTATTTGAGTTCCTGAACACTTGAAAATTCCAGCATTTCAGTCAGTAGTGCGGACTTGTAAGCTTACAAGAAAAGATGGTAGAGAAACTTTAGATTGTTAGAGATTTTTAACCAAATGATTAGCACTACCACCGTTACGATATTAATTTCTATCAGCGCACATCGTTGCATGCTAAATTGCAATGCATAAGTAATGGTGCTTACGAGATTAAAAGCAATTTAAATTTTCAGTTGAGAGATTATCAGTCTAAACGTCGCGGCAAAAATGCAGAATTTACGATATCTCCGTCTCCAAGTGTTTCGAGTATGATTGAAAATAGTGGACGACGATCGCCCGTTAGCTTACGTAAGTTTCGTTACATTACTCTTATATCCAATGGAAACATTTTTTTTTGCTTGTTATCTGTTACTGATTGTACTTGCCGTTAAAATTTAAACAGTGCTTAATAGGTATGATTTTTTAAAAATAACTTTGGGTTAAAATACTCTTTAATTACTAATTTGGTGGAGAACTATCACTTTGAAGAACTGTGCAGTCATATTGAGATGAAAGATACCTTCCAAAGAGTTCAAACAGGATCACAGGGTTCCCCATCGACGACGACACAAAGTGGCGCGAATCATAATATTTCGAATGCTAGCAGCAGTGCTCCGAGCAATGATTTAAGGGGTAAATTTCAACAAGATAGTACATCAGAATTGTGTTCGAACATACCGGAGGATCTGCTCGACTTGAAGGTTTCTTGACCTATCTGCATAAATTTTTCTTTTCTCAGCTCCTTGTCATTGTTTTAAGTTCAAAAATAAATAATTTGCAATAGCTTATTACTCTTGATATAGATACTGTTTAGATACTCTTCCATGCATTTTATTTTACGACATATTTTGAATAAAATTTATTGGTCAGTGATGTGATTATGAAGTTTTCTTTTACACTGCTTTCATTTTATAAATACAAAATATATAAAAAAATCACAATTTCTTATGTGTAAATAAAATTTATTGGTTAAAAATTTGAGGCGGACTGTAGTTTTGAGCAAAGCAACAATAAGCTTTAAAAAACACTTCTGAAAAATTTAAAATGAAACTATGTGAATGATATTATGTATTTGCTATTTTTATGTTCGTTCCAATTATATGTTATTATTCGCAATATTAGAAGGTGATTGTAAACTTACCTCATACCTTCTAGTTTTAATGAATTTTATATTAAGTGTGTGAAAAATGACACGCTGCTTATCCTACATTCAAAAATGGTTTTCTTTTATAGAACGAATACTTTTTATTACAGCAAGAATGCATTCGGTTAAGAGAAGAATTAGCTTTACGTACAGCTGAGAAAGGGCAATTTTCTTCGCAACTTGCAGAGTTGGTGTGTTTGTAGTTATTTGCTTTGATTTTATGTTTTTTCTGCTTTCTATTAAATCAACAAATCCAAATTTCATCTTAACACCTAAGTGGTTTGGAAACTTTTATCTTAGCCGTTTTAGAAGGCTGTGTCTGATCACATTGGACAAACGATCTTCTAAATGTTAGATGTTGTAATAATAATGCATTTCGACTATTGCATGAGAATGGATTTTTTCATTTATTTTAATTACTATATTTTAGATTGGACATTATTCACAGATTCATGCTGCTTATACTAAGCTCAGTGAATGTATCAAGAATGGCGACCCGGGTGGATCTGCTTTACAAACGCAGCTCGTTCATTTGCAAACAGTTTTGTTTCTTTTTTATATGGAAAACTATGAAGTTATTTAATTGCATTTCAGTGATGTGTTTTATATGTTTTATATGAATCACAGTTATGAGTCCTTAAAATTAACAGTGCTTCAGGCAATGAGTGTTGTTGTCAAGGAGAAAACAGCTTTACAACAGCAATTAAGACAAAAAAATGAGCTAGTCGTGGATCGAAATAAGCAAATTTATGGTCTCACGGTGTGTAATTTTTATATTACTTAATTAATCCATTTGCTGGAAGGGATAGAAAGTTATTTCGTTTTCCCGTTTTTATGAATGTTCATTAACTTCATGAGAACACTTTTTACAGATCGAGATGCGCGAGAAAACTTCAAATATTACATCGTTGGAGGCTGAAATCTTATCATTACGTAAAAAAATCGATTCACTGAGTAATGCTGTGCAAAGGCAAGCAGAAGAATCAGAGAACGGTCGACAAGAAGCAGTAAACTGGCAAACAAAAATGCTTCATATACAGCAAGAGCGGGACGATGCTAAGGTTTGTTTTTTTGATAGATTCAACTCACGTTTGTATGCAATCTTCGAGCGGCAATATTTTTCTTAAAGTTTATAAAAAATAACTACTTTATGATGCGATCTCTATTTCACTTCATTTTTTTCCTTTTTAGTGATAATTGCTATGTAGAGTTTTTCATTTTTTAACTTTCCGATATCATAAGGGCTAGTGCTGCAATTTATTGAAATGATGAATTAATTTGAGCTTATAAAGTTTCTTGAAAGATTGAAAAATTGCTTAAACTCCTTAATAATGGTAGGTATAATGAGTTGAATTCTAAATACTATGCATATATTTTTAAAATCAGCAAAAAGTTTAGGAACGATTGAAAATCTGCATGAAAGAAGCTGAAGCTGCTCAAGCAGAGCTCGATGAGACTCGCAAACAGTTACGGATGAAGGATATTTATCTTCGTCAGTTAGAAGCATACACTGGTGAGAATACTCGAAAAGAAGATGATGCTCGAAATCTTAGTGGTAAGCTTCTTAGCCCTATATGAGGTCATGTGATTGATTTTTTTAGAAAGGTTTCTTTTCTGCAAATTGTTATTCGAATGGGTATCCTTGACCCATTTCAGTTGTTTATTCGGAAATAATTTCAGCTTGAAGTGTTTATTCGGAAAATTTTTAATACTTTCCTCATTTTTCTCATTGATATTGCTGTAGACCTATTTTTATTAGCCTGCTGATACTTATTTTACACAAAACTTGTTCACCAAAAAGGAATTTTTCTATTTCGTTCCACGGGTTTTTTTAATATATATATAAATAATATATATGTATATATATATATTGTAGATGAAATTGAGCAATTGAAGAGTGAACTGGTTAGAGCAGCAGATGAGACAGAAAAGTGGAAGAAAGAAGCACAATTAGCGCGGGAGCGTTATGAATTGTATGGGACACAGCTAAATCAGAATATCGTACAAATGAGTGCAAAGGTAAAAAAAATGATCGAAATGGCGAAGTTTATAGAAGCTCAGTAGCTAGTTGGAGAACTTCTGGTCAAAATTGCAATTTGAAGCAAATTATGTGCATGTTCTTTTTGCAGTTGGAAGAAATATCAAAGAAGAAACTAATTTTGGAATCAAAAGTGCAGACCTTGGAAAGTCAAATAGAAATGCTGCAGGCAATCGATAGACCAAATTTAGTAAATAACGATAATAGATATGCTGTGGTTAGCCTTTTTTGATAATATAGAAGGTTCTTATCGTTTTGGTGACATTTGTAAGCGATCTGAGCCTACCGATGGTGAAAATGTCATTATGCTACTTACGTTATGCTATTTATAAAGTGAGAAATACTTTCTCATGCTCATTTAGAAAATATGTGCATAATACAACTTATAATTCAAATATATATTTAATACTGCAAAAAGAATGTATATGAGATTGTCAATTGTTTGAAATTTGTTTTAGAATTCGGTCGAACTGCAGAAAGTGCAAAATAAATTGAGTGAAGCGGCGAATGACTATCAGAGAGCGAAACAACTAATTGTGGAATTGGAGGCAAAACTTATGAATAAGGAACAAGAAGTTACTATGCTTTCTTCTGCACTTAGTGATGAGGTTCTTTTCATAGAATTCAACTTTCGTATGTGATGTTTCATTAAGCTTGAAGCACATGGAACGACTGTTCATCGCACTACAATAGCACCAAATTTTTTTGATAATTGGTTTCAATTCATCTCGAGTTATTTTTGTCCCGTTTAATTCTTCATTTGTTTATACTCCATCTGTATTCAAGTCATTTGGTTTTCTCTCTATCAACAATTACGTTCAATGATCAACAAACGTTATAGTTATATTTATAAGCTTAATAAGTGAAGACCTCATTGATTTTTACAACTATAAATCGGATATTGATTGTTTTTTTCTTTGAAAATATATTTGTAGAAATCAAAATTGATGAAAAAAACTGCTGAGTTGGCTTTGGTTGAAGAATCACTTTCAAGAGCTTGTGCTATTGCTGAGGAGCAGCAAAAACATACAGAGGTTAGTTCAGTATTTAAAAAATAATCACGCACGTTTTAGGTCATATTCGTTTAGACAAACCTAAATTCTTAAGGGAGCACTTTCACTATCAGAACAGCTGCAGAATGAAAAAGCTACGGTTTCAAGAGCTATTGCGCAGAATCGTGAATTGAAGGAGCAATTGGTCGAGCTGCAGGATAAACTAATAATGGTTACACAGGTTACTCTTTCAGCTTTTTCCATGTTCCAGAAGTCATGATTCCTTTGACTTTCTTCAAGAATTTATTTATTAAGAAGTTTATAATATATGTGACGTTATCACATATTGTTATAAACTGATTTTTGCGAGTCAAATTATTTTTGCTGTATTTTTTTAATAGAATGCACCAAGCTTCTAACAGAGCAATTGCTTGCACTGTATAAATAATAACTTCGGCATCATAGAGATTATATTGAATCATGGTTCAGGAAAGCATGGAAAGAGAAAGTGGACGACTGAGTGCATTGCATCTGGTTAGTCAACTAAGAAATGAATTGAATCGACTTTCCGGTCAATCTTTTGATGGTAAAAACGTTGATTCTTTGACAGTTCCAATAATGCCGAACAACTATGCATATCAGCAGCAGAAATATATTCCATATGTTAATTCAGGAGATCGTGACGAGGTGAATATGGAATATAATTTGTTAAATATGAAAGACAAAGCCTACTTTGTTGGAGTTTTGTCTTACTCAGTCGCTATTCTTATTGCGAGCTTGTAATAGGGATTTGCCTGAATGCTTAATGCCTAAGCCTGAGCCTAATTAGTGGCTTAAGTTCAACGTCTTACACCATTAATCTTTTTCGGATGTCGATTTATCATGGTATTCAGGTTACAATCGCTCAAAGCTAACAACAATATGCATTAATGCATATTAATTTTTTTTCCATTATATACTTTTAGCAAATCCAAAAATAAATTTGAAATACAACTTGTAACTTTGGGATTCGCACCTTCCAGACTATTTCAACCCCATCGGTTTCTGAATGCTATGAAAGAGACGTGTCATTATCGCACACAGAAGATACTCATGCACATACTGAACTAGAATTAGCGAATATCAAAATGGTTTTGGATGAGTTAAGGCTTGATCATAGACGAGTAATGCAGGAGAATGAGGAATTGCGCAGGTACGTTCGATCACCAACAATTATATATTTATTAGTTCTATGCATGTTTTTGAAAATGCAGTGTTTTTCAGTATTTTAGATTCAGAAAGTTTATTCAGTCATAATCAAAAATGGCAACTCATCATTTTGTTTATTTTAGGATAATGGAACAAAATTCTGAAGATGAAAATCAAAATAACATACACGTTGAACTGGGACAAGCAGTTGAGAGGTATTATTCTACAATGCCCATTCTTACAAACATTATTTATGTTTAAATTTTACATGAAGTTGTGAATGTAGCGAAATTGTGAATTGTGAATATAATGTAACGAATTGTTATAGTTCATATTGGAGTGTTTCTATTTTTAACTTACTTATTAATTAAAGTAGTTATCAAGGCCCACGTATCTCTTAATACTATCAGTATTTTGTCTGCTAATTGTCGAATTAAAAAATTACTAGTAATTCTCAAGTTGAGTGATGCCTGCTGCTTTAGGATTAACACACTATCTGTTGAGAATGAACAATTGCGGAATGATGTTAGCGTGCTTCAAGAAAAATTAAACAATGCACCGCTGTCAAGTAATATTGCACTTTCATCTCAGTGTGAGACGATGTCGCCTGTTTGGATAAATGGTGATGTCGTGAAACGACTGGAAGGTTGATTTATACATATTTCAAGAAGCAATATATAGATGATATTGGAAAGCTGCAAAAGAGATTTAATTTATTTGATCGAGTCTTTAAGGTTGTACCATAATTTCGCAACACATCGGAAATGCATAATCTATTCAGTACAGAAATATTCTTTTTAATTCCAGTTGAACATTATGGATTTTAGCACCTTCAATAAAAGAAAAACCACTGGCTTGGACAGAATTGGAGGCTCGTTTCACTCGAGCGATGCAACAGGTTGCAGATCTTGCTGAAGAAAAGGAACAATTGCAACATATTGTAATGCAATTAGAGACTGAAAATGATACCATTGGTGTGTAGATTTGTGTATAGGTTGATCACGTTAAATGCTAATAATTCTCAGATCGATATTATATTGATATCCATTACTTTTTCATTTGTTTCAGGTGACTATGTAACATTGTATCAACATCAAAGAAAAAAAATCAATGAGAGGATGCGCGAGAGAGAAGAAGCAGTTGCAAAATTATCTTTTGAAAAAGAACAGATGCAGGTCATCAGTGCTTTCCAATTTTTTCTTGAATTAATTTAAGTAAACAATCAAATAAATGTAGTGTCTTTCAAATTCCTAAGTTGATGTAACAGTTCCTTTACTATTCAAGTTTATGCTTTGCCTGAAGTAACTTTATAAAGATGACATTTGATGTCGGAGCTCTTGTAATGTACACTCTCATAATCATCTTTCGCACTGCTGTGTTACTGTATCTAACAGCTTTCAAGCATTTATATCTATTTAATTGATTAACTTTAATTTTTTCAGCAAAAGCTGAATGAATTACAAAAAGTTTTGATAGATCTACTATCAAAGAAGGGACTGTTGCATATTTATGGACATGAAAAAGAAACGTTAAACAACTGTAATGGATCATTGAAACATTCACACAGTGTCCGTTCGTACAGGTATAATACGAGTCTTTCTGAATGCTTTTCTAGATATTGATGATTATTACTTTTTTATGCGTGTAGTTTTTTATAGAAATGGTATTGAGGATAAATTTTCTGGTGATGAGGAAACAGTTGTTGATGCTTCGAAATTTGCTCCCAGCAGTCCAGATTCCTGTGTTGACGTCTCAAGTGAGTTTGGCAGTACAAACCATGATTCTGGTAAGCTGTAATTCACTTTTTTGAAATGATCGAAATAAGATGTAGATTTTCATTTTATCTAATGAAAAAATTAGTTACAATGTCCCATTGCAGGCATCTCTAGAAGTAAAATCAAGGAGCATATTTTGGAAGACAATGCTGACGATGATGTCGGTGTTCAGAGGATTTTAAATTTGATATCAGAGTTGCAGGTGACATTTAAATTTTTATGCATGTAAAAATAACAGGTATTGCAAAAGGAAAATTTTCTTTAATTTTTGGTGGTTGAAATTGGTTCATACTATCATTTATAAGATATTTCCCACAAATTTTGAAGAGAAAAATGGCAAAATTAAACAAAAAAAAAGTTTGTTTTGTTGACAATTTCATACGTACCTGGAAACTTGTGAATAAATTGAAAGGGTTTATCTCTTTAAAACGAAAAATTTTAATTGCCGTGAATGCCGTGGAAAAAAATTTCGTAAGATTTTAATATTTTTTCCAGGATCTGGAACGTACAAGAACACTCGCACCTTGCAGTCCTAATTTACACTGCAGCGAATGCCGTGGAAAATTGATCAATTTATGATAATGTAAACAAAGTAACTGCTGGTATCGTCTTGTGCAGTTCGCAACGTTTGTAATAAATTATGGATTTTTTGATTTAAGAGGGAGTGGGAAGTCAACTTTTTTGGTGTTTTTTTTGGTATTATTTTATAGCTCTTCATAGTAATTTATCTTAATACTTGTGATTTAAACATAATTAGGTACCTTTGAAAATAACATTTCACTTAAACTGCTTTCAAACTCATTTGCTTCACTTTTATGCATTTTTATATCTATCGTCCTTGCACATTCTAGCTATTTAGTTATTTTGAAACTTGAATTAATTTGGCGTCCAAATGCCCCAAGCACCGGTATTACAAACGTCCCTCAGTCTGAATTCAAGGTGATATATTTTCGAAAACGATCGCTCATGTTCTTTAATATTTCTTATGATTTTAGGAACTAGGACTCTGAGTTTTAAAATTATTTCGAAGTTTTCTTTACTAACCCGCCAAATAAAGAAATATTGCCAAAGGAACTTTCATGTATAATGCATTCTGTACTATTTCAAGATTTCCATTCTCTGTGGTATATTTGGTGAATTTTATACTTCCAATCACTGGAAATTTCTTTCTGTTTTTAATAAAATCCATCTTTATACTTGTGTTTATTAAGTTGTTGAATTTCGATTGCAATAGCTTACTTTTTTTGATAAATGCATATTTACTTGTGTGCAAATACTTTGCGTAACAGCTACGTGGATTTCTCAGTAATACATAAATAGGATGGAATTAATAATGTTCATATTCTATTCCGCTTCCTGGTATTGTATCTAGCAGTAATAGTTTACAGTTTGGTTAACAATTCATGTTTAAGATATAATTCGCAGAAATTTTGATTGAAAATAAGAGAAAAGATAGGTCTTGTGATGTGTACATGATGTGAGAAAACATTGTTTACTTTATGTGATGTCATTTTAAAATTTAGATTATACCAGACATAGAAGTAAATGTAGTTATTCTCGTAAGATTTCAGATATGTCTATGTTATTAGCGATTGAAATAATGAGCGGTTGTATGTTTTGCCTTCAACTCAACTATGAGAAAAACTCTGTCTTATTTCTGCGTATATTTACAAGACATTAATATACAAGAATGAACTGTACATCAGTAGGTGTAAAAACAGTGAAGTGAAGTTTAAGATGTCATAATAGATTTTGGACACAGTACTGTTAAGATTAATTTCTTTAATTTCACGGAGTTAGACATCCAGGATTACGTGCAGTTTCATAAACAATTTATTTTATTTGATGGTATAGGAATTTGTCATGGATTTTCTTACACAAATTCTTCCTAGGAGATTATGACGATGGGTGTTATTTTATTTGATTATATTTTTATGTTGCTTGTTTTATGGGATAACATGTCAGTTGTAAATATTTTGTGAAGGAAATTTTCTATCAAAATGTCAGACCGGGATTGTTCCTTACTGGATTCATATTAATACTTTTTGTAATATTTATTCAATTTTCAATTCTTACTTTTGCTGTAGCCTACTGAGAATTTTGTTTCCGTGATTCGACTGATTTCAGACGAGGTGCAAAGTTTGGAGGATGTTAAAATGTTCTAATTTTTAAGAACACGGAGTTCTGAGAAGTACATTGTAAATAATTGAGCACTTAAAATTTAGTAATCTTCCAAGCCTAAATTTCATAAATGCATCGTAATTTCTAATTAATTGTGATCATATATTCACAAATCGCAGTTTTTTTAGTTTTTCTATTCAAGTATGAGAACAAGATTGAAATTCAAGTATGGTGTAATAGATTAAAGAGATTTTCTTGAAATTTTTACTACACTAGATTGCTTCACACGAGTCTCTTTTCGTATTGCAATGTGATTTCACTTTCGGAAGTTATCCTAAATTGATATTAATTATTTAGGACGAAATGCAGCTGCAGTGTAGTGTGTTAGTTAATTCGCACACTGCGATCATGTCTGAATTCCGACAGCGGTACTGTAAAGGGATTCTGTTTCTAAGAAGCGGAAAAGTCAAGAAAATAGGCGAGTGTGAATTGGTTATAACTACTCCTCGAAATAGAAGTGGGCGACTTTTCAATGTCAGTAATATGGTTATATTTTTCTTAATCTATATTGAGTGTTTGAATCGATGCTCAATTTTTGTTTCATTTGACTTTTATATCATTTGCTGCTGATTGATTAGGGCACATCATTACAGTGTATTGCACGTCGATTTTTTATATCAATTTGATTGTTTTAGATATATTTATTTATAGATTACTGGAAGAAGTGTTAGGCGAATTCATTCTACAAATATGCAGTCTGGATCTATTACAATAGAAATGAATATTCCTTCAGTGTTAATTTGTATAAAAGAGGTAATGATTTACTGATTGAGTATTGACTAGTTCATATATGCGTCGTTTTTATTCTCATTTGTTCCACTGGTACATATCAAATTATATCATTTTTGTTTCACTTATCGGAGTTATTGATGGTTTTGGAGTAGAAGAGAACCAAGCATAAATGGTAATGTGTTTTGTGAGAATAGAACTGTCATGAATTTTTAACAATTTTATTTTGAAGTTTAGCTTTACGTTGTTTCATATTGAACAACATTGCTCTAAAGAAAGATTTTTCATGCTTTCGACATTCTGATTAAATAATGTTTTCTAGTTCCCCACCTAAAGCAAGTCTTAATAATAACACTTATAGCTACCAACGAATGGTTAGTTTGATATTTCACATTATTTTATCTTTTTTTCAAAGATCACATACTTTTTCTATGCGGGAAGAAATTGCCAAGGAAAGGTAAACTGATTGATGTTTTTCAGGCATCAGTTCCTTCACTCCGTAATTTCATTTCAAAACTGCAGAAAGTATTGGCAGGTGAAGAAATTGTTCTAGGCGGTAACAAAAAAGTTACATCCTCTAGTTTCGCTTCGTTACGAAGAAGACTAATTATGGCTAGCAGGAAGCAGTACAACGAACATAAATTGCGATTTTCGCCTTATTTACTTGTACGGCGCTATTTCAGATTTTCTTTTTGTGTTTTAAATAGCAATACAATACAATTGCTTATTTAGAAAATGCTATTTCTGTTAGTTATAAATACGGGAACTTAGTCTCATTGATATTTAAAATTATGCCTACAGGAACTGATAATGTCAAACATTGGTTTGGCTGCTGTTGATACTCGTTGGTTTGGAGCTACTTCTCTTCGTGTACTTGATCTCAGCGGTAATAAGCTTGGTAAATCAGATTCTTTCGAAATCAAATTCTTGAATATTGTTCGATTACAGCATCTCAGAGTTCTTGTACTTGCTGATAACGAAATACAATATATTTCGGTAACTTTGTGTTTCATAATCTTATAACAGAATTTAACTAGTATTTCTCATAAGCAGAAATCTGATGTTTGTATAAAAGTTTAACCAGAATTTAAGCCTGTGTTCATAAATAGAGTTTTTTCTTACTGTAAGTGAACAACTTTACAGGATGATTTATGGAACGCTTTACCAGAAAATTTGTTGTCATTAGATTTGTCGAGCAATCAGATCTCTTATTTGTCGACTTGTTGCACGCGGTTTCCAAAAATGGCTCATCTATGGCTCAGCCATAACAAGATTGAGGAATTGCCACGAACTGTACGTTTCTTGAAGTTAACCATCTGGTTAGGCAAGCAAAAAGCTCCAAAAATGAGTCAGTCGACCAGCCTTACTAAAGTGATTACTTTATTTATCGAAAGGGTAGTTTCTGAGAATGTCCTGCTTATCATTGTAAAACATTTCGGAACGTGAAACAGGATTTAGCAGTTCCAGTTATGCTACCCTTTATGAAATCTTGACTGAAAGTTTTAGTTGGCTCATTAAATTAGTTAGGACATTAAATTAATTGCAAAAGTCGAAAAACACTTTTGTATGATGTTGTATGGTTTTGTATTGGTTGTTTTGTATGGTTCCTGTTATTGAATGAAGAAGTTTTCTTTTTTTCAATAAGATTATATTTGAGAGAAGTGCTTTTTATTTTGTCTTCTATAACTTAAGCCGAATTAAAATTTCGGCTAATTTATTTTCAGATAAGCAATTTGAGGAACTTAAAATGTTTGGACATTAGCTGGAATGAATTAAAATTCTTGCCTTCTGAAATAAAGGATCTCTCGCTTGAAATGATTGATGTGACTGCTTACAACAATCATGAAAAACTTGAAATACAAGATGCTCTTGATCAGTTACTTCAAACAGGCGATCCAGTGATTAAGATTGGCACACTATTCGAATATGCTGCTGCTGCTGTTCTAAATTGTAGGTTGGTGCTTCGTCTGAAATATATCTGTTTTTATCATGATTCACTTAGAATATTCTATTTACAACACAAAGGTAAATAAGGGAAAGAGGAATTTTTCAAAACAGCACACAGTGATCCAGAGAATTGGATCTTGCAAATTTCAAGGCATTTAAATAAGGAAAATCCAAATATATACTGCTCTGTAAAAATTTCTATACTTCTATCAAAATTTTTCAGGATCAATACAAATTCTCTGCCAGATTTACTGCGTGTAATGATGCGAAAGGCAGTTCAAAATTGCAAAAGTAAACCGGGAGGAAGCTATAAATTTTATCCTGCTAGTATTGTTACTGCAAGGGTATATTCATGTCTTTATAAATCTGACATTAGGCCATCAAATGCATCATTATAATGAGTTTGAGAAAGTATTCAACTGATTGATACAAATATTGGCCATAACGGATCTCTGCACTTGAACAACTTAAGTATTTTGCAGTTGCAACACTTCCATTTCCATATTTTAACTTTTGTTAGTTTTGACTGAAGATATGTGTTTGTACTTTTAATTTTGATTTATTAGTTTTGACTTAAGACATATTTTTTCCGATGTAATTTCCGTTTTTTCCAGTATTATATCGAGGACGTACGATCTCTGGCATTTCAAGCAGTTTCACAAACTCATTATAGTGTGATTTTGCAGGATATGGAGGTGATGTGATTTCGTTCGTATGTCTTTATCTTTCCGGCATTTTTTACTTTTATTTCAATTCTTTTTCTTATTCGTCACTTTTAAGCATAGACTGTTTATTTCATCTGTTTCGATACCCTTATTCAGCAAATATTCTCGATAAATCTCTTTATACAACATAAAATTTAGTGACATTCTCAATCAGTCTGATCTCTCACTGAATACATTATAATCTTGAAATAAATTGTCGTGCAGACTTAATATTTTTCTTCTATTAGTTTTTAATTGAAAATGTGTTGTTGATGGTATGTGTCTTATCATTGGGTGTTTTTCTTGCGCCCTATATAGCACAATTCTATTAGCAAATAATGGATCTATATGTTTGCTTTTGATATCAAATGTTAGCTCTGTTTGCAGCATTATATCTATTCATATTTGAATATTAAATCAGCAGTTGATTAATTTTGATGAAGTTGATATGGTTGTTATTGTGGTTTCTGAAGTATTGAAATTTGCTGTTTGCTGTTAGAATGATGCATTCTTAAATAAATTTTGTTATATTACATATCATTATCATTTTACGTTTATTCACTAATGACTACTGTTATTTATATTTTAGAGTGAAGAGATGATGCTAGGTAGGAAGAGAGATATTGTATTTGAGCTTAAGATGAATCGTGAAGTACTGAAGACAATCTGTGGCATCAACAATGCATTTAATGGAAGTGTTAATGAAGCTATTTACATTGCAAGAGGTTTTGGAAGGAAATAAGAAGTTTAAGGGAGGAATTTATTCGACCACCGAAGCTTGACAACAACCTACTAAGAGCAATTATCAAGCCTGTTCCTCTGGGTGATCATTTTTGTTTGACTGTCCTGTGGTTAAGTATTTGAAACAGATTGGAAGGTTAGGAATACTCAACAAATGACGTCTGGTAAGTCCGAAGAATCGACGTCTTGAAGTATCGTCGTCTCTTATTTTGTGCGACCATTTTTTTCAAGAGATATGATATAATTCATCGCGCAAATTTATAAGAAAAGGAAATCGTATCATATTTAAGATTTTTTTTACTATTGCTGGGATTGAAAAGGAAGTAAATGATGACGATGGGATTAACTGCTGGTGTATTTCAAAAAATCTTACTACTTTAGGCTGATGTTGGTTGAGCCGTCTGACGGTATAGATGGTCCCAAACAAATTTGGCAGAATAAAATCCACGATGTCGAGTCACTGCTACTTGAGGCTGACGTTTTCTTTCGCGATATGGAAGGCATTGGAAAATATAAAAAGAAATTGGAAAATGAAATGAAATTTTTGACTGCTGTAAGTTATCCATGTTAATTAATGATATTTTTTAAATGAATATAAGATTTAATTCCATATCTTATTCTAACTTTTGCCTTTATAGTTAGAAAATCTACCGATCAGTGAATTGAGGAAGTATTTGGATACTAGCAATACAACGCATCTTCGAGGCTTGCTTGATGTGGCAAAGAAGCATTCTTGTTGTGCCTTTTACAAAACCTTCACTGTGTCACAGAAATATTCTACTTATGATTTGAAATATTCAAATAGGCATGTAGATGCATCAGATTTGTTGAGGAAGTGAAAAAGTCCGTCTAAGTGACTCAGGAGTAATATTTTTCGTAAGGTTCTATGCTTATTTTGCTAAAGGTACCGGAAAAATTTGAATTCTCTAAAAGAAAGATTTCATTTTTCAAAAACTTTTTCTCCATAGATATTACTGTGCAAAAATTGAATTACGAAACAAGTAGAGTGTTCATGGATGTATTTTACAGGAAATCAAAGCGAGAAATTGACTTAGTGGTGAATGGTGGCGCTACGTGGGTGATTTTTTTTTAACATTCCTTATAAAGCTGTTTATTTTGACAGTTGGATTTAATATCTTACTTAATGTTCTTTATTATTTCTCTTTGTTTCCGCATTTTAGTGGCTCATATGATCTTCCTCATCCAGATATTTTTTAATTAAAGGTGAAAGTGATATCCAGAAATGTTCGAAGTCTTGCTATGGATTTTGTTGGTGCTAGTGGAAGTGCTAATCGTTCCGTTATTGAGCAAGCACAAGATTACATTGAGGTCTGAAATTTCTTCGTTAGTAATAGGTTCCATTGTGTCACATTTTGGCATAAATAGTGAAATAGTAAATTAGATTTTCGTCTCCTTCATACGAAATATATTTAGATAGCTCGAACTCATCTTCATTTCTTCAAAGTGCCAAAAATAATATTTGAATTCGTGCATGGTGTTCCAGACTTGTTGCAACATAAACTTGAATCATTTGGGATTGAAGTTATTGGTGATATGGTAAGTCAGTTTGTAACAGTAGTTATGAAGCATCATATCGAAGACTATTTCTTCAACTCCTTTCAACTCACAAATTGTAATGATCGTGTAATTACTTGGCTTAATTTTGTTTTTTCTATTTGACTTGCAACAAAAATTTGTAAAGTTTATTTTGCTCCCTGCATATGCTCTGCAAATTTCTTTCGAAATCGAACCAGAATTAAGATTGGAACGCAGTGGGCTGTAATTCTTTGAACATCTCATTTCACTTTTTACTAACTTGTCAACAAATGATTATCTGTGCTTGTGAAACGGTATGGTGGATTTGCAGAAACCTTTCCAGAGTCTCCACAAAATTAAAATTTCAATTTTTTTTGTTAATTCAGATGAATATTAACGAATTTGTAAAATTGCCGGTTGATTTTGCTTCATATGACAGTGATGATATTTACGACAGTACACCACCACCTTTTTTGGAGGACGAATGCCTAATAGCAGAAAACTGCGTTGTAGATACCGTCAATCTTGATATCAGTAGTGTATTTGCTCTTATTTCATCCTTAACTCATGGAAATGGTGCTAATTATAACTATGCCAGTCGGTTACTAAATGCTCAAGCCGTTCTGGAAAGGAAGAAACCTGCTCTACCTCCACTTCTGAAAGCTATTAAAGGTCTTCTCATAATATTTGGTATTACATTCATTATCATTATAAACATTTGATTGGAAATCGTCCAATTTAATTTAGAAGAGTAGTAATGCCATTTCATTTGAATTGTTTTTTTCCTCGTTTAGTGAAGTTCCATGTATTTTCTTATATTACATCTGATCAAAATTTGCATTCTGTCTGCTTAGGAATAATAACAAGAAGTCTGTACAAGCATGCTACCCGGTTAATATTTAGTCAAAATTTTAGTTTAGTTTTGTCGTAAGATTTCTCAAATAATTTTTCTTATTTTTTCAGATACAAAGTTGATAATTTGTCAAACAGCATACGATTCTGTGCAGTCAATTTTGAGTACAGTGGCAGGACCGCAGGAAAGAATACGTGCCGAAGAGTTATTCAAAAAAGTTAAAATAGTAGAAGATAAACTATCAAAACGAGCAGCTGGATTAAAATTGAGTGATAGAATCAGTCGGAGGTCTAAAGTAAATATTCGCATTATTCTCAATTGAAGTTCTTTGGAAATGTTGAAGATTTAGGTTCTTTAAATTAAACGCTTGGATACTTTTAGATATTTATATATTTCAAACTTTACTGCCAGGTAATATTCTGTTCTAGTCATTGGAGTTAGCAACAGTTTGGATAGTCTGAACATTAACTGTCTTTAAGGATAAGTCATATTAGTTAACTAATTTATCCCGTTAGTTTAATTTCAGACAATATTTGGTTCCGGTGATTATTACAAAGCAGTTACAGTTACCGCCAATCGTCATTTTGTTTATGCAGCTGCACATCAGGTCTTCTTTTCATTTCTAACGATGTTTTATTAAATTTACGGTCTGTGTAGATGCTTGATAGTTACAGTTCATTGCTAAGCTACAGTTGGTTGTTGCTATTTATAAATGTACTTCATTCGATCTGATCTATTACGAATAGTTTACACTGGTTTCATAAGTCAAGCATTTTCAAAATCACTGTTCCTTGCTGTTTGCATTAACCAATGATTCCTGGATCTACCAATGATCTCAGCACTATTTATTTGTAAACATTTTTATTATTCTATCGTAAATATATTTTCAGGATATTCATTTCGCTGTTATTATACATGAATCAAGAGCATTAAGTGAACAGAAGCAACGAGATTTAAGAAACTAATTTTGTTCTGCACTTTATTTTATATGTACTGAGATGTCGCATAAATACTTGCAAGCAATAACCTTTTTTCTCAAATTTTTAGCAGGCATATTAATTTCCTGTAAAATATTTCTCAAAAATATTTTATGTCACTTTTGACTGTGGCCTTTCAGAAGTTATGTAAATAGTTAGTTGAAAGGATGGTTTCTTAGGAAATGTTCTGATGCTCTCAGCTGACTTGTCGATTCTATTAGTAACTGGTACATTTCAATGAAATTTTTGGCCAAGATTTAGAAGATGGTAGATCTGTCAGATGTGAAACTTCCGACAACACTTCTTCGAACGATTAACTGTAAGCAGGCTGCCGTCAGAGCTGTTAGATTTAACGGTTTGTTTTAACAATTTTACCATTTAATGCAAAATAAAGAGAATCTCATCTGCATCTCATCCGGGGATTCTTTTGACAACATGTTTTGAGCTAATTAGTGTTCCATGGAGTTTAGAAATTAGTTTAAATCGTTTCTAATATTGAATAGAATTTAGTGGATGGGAACTACTGCTTATCGTGTGGTGCAGACAAATCAGTGAAGTTATGGAATCCATATAAGGGAACGCTTTTAAAGACGTATACAGGAACAGGATGGGAGGTTCGTTTTGTGTTTGATCACAGTCTTTTTTTTTGAATCAATTTACACGTGCAATGTTTAATTAGCTTATGCAAAATACTTTTAAATAAGTATATAATTCATAAATGTGTATCATAAAATGACTGTAAATAATTGTAGGTGCTGTAGGTAATTACAGATGTTGAGGACGTGGAGTCTAGCAGGTAGATAACAGACTTGTCATTACTTTAAATAAAGTAGAAGTTCTACAATATTTATGAAAAATTAAGTGCTTCAAATATTTAAATTCAAATATTTATTGTGATGAATCGTTTCATTTATCTAAAATTGTTTCAATTTTACATCTGCTTCAGGTTTTAGATGCTCAGGGTTCCAATGATAATTCGATGATACTTGCTGGTGGCATGGATAAACAACTGACGGTGTTCGATGTTGAAACCGGAAAAATAATACGACGGTGGAGAGGACACAATGGTTCTTTTTTTCTTTCGAATATTTTATGTTAATTCATTAAAATTATCGTCTCTCTTTACTAAAATTTATTAAATCATTTAAGGTCAGGTTAACAGTGTGGCGTTCAATGAAGAATCGACGATAGCAGTATCTGCTTGCCAAGACGGCATCGTACGTTGCTTCGATATTCGTGATAAAAATGCGCCCATACAGGTTATTTTATACTCCGTCAGTATTTTCTTCATTCTCATTTCCTTTGTCATGTTAATTCAGAAATCTGTTTCATCAATCAATGTATAGTTTTACAGCAGATGGATGAGGCCACAGATGCTGTGTTAGCAGTTGATGTTAGTTCGCATGAGATTGCGTCAGGTTCAGCTGACGGTAGTGCTCGAGTCTATAGCATTCGAGACGGAAAGTTAACTGATGGTAAGCTTATATACAAGTTTAGTTATATAAAAATTTTATTTAAGGTTCATTTGTTGCTTTCCCTAGCCGAGGATATGAAAATCGATAAATTTTTGTCAAATACTGGTTCTAATTTTTTGCATAGGTTAGAAAATTTATTTGAATTCGAAAAGTTTTCAACACAAGAATAATGCTTATATTCATTGCAAAATTGTACAGTTCGAGGAGATAGATTCTAATTCATTATACTTCATCTGCTCTTGGAAATATCGACGATTAGATTACTTGTTGGAAAGCGTTAAATGTGATTTCATAAAATATGTTTATGTTTGTTATGTTGTGTTATATCGAAAATGATGTCTCAGATTTTCTCGGCGATAGTGTTACATCGTTGCATTTCTCAGCGGACGGTCAGTGTTTACTTGCATCTACCAAAGATGGCTTCATTCGACTGATCGATAAAATGAATGGACAGCTACTGGCGGAGTTTGCATTTTCCATTTATTTTTTAAAATATACCTCATTATCACTGCTATTATCTCCTCTCATTTCCTTTATATTATTGGTATGCATACTGCAATAAAATGTTTTGCCTTTAAAAGAATTTCAAGATATTCTATTATTAAGTGTGAGATTTTCTACTTGAATCTTGTTTCTTTCTTTCGGTTATAATTTTTCACTTTTTTGGAGTTTTTATTGGAATTTTGGATTATTAAGTTAAATTGCAACTTCTTTGCCTATTCACAGACATCAATTGTAAATAAATAAACTTTTATCGCTGAAATTTCAGCTACACAGGCCACGTAAATACTGAATATCGGGTAGAAAGCTGTCTACTTTCAACTGATGCACACGTTGTGAGCGGTTCCGAGGATGCTCATTTGTACATATGGAATTTGATTGAGGTAAATAGGCTGACATTTTTTATCTTGACATTTTTACTTCGCTCTTTTATTGTTGAGAAATTATTTAGAGAAGGGAATTTCCTTTAATGTTTAAAAGTAGAAATGTATTTCGCTGGAAGCTAAAAAACTAATTTAACCTGAAACTAAATTCTAAAAAATACAAGACTTTCATGCTATTTCGGTGTTTTTTCCTATCTTTTTCCAGATTTAGTTTCGAAATGTTTCAGATGAAAATACTGCATAAGTTGCCGCATCCAAATTCCGTAGTGCATTCGGTTAGTTCACATCCAAAGAAGCCAGTTTTATTATCTTCATCAGCAACAAATATGTTTCTATGGGGCCTGCAAAAAGACGATGATTGTATTTAACTGAAAATTTTGTTTTCAAATGTTGTTTTATCCTAATTATGTAATTCTGTTTGTTATTCTGTTTGCAAATAACATTTTTACAGTTAATTGATTTTTAGAAATTAACGAAAAGTGCGAAAAGTACCACTAGCGAAAAGTAGTGCAATCGGAAGTCTAAACCATCTTACACTTTAATGTGCTTTAATCTAATTTCGAAGGAATCATTATTTTTCTTTATCTGAAATTGTGGATACAGTAAAGAAGTTGCCGCTTCGGAATTGAAACCTGTATAAGTTACTTACATTTAAGCTGGAAATTGTAAGTTGAAGATTCGTAAGGGGTGGATGCGAAATCAAATGAAAATGCAGAATTAAAAAGTGAACATTATATTTCAATGGACATATATATATATATATAAATGTATTCCCATCGTCGTTAATCTCATTCAAATTCCAATTTATATTATGATGTTAAATTTACTTCCTACAGTTCTATTCTTAATCGATTTGTTATAAAAACCTGATCACTAACTAAATTGCAAATGATTCTTCACCCAATAAAGTGATTGCGGATTGCATTTTACGGATTTGAGTAATATACATTTGCGTTGTTAGCAATATTTGTATATCGTATGCATGTATGTGTCGGTATTGCATATGTTATCGAAATGCACTTAATTAATGTGCGCCCTTTCACTGAGCCGCCTTTTGAAGACTGTAGTGATAGAAGGGGTAATCCATTTGAAGTGGCTTAACGCTTTTGTTATCAAGATGGCTTTAAACGACCTATTTAATATACATTCACCTATATTTGTAAGTGCTCTTAAATCGTTCAAGAACTATTTTTGGAAGGTATGCACTTTCGTCGCATTAAACAAAGAATGCTTAAATACAATAACAGCGATTTTCATTTCATATACCAAGGTAATCAAAAAGAAATGATGGTTGTATGAATTATTGTAGTGATCTAGCGAAATCAAGGAATAGCTATTTCGATGAATTAACATTTCCTTCTGTTTTATTATATTTGTAATAGTTATATTTGGATAATTAAATGTATAAAAAAGGGAATTCCGTAGGTCGAATGTTTAATAGACTTTTCTCTTTAGATTCAGCATTATGTTTTCAAATTATTGTCATGAGTTTACAAACTTTAAGATTCTAGCATAGGATTTTGAATTTTCCGAATTTTCTGGGATTATCAAAAAAGCAGAAATTATGTGTGACTAATATGATGCGATGGGGTGAAGAGGTCAATTTGTACACAATATATTGGAGACATAATTTGTTGTGTTTATGTCTATTTGCACAGTGGTCCGTAATTACAGTATCAACTTGCACCATTTGGCACACAACAACTCTTCTATGTAAATTAGTTGATTTTCATTTCCGTTTGTTTTCCTTTTTTTGAGATTGGTACTGTCAAAAACAATGTTAGAGGTGTCAAAGGTGACAATAACGGTACACTTCAAAGTAAGAGCGTGCGTTTTTAATTATGCTATATCTTCATTTTCCGCAGTATATTTCCACATAAATTGTATTTCAATTTGTTTAGATGTATATTTCTTATTACTCTTACTGCTATAAGTGTTTTAAAATCCACTTTGTCCCACTCTTTCTTCAGATCGTTCATTCTCTATTACACTGTGTACGATATTTTCTTGATCTGTGGAGACATTTGAGCACAAAATTGGTAACTCATTTTCCTAGTTTCCTAGATTTAATTTTACATTTCAATTTTAAGCTTCCTATGGCCTACTTCGGTCGCATTGCTAAAATTTTAATCATCATAATCGAACACATAGATAAATGAGATGTAAAATTAATTCATAAATTTTACTAACTCGCTTTCATTAATTGATGCGTTAGTCGAATAGATTAAATCATTTTACAAAAATTTCAACTAATTTACTTATTCTATATTTTTAAAGATAATTAAATTTTTTAGTAAGAAAATTGCAATCTGTAATTCTAGGTGCTTTTGTAAAAGATATCAAAAAGTATTTCATGTTGTTACATTATGCTCTGTTCCATTAAATAATTTCCTTCACCCTAAGCATCCTTTGGTGATCTCAAAACCGCAACAATTAATGCTCGTAACCGGTCCAGACACCAGCGGTTTCCAATAACGGCGCCAATCCATGCTTAAATTAACGTTCACAACAATTAATTGTTCTTTTGTTAAAATAAATTATACTACAACTAATTGCAACGCACCACTTTTTTTGATTTTAATCAAAATTTTCATTGATATTTGATTTCTAATCAAAAATATGAATTAGTCTCAAAAAGTAGCAGTGAGTTTGACAAAGTCTTTGCGACTTAATTTACCTGTTAATTGTTAGCAAATCATTAACTTATTACTGCAATAATATTGTTAATACATTTCGAATACGTCACATCTAAAAATTCATATATTTTAGTTAAAAAACAAAATACCTGCTCTTATTCTTTTTCTCCCTCAAAATTAGTGAATTTTCGAAGATTAGTGAAATAATGATTGTTCATTGATTCTTTCAGTAGTTTATCACATTAACAAGTCACTATCACTATTGACAAACTAATTTGGAAAGTGATCTATAGTCATCATCCATTCAGCACTGTCACTTGTCACCTATTATAATGGCATCATTCATAAATATGTATAAAATCGGTTGCATGCAGTAAAGCAGTAAGCATTGGAGATGAGACAACAATAATTGCCAACATGGAGAGCACGTGATTTATATCATTTACATCATAATGTTCTTGAAATAAGTTTTTGTGAATAGATCAAATTTATTGGATACTAGTAGGGTTATTGAAAAATATCATAATTGAAATTATGAATGAAATGGTACATCTTTAAGATTATTGACAAGTGGAAAGCAGGCATCGTATTGTGATATTACATTGATATTATCAGTATAGAATTGCTGAATTATCATTCTTTTATTGCAACAGTTGTTGTGGTTTGATATTAGCAAAAATATTATTCTTTTATTGATCCATATTAAAGTAGAATTTTTTTATTATTTAATAACCTTGTATTGCATTGATTATAATATTTTAACAGCCTGATTATGTGTTATTATAACCGAAATGATTCAATATTATCTTTAATATTTATCGCACACAAAGTTACGATTATTTTTGCACCACATCCTCAATAATTAGTGATTGGAAAGTGAAAAAGCATGAAAGAAGCTTTATATTAGTAAGTTTTGCAACTAATTCGAAAAGATGAAGCCTTTAAAGCAGTAATTGCCTTTTCCCCTTCTTCTCAAAATAAAGTTATTACATTTTGTATGAAAGATCTTAAAAGGGGAGAAGAAAAGAGTGAATTGATAGAGCTCGAGATGGGAAACTTAATTAGTTGGCCCATTAGCTGTGATGCCTAGAGCAGCTATTACTGATCTGTTGTTAAGGAACGATCCCTGCGCTATTATATACTACTGCAGCACCCTTTATACCTTCAAATTGAAGCTGTAAATTACGATAATAAGAATGAATGGGATATCAGTGTAATGAAATGATGTGCACATTTTAGCTTTAAAAATTTCGAAATCTTTGCATTGACTCGAGCACGAAAAGTTTCAATGAGATAGGAATGAATTCAGATGACCAAAAAAAATGGAAAGTTACTTCCTGGAATCCAAGAATCAGTAATTTTTTTTTACTAACTAAGATTACAATAATTAATTAAAACAATTTTAAGCTCCCATTAATACAATCGCATTAATGGCAGCTTAAAATGAAAAGGTCAAAATTGAGTGAAAATAATTTAAATTTAATTGAAATCGAGGAAACACTGGATCTCTTAAAAATATTGCAATGATTGATTTCATTTCATCGTAAAGCGGATGTTAATCATATATAGATACATAAAATGAATTTTCTTTTTAGTAACTTAAATTAGCATATTTTAATAGTCGTAAAAATTAGATAAAATCACGTTGATTACACGTGCACATCAGGAAATGTAACTTTTATTCCTTCTATTCCGGAATTATTCATTCATCATACAGAATTTCTAGCTTCATCTAACAAGATAAGGTTGAAGGAAGTAAGAGAGAGAGAGAAGAGAAGAGAAAGAGAGGCAAATTATCAGCAATCCGTTCAGCTATCCTATACCATGACCACTCATCCTTTCAATCTTGTCTATCACATGAACGCTTGATGGGACCGCCCCTTCGCAGCATTAAATTTGAGATGATTACGGTAAAACAAGCTGCGACGAATGGGATGATGAGTTTGGATTACCCACAGCATACGAACTCCAAATGTGTACATGGCAAAGCCAACGAGTGCTCCTAGCCCGGATACGGGTGCTGTCAATTATTTCTCCATCAATCATTTACTCCGGCAGTCATCATTTTCATCTTCAAAATCAACTGATCCCAAAAATAGTTCACGAATAGATGACGAAAGTCCCGGAACATCCAGTAAACAAATTACTAAAAAGGAACTAGAAACAGTGGTAGTAACATCCAACTCTGAGTCAAGTTTGACAACATCTGATAGTGATCGTTTACTTACTGCTTTACTAACGAATGATACTTGTGTACAATCTCATTTCTCACTGTCCTTAAATCCCACTAGCGCAGCAATTGATTTACTGAAACATTCGGATTCTTCTCTGGATCGAAAATTCGACAATGATACCACTGCTACATCACATTTTGACGAGAAATCAGTACTGGGATGTCGCGAAACAACGATACCGTTATGGTTGAATTGTGCTGCTGCAACTGCTGCTGTACTTCCTTTTGAACAAAGTTTCTTAATGGCCCAAAGATCTGGTTAGTTTCACTTCCTGTAACAAATCTTTTAGGACATCCTAACTTTTTAATGGTAATTTTAAATTGAAAAATTTAGATTCTAACTGCTTATGTACTCGAATTTTTAATATCCAATGAATTCACAGAACGAGCAGCACTTGTTAAAGAATTTATGCCATTTAATTTCTTGTTTTTTGCACTCAATATTAAAATACGAATTAGAAGTTTCGGTTGCTACTTAACAACTAAGTTCAAATTTAGCTTGTCAAGAAGATCACAATAGTAATCCAAATCATTTATTTAAACTCGATTTAATTAATTCTTTGGAGAATTTGATTAGATGATGTCAATAACTTTACATCAATTCTTTTTATTCCGCTAAAGTAGATTTCAATTACTTTATGATGATGATATCTTTTTTACCATGCTCTCTTTATCAGATAGATCAGTTTCAAACAGATGTTATATTTTTTGTACTTAAGATTCAATTTCATTCGATTATCTCTTCTTCAAGCCTTTGCTTCTCCTCTTGCAACTGTAATGATAAATATATTTTAGTTATCAATATTGTTATAGATTTATGGCTTCCAAAAAGTATTCTAAATCAGATGAGACAAGAAAACTTATTAATTCACAAATGAATTCACAATTTTAGTTCAAAATATTTTAGCGTCAGTATTCCCTCACTTGTGGGCAGCCTCAACTAGTACTGATGCTTTGCGATTAGTTTCAACCAGTAAATCATATCGGCGTAGAAAAGCACGTACCGTATTTTCGGATCAGCAACTACAAGGTCTCGAGAACAGGTTTGAAACACAACGGTATCTATCAACACCAGAACGTATCGAACTTGCTACTGTTTTGAATTTGAGTGAAACACAGGTATGACTCCGAAATAATGGAAGATTTTGTTGGAAAAAATTCAATTCAACTTAACAGTAATTATAAAAGTTTGATTAAGAAAAAACCGAATAGGAATTGTTTATACAGGTGAAGACATGGTTTCAAAATCGGCGTATGAAACATAAAAAGATCGTCCGAAAGCAAAGTGACAGCTGCATTAGCAATGGAGACAATGGTACAAAGACAGATAATGTGGATTCAGACGAAAGATGATTTAAATTAATAAAAAATTTCGGACTTTGAAATGATAGTTGCGCCATACAAATTTACAGGAGTGGATACAATTTCCTATTTTCTAATTCCTGGTGTACCTGAAAAAGGGTGCACACTCAAGTTTGGAACTTTGAGCATATCTGAAAAGTGTATGGTTTAGTCTTTTAGACTTTGTTCGTGTATACTATGTAAATATTTTAGAATTTCATGGTATATAATGAAACATAGCCCAATATGTTTTAACTATAGAAACATCTGAAAACGCTTTAATGCCATAAATACTTTGAAAATCATTTTTTCATAAAATTAGCATGTATGAACGATACCAGCAACATTTGGTTTTTGCAGCTATTTCTCATGCATCATTTGCAATTAATTTAATGAAACTTGGGCACACCAATCAAAAAATTTGTATGACGCTGATATTTGACATGTGACCTTTTATAATTAATACTATAAAATTAGCAAGAACAAAGTCCAATACACAGAGCGAAGTGGAGCTTTCACAAATTGAACATGCAGTAAAATTTTTGGTTGTTGAACTACTAAAAATTTACTAAGTCTGCTAATTGGCAGAACATTTCAATTTCTAATAATGTAAAATTTTTATGACATTTTCGAATTTGAATAAATTTTTAACAATAAATTTGACCATGCAATTCATACAGCACATTAAAGGATGGAATTTGAGAACTAATTTTTCATGTTTTTTTGAAATCTTCAACGTTAGTACAACGAAGCTATAAAAAGCTGTTCGATTCTTTTAAAACAGCAGGGGTTATTGTCATCAAGCAATCCACTTCTCCAATTAATTAAAGAAGACTCGGCTGCATCAAAAAGCATAATCTTCGTATATCACAAAGCTGCTTTTTCTTTACCACCGCCACTTTCGCACTTTTCCACATAGCAAATGATTGATGAAGTTAGAAATTTAAAGTTGCTCAAAAATAGCACAGTTAGTTCAACCGCATCAAGTAATCCAGCGATCTTTCAGAACTTCTCGAGTGACCAACCAGAAATTATAACAATCCTCCTGTGAAATAGCCCTGACCTCGCTCATTTGTGACAAAAATTCGTCAATAGAACAATTTTTTCCTCCTGATTGGATTAATGAATTTCTCTGGTTAATGCTGCAACCAAATTCATCTATTCAGTGATGTTGCGTAATAGCAACAGCAGTAATAATTTACAGAGCAAGACGGAATGCCGTAAAAGTGAATTGGAGTATAGGAAGAGAGCTTTACTATACGATGTTCTGTTCCAAAACTGTCTAATTGGTCACCAATCAAAGCTTATTAATGCTAATCGCACAAACATACGAAATGAATGACCCAAAACCAACCTGTCCTATTTTGTTGATCATTCATTTTTTTGCAGCAAAATTGAATTCTTATTTCACCAAATAAGAAATACATCAGGGATTTTTGATGAATGAAAAGTTATAAAAATATGCAGCACGACTAATTAATCTATGATTTAGCTACAGAAAGAATTAATGTATGAAATATTCGTTATAGTAAACTTGAAATCTGATTGATTTCAGCATGAAGCAATTTTTTCTTTTCTTTTGAGAAGGCGTTTTCAGCTATCTCTATAACAAAAAATTTGTGCCCTTAAAATAATAACAAATTTGCATCAATACGTAGAGCACACAATTGCAAATATGCTTAATCAATTTTATTTAGAGCTATTTAAAGTCTTCAACTTGCTAGAGTTATTCCTTGTAATGTAACAGACTATTAAGTTGTGGATCATATTGTCTATTTGAAGAATATAGTTGACCATGGACTAATTCGTAAAGAAAACATTTAGTATGGAGCACTTATATCACTTTGCAGTAACAGAAAAAAGTAGAAAACGAAAAAAAAATTTTAAAGTTAATTTCAAATATTTATTTGCAGAAGGTGAGGAAGAACAACCACAAAAAGAGAATAAGGATAACACACTGAAGACAGAAAACAGATGAATGAAATAATGGTTGTAAATGATATAACTGACTTAACAATAAGGAGATTTCAAGAGAAATAAAAAACAATCAAAAAAAGGCCATTATAACAAAATTATAAAGAGTAAGAGACATGAAGCTTAAAGTTTGAATTTGAAATTAAAAATAACTAAGTGTGTGACAAAAAGATAATTCCGCAAACAGATATAAAAGTAAGAAAAAGCTGCTCATTTCGAAAAATGGTTTTAATTTATTCGCTCATTTAAAATAGTTCCACAAAAAATTTCAAGAAGAACAATTTGCACTTTTCTATTGTAAATTATACACATGTTGGAAAAAAGTGCATTGCAGCGCGCAAATGTAATTTTTTTGAAAAATTATAAAAATTGTGCATCGAAAAACACAAAATTAACTTTGCAGCACTTTTTAGAATAAGAACGAAGTTGTCCATTCATAATATGATGCAATACTTCCAAAAATTGAATTTCAGGATGCAATTTAATCACCTGAAAATAAAGTGATCAAGAACTTTATTTCCATGAATTAAAGAAATTTTTTATAGCGCTGTGAAGAAAAAGCCCGAACATATTAATAGGAAGATAATGAAGATGCTCTGCTTCACTTTTCTCAACGTATTTTTTGTCTGTCCAACACATAAAACCGCATTAAAATATAAAAATGCATTATGGAAATAGGATAGACTGCGAATTCCGCAATTTTACCAAGACAAAAATGCAAAATCAGGAGGCTAAGAGCTTTCGCGAAAAAAAACTTTTTTTTCTTTTTTCATCTTTAATTTATCAAAAATGCATAGACACAAATTTCATTCAACAGTCAAATTTTGATTAGTGACAAAATTCAGCAGAGGAAGGAGTTCAAAAATTAAGAGCGCTACTGGGTATAACCTACCGTCTACTTCCCTTTCAGAAATTTCATATTCTTTAAAAAGACCAACATTGCTAAAAAAACCTTCACAGCATATATTGTCATTTTCCATTTGATCATCTCTCTGCAAACATCTTATTTCTAAAACAATTGAAAACATTTCTCCATACAAATAATCATCTGTGAAAAGCTCAATAACTGGTAAAATAATATGCAATAAAATGCAATGATTTAAACAGTTTGAAATGACCATAGTTTGCTATTAATACAGATATTAATAATCTCTAAACTTATCCATACGATTAAATGATTCTTTACTCAAAAATGACCTTAAAATTTCACCTAATCATCTTATGTCATATGAAATGATTCATTATTTCTGTTCACATTACTGATAATCTTTTAGATAGTGAAAAAAAAACCGATGAATCTTTGTCGATTGACCGCAATTTATCGGTCGGCAGCAATTCATCACCTGCGAATAATTCAGTGTTGTCGTTCAGTAAATTAACCAAAGATGTAGTACCATCAGTGAATGTCATGTCACGAACAGGATAAACACCATTCTTAAAGATATTAATCCAACAAATGACAAAAAATGTTTTCAAGATGGCATGAGTGAAATGTCCTGCTAAAATTAAAGTGATGGTGGTTTCGCCAAAAGCGAAATCATCATCGCTTTAGCGCAATAACTGTAAAAAAGAAAAAAATTAAATTAATATATATAATAATTCAGAAAATTAATCATATCCAATTAGATTTGATGAAACGAAAGAATCAAAAGAATTTAACGATACATCTTTATCATGAAGTATCATACTTTTATTCTGCCGATAACGCATACATTGAGGTGCACATCCTTTTTTTCAGAACAAAAATTTTTCAACAATTCTTCATGCTTCGTTGATAACTTTTCGCCTCTTAAAACGAAACCAACAGCTAGTGCAGGACATGTGCGTAAGAAAAATGCAGCACGTGGATCTAAAACCACACAAAATATTTTGTAGCATCTTATGAAATAAATTTGTGGTCCTTCCAATTATCATTCTGGTAAATCATTTCACATCGTTTTCGATAAAATTTGTTCCATTCGACAATATAAAACAATACATTGAACAATGGAATAGAGCGTTATTTAATCCTAAAAGACTGAGACGGGTGTTTTAAATCCGATAGCAATTCCAGAAAAATAACCTTTCAATGCAGAAAAACTTATCATAGAAGATATTCCAGAATTCCCGCAAAATTCGACTGTCTTCCCTTCATCGACAAGAAAATATCTTTCCTGAAACTCCAAAATTGATAGACTACTGTTTAGTGAAAATACAACCAACATGACTGCAATCTCATGAAAATCTTAAATTATTGCTTCTTTTGAATTTTCAGACAAGACATTGCAAATATAATATCTACAAGACATTTGAATTGTAGATGTTATATTTGCAAGATTTTCAATAAAATAGTAGAAACATATTATAAAAAACTGCACAAAAGAGGTTGCTGGATAATAGATGGAATAAAAATAACCTTAATATTAAAATTATAGTTCCGATGAAAACAGTGAATACCTGTTTGAAAAGTGTAATAGATGTTTAACAGAAAAATGTAAGCACTCCTCGAGATATTGAATGACCAAAAGTTCCAAATAAATAATTATACAGTTAAGCATGCTCTTACTTGTCCTAATTCCTTGCTTTCTTCATGCAATTTGATGACGCGGCGATATCTGTCTTTATGCAGAATAATACCCTTTATATCTTTTTTATATGCCTTCACGTCATAAATCCACACCTTAAAACAAAGCAAGAAGGCTCAATGAACCAAGCATAACAACATCGAATAGCAATTTTTTCATGAAACGATAAACAGGTTTTCTATAAAAATAATAAAACTAGAAGGCGTGAGCACCTTTTCCAAATAATTTTGGCAATCCTTAAGCCAAATTTCAAAAGTACTCGGGATTCCATATATAATACCATCCTCAACGTTAAGATATTGCATCTCAAAATCCTTCATTGGCAATAAATCTATCGCTAATGAATAATAATTACAGTGGCTGTACATAGCGAAATCATTTAACACCAAAGTGGTAGCCAAATCATTGTGGAACAATGTTTCGTCAACAACCTAAAACGACGTAATTTTTGCATGATCAAAATATAACAGAAAAGCAAGACGAATCTTGTGAACCACACGCAAATTTTTCATCCTTATGTTACTTTCTTAGCGTCTTACTCGTTTTGGATATAAAATTGATCCAGAACCACAAGATAATGAAATATGAAAGCCCACTGCCCTCAAACATTATCATTATCACTGATATATCGTGGTAAAAACACAAAAAGATCGATAAAATTCATGGTATTTAGAGATTCAATGAAACTTTTGAGTCTTGGTAACCGAAATATAAAAGATGATAAATTTAAATCAAGTTTACCTGAATCGGATGGACACCGTCTGAATCAGGAGGACCAATAAATGCTCTGAATTCCTTATTCAGTGGAATAACATTGTTAATTAATTTGAGTGCTTTACGCGACCAAGTGCCTGTTCGTATATCTAAACCTCTACCAGCAGGACGTATTTCTTCTAGTCGACATTTGATTCCGAATACTGGAGTTTCGAAGACTATCTAAAGTTTAACATATCTAATATTTCAGATGCACTTTATGAAGAAATCTAGCTTTTAACATATCTTTTAAAACATACCAAAATCAGCATCAATTAAACAAAATTGAAGAATGAACACATCTAGGATAGAAAAGAATGATGATTGCCATCTGCATGAATAGTAAAAAGATATGAATCGATCAAATTCAACGGGTCTGAGACAAGACAATAGAAATCTGAACCAAAAATAACTAATTTTTAACCACGTAGTTTATATGGGACTTGCAGAAACAATTACATCTCTTATCAAACCGAGACATAAATAAAAAAGTCCCTAACTTCTTCTTGATTATCAACAGCATAGAGAGAATTTCCATCTAGTTCTTGCTCCTCGCCATAATCAACATAACTTATTACAAAAGATTTTTTTCCATCGATCATATCAACTATTTCACATCGAAACAACTGATCTTCACATTCAACAATGCAGATGTCACCAATTTGTGGATTGAGCAGAACATTTTTGTAGGGTTTTAGGTGCTTTTGAAACTATAAATAAAATGACTTGAAAGTCAATAAAAAAAAAGAAATAAAAAAGGAGCAAATGACCGAACAGCTTTGGAAAAAAAGCAAGCCATCTCAAATATGAACAAATACATTCTCATCTTGATGAAGCTGCATACTTAACTCATACTTAATTCATAACGCTACCAATTTTCAAAGATACATTTCATAAGATATATTTCCAAGCAATTATATCACTGTTCTAAAAACTGGCAAAATAATAGACCTCAATTAAATCATTTTGTTTGTTTTCAAACTGCACAGTAAAAGTCATGTGCACATCATCCTCATCATCAGTACGCCGAACGAGCTGTTCTTCATTTATTGACTCAAAATTATATGATGGTACCTTCCAAGTCCAACGACGTTGTGCAAAATCACTAAAAATTCATCAACAATCGTGAATATAAGTAAAAACATGCTGCTGATCAACAGAACTTTTCATTACTACAAAAGAAAAAATCCGCCATGCACTCAAACTAATCGATAACGTTTAAAAATGAAGTAAAGCAATTAACGTTTGTCAATCATTAATATCTGCAAAATACTTGATTGAAAACTCTATATCAATTGTTCCCTACAGTTTGCACAATGTGTCGAACAGGCTCTCTCCTTCTGGCAATGAAATTTCAACTTCAAGAACGTATTTGCGTGATACTCTAACTATATACACATCAAAGATCTGATTGATCATAAACTTTTCGATAAAATATGATTTTGCTTCACCAGAGTATTTCTGAAATTCGAAAAAATGTATATAATCTTCATCACTACTCAATTAGTAGTCTATGGAAGAGTTTCAACTGCTGTGAAAATTTGAATTATAAATGAAAAATAATATGCGGTAGTCTAAAAAACAATAATGATGTGATTAATAGTGATAACAACAAAACGCAAAATAAAGAATTTGTATAGCATACATTGTTATTAAAGGGTTTTGGGGCGGAATGTGAAAGCCGACATGCAAACGCTGCTTTTAATCGGTTTCCCAATTCCTCATTCACTTGTTTGCTATCACAAAAAAATGCTGCATGCGATCCGATGGTGCTGCCAACCTGTACAAATTCTCCACCATCTCTAAAATTCCCATTTTGCTGCTTGTCACAAATAACTTAAGGCTTCATTCTAGCTTAAAATAAAATCCCAATATCACTTTTCGATACTTGAACAGAAAATGAAAAAATTCTGATAATGTGTATTGAAAAAATTATGAGTGAAAAAATAAATCATAAGAAAGTAAGAGATAAGGTACTGAGTGAGAAAAATAAAGGGGTATTTTATAGCTCAACGGCATGCATTCGATGCATTATATTTTAAAGAAAAATCCTGTTTTATTGATTATAAGAAAAAGTCACACTTGATATCATGTTGGAGGTCAGGTATCAGCAGCAATCTGTGCCAAATATTATTGTACTTCCCAAATAGAGAAGTAGAATAAACGTGCAAATCTTCGAAGCCAGCTGGATTATCCAAAAAATGCAAATAAAATAAACCCGGCTCTGAATTCTATAAATTAAGCAGATGAAATAAATAGCACAGTCTTTCAAAACATCGCTTTAACCATAGATTAGTTTTTCGGAAAGAAATCACAACCCAACTAAAACAAAAAAGTCTTTAGCTTTGCAATAACGCCATCTTATTATTATTACTAATTTCAAAACAATTTTAAAAATTAATAACCTTAGTCAAGACATGTACTGCTCGCAAACACTTTCCAGCTGAAACCAGTTGCTTTTCAGGGCAACTACCACTCGTCTTTTCATCTTTCTTAAAAAAAATATTCATTGACAATATCATAAACAAGTAATTATAACGTGATTTCCTATATTTAACTTACAGTGTGTCTTATTATAATGAATTTGCAAATTTAGTCATTTTAATGAAAAGTCGATCCGTCAATTTGCTGATTAAGTATGCATGCAAAGAAAACGCGATAGTTTAAGCCTCATTAATTCTGAAATTGTACTATGATTGAAGATCTTTGAAATTGAAATTGTACTATGATCGAAGATTTATGCCGTCTTCAATAAAACCATGTTATATAGTTCTTTTCTTCATAGCTTTACTATATATATTTTTCCTAAATTAAAGGCTTTACTTCTGAAATAGTTTACACAAAGAGATGTTTTACAAGATTTAATTAATGTTAGAAAGTCAGGGTCAAAAATTCCTATTTTGGAAAAATAACAGACTACAATTACATGAAAAATCTTGTCTCAGACATATCCTAAAGCATTCAATCCACAAAGTTGTGGAAAGCACCTCGCTATTACTTGAATACAATGAGATAATTGATCGTTCTTCTTCTGCAAAATCAATAGATGAATGTTCCGAAGGATCATTTTCATCGTGTAGCAATGGATCACAGTCCTGACAGAAACATATAGCAATGTCCCATGCCTGCCCTGTATAAACAATGTATAGTAATGTAATAAATCATACAGTCACGATCAATCTAGATTAGTTTCAACTAAAACTTTTTTGCAACATTTTACAAACATTTTACATCTCTCTTAAGTGATCGCTATGACTACATTAATTATACTTTATAAGAGCTAGCAGTCACTTAATAGTTACTTAACCAGTTAGAGGATTTCTCTCTCAGTATTGCAAGAATAGTTAATACTGCACTGCTGATAACTGACGATATTCTTAAATAATCTGAAAAATTTATATAGAAATTTTAAGCTGATCAATATATATATATATATGTCCTAAACGATTTTTCTCCAACCGAACACTTCTTTTGTTAATTCGGTGGAAACGGTATAATATCTTTGGCATTTCGAGTTCAAGAAATCTTTTATTACCAATACTTTCAAATTACAAGTAACGCTGCTATACCAACGAAAGAAGAAACAATACTTTTATTTTTATGAGAAAAGTTTGATGCCTGAACACCTTCTAGCAATATGTTCGCTATGTCATAAATCTTTCCATTTTGGTTTTGTATTATCATCGTACCAACAAATGCTTCGCCGTTTTCTGAGACATGTTCTAAACAAAAATCTTTCATTAACCTTCATCCAAAATCATTTACAGTGATGACTATGGTGACTGCTCAATTTTTTTTTTTTGAGATTTCTAAGTTTTCACTATACGCAAATAAACAAAAACAGCCAAAAGAAACACAATTTGGGGATTAACTAAGAAAGGAATTAAGTATACAGGTGAGAAAAATAAGAAAATTTACTCAAGCGGAAAGCTACAACAGTATCGTTAACCATTGCTTTAAGCTCATCGTTTGATATCAACGGTTCTTCAACATCAATATCCAGCAACATCAGAAAAGCTTGTGGAGGTATTTTCAGCAATTCTTCATCAATCACGTACAGCTGGTCTAATCCTATCTCCATTGTGAGACCACAATCAACCAAATAAGTCTTAAAAAATTCTGAATAAACAAAGCATAATATTAATTAACAGCAAGAAAGAGCTAACAAACAACTGAAAGCTGAAGATCTGCAACTTACCGTACATGTCATGAAGTGTGTTTTGCACATAACACATCCACGAACAAATTTTTCACCAATCCTGAAAATGTAAAAGTTTTGGTCATAAATTTCCCTAAAAACTTGTGAAATTTATAATTTTTATATGCTATTATCTCTTTCCAAGTCAATTTGGTTATAACATTTAGTGCCGCCATTAAAAACACAAGCTTATAAGGTACTTATAAGTGATTCAAATAAATCAAAAATAAAATGCTCAATACTCTCACAGTAATTTATATCTAAACTAACTTCACGAGAACAATCTCTCCAAGTGCTGGATCGAAAAGGGATTTACAACTGGCTGACTTCACATCGTTAAGCCTTTTCTGCAAATCATCCAATAAAAAACGATTCCTTTCTAGTGTGCCGAAGAATTTCTTCATACCTTTAAATAAAAAATAATTAATTGAAAGTGATGCAATCACGTTTCGCTGTATTCTTAATCAGTACTATTACCAATTTTCCAGTATTATCATCACTTTATTATCATTTACTTACATGTTCCCTTATTTAAAGCTCATTTTCTTGTTACCATTCTTTACAGTGATAGATGTACTGTCTTTTCAATTAGTTTTTCAGTAAATTATTAGCAAGAATAAATGCTTGTTTCTACTGCATGAACAAATTTTCACCATATTTTACCATCAAGACTTGTTCATTATTCAATAAATTTAAGGTTCATTACCCAAATCAAAACGATCCATTTGCCTCTACCAACCTAAAATAAGATAAAAAATTAATTTTTCACCTTCAATGTTAATAATTCGGACATAAACAAAATTGTCAACGGCAGTGGGTAGTTCCAGTGGTGGCAAATTGCACATTTGAAGTCGTGTGCTACCGGCTTGTCGCTTCATCGCTTCTCCTTGACTGTTTATTTCATAAGATATACCTTCTGGAAAAAAACATTTTGCAAAAAGAAAACTACCACTTTCAATTCCAGCATTCCATAGCTAGCTATCTAAAATTTAAATGTCTTTACAGAAATTTAAATTTACAGAAATCTAGAATGTCTTTACTAATCTTAAATAGAAATCTTAAATACAAAAAAAAAAAAAATCCATGAACCAACTTATTAACGCCCTGAAGTAAAAATCGGAATTAGTGGAATGTATGTTCATATTTCGTGAATGTTCGCCATAAACGACAAATACAAAAGATCTAAAAGTCCAGCAGTAATTGTGACGATCGCGAGATTTTCCCTCGATATCAAGAGAAAACAGAGGTTGGAAACGAAGAGAAATGAGAACTTGAAACGACCACTTCTTAGCTCCTCTTCCCTTATATCCACCCTCTACATCTTTTGACCTGGTCCTAACATCGTACAGGAAAATCACAAGGTCATTCAGGAGCTATGCTATTTCCGCACCAACCCATCCTACGCCATCATTTCGCAACACTGGTCCATTCTTCTAAACGTGTACTATTGAAAGCGTACATGTGAGCGCGTACGAGTGGTAAGAGAAGGCAGTAATATCAATAAAGTGCTAAATAAAGGTATGATTAGTTGCTGATAGAAAGAAGCGGCCTATAGAGGCCTGATCCCATGATTACGTGGTCCTATTAGAAACTGATTTTAGTAGTAACGTAGCTTTTTCAGTCAATACTCGGAAAAAGCTAGTAAAAATGAAAATAAAAGGTATAGAAAATGCATTAAGAACGACACAAAAAAAAATGACTTATTGTTACAAATTTATCACCAGCATATTTTTTTTCTACTTCTCTTCATTAATCATCTTACTCTTATCAGGACAAGAGTAAATCATGTATGAATCAGGTATGCCAAGTTGACCCTCAGATATCATAGGTCAGTGTCATAAACAATCACTGATTCTTGTCGATTTTGCCAGCTCAATATTATTGATAACAAAAAGTAGGATTAATTTGCTTCAATAAAAATATGATATATGGAAGAAAACAGCATAAAATTGGTTTCTTGAAAAGTCAGGAAGTTTTCTGTTGTAATTAAAATAAAAATTGTTCGTTTAAATGAAATGAATTGAAATATACAAACATATGTCTTGTTGTTAATCCATTTTTTACATCTTTTGTCAAATTCGTTTTAAATTGTTTTCATTTTTACTAACTCTTTCCTACTATTTGGCTGGCAAATTCTCAAATAAAAGCTTAACTCAGAATTTAGTATTGGATAAAGGTTAAAGAAAGTTAAATAGTTTTTTAGAATTAATTTGCTTCAAAGTCATAATAAATTTTAGAATAATTTAAATGTTACATTTTTCTTTGCTTCCACAAAATTTAAATGGGATATAAATCGGTAATGGAAGATATACTCATTTCTATCGTTTGTTTATTAAATATATTCACTGTAATCTGAACAATTTGTGAGTGAAATTTCTCGGTAAAGTAATCATAATCTTCTAATAGCGAATGAGAATATAACCGATCGCGATTGTTGGATAAAAATGCATGTGCATAGATTCTGCTTCATAAGTATTTCGCTAGTTTCGATTAGACATTTCAGGTCATCCTTATCAGGATTACATTTAAAAGATGGTGATTACAAGAGTTTTTAATTATGTTATCGAATCTGCTTTGTTCCCTGTTTTTTATCTAGCTCTTTAGATCACATGGATAACGTGAATCTCTTTGGTAATGGATAATATGATGTGCTTTTCGCAGTCATTAGGCCGATGGTACACAAAGTTATATCATTTTAATAGCAATTTTTTAACTAACAATAAAATTAAAAGAAAATAATATTTCCCAATGGAACATCAATCAATGCACTCTTCCCAGTGTTAATATACCTTCCTTTCAAGGAATTGAAAAAAAAACTCATTTCTCTCATGAGGTCATTAATAATGTGAAGTGAATTTTCGACTGAACACTTCCATAAGCACTGAGAGAATTACTTTCAAATGGGATCGAATGCTATTTCAAATTTTGCTTCATTTTTTTGTTCGACAAAATTCCCAGTTGAGGATGAGAACGGAATATTTGATCATGTTAGATGAATCCATCATTAACCATATGACTAAATAAAACGATTTCACATTTGTAATTAGACAAGATGTACTCCGAACAGATTATTGCTTAAGAATTCGAAAGCATCACTTATGTATTTCTCGTGCTAAATTTGCTTTCCATATCTCCAATCCTGTCATCAAGCTTCCACTCTAACCGTCACCACTCTTGCGTACGACTTATTATACTGCTATTGGTTTTCGAAGCTCTGAACACTGCTCTAGAACTGATCACCTGAACTCACCCACGTAATCAATATTCGGGCCATAAAGAAGGAATTAGCCATGTTAGATGTTAGGGAGCTTTCCCTCAAAATCGCATTTAATTGACTGATTTTTTATTGAAATTACCTTCCCCAAAGCTTCATCAGAAGACATCTTTGGACCTGCAGACTTTGCTTTTGCGGATGATATCTTCTTTGAATCCCTGCAATAATGCTGTAACGCTCAAAAAGGTTCAAAAATTTAATACATTGTGGGCAAAAATGATATGCCACATTAAAAAAATCCTACTACACTCATATTCCAAATCAATGATCACATGAACATTTAAATTTACACATATTTTCGAGATTCAAAACTTGTTAAATGATATGGTAGAAAATTTCATTTCACCTGTATTTACAAATCACGAGAAGAGAAGTCTGGAGGAAAAAATCACAGGAATAATAGAAGAAATATATACAGCAAAAAAATTAAAATTATTTGCATAATTACTACAAAAATTGTTCCAAATAGTTGAATTTTAGCTCATACTTTTCCTCTGAAATTTTCATCCTCATTTTTGTGACTATTTAATTTTTGTACTATCAATAAGAGATACAAGTTATTGCAATAAGAATATAATGCTGAACAAAAATTACAATGTAATAAAGTCTCTCAGGCATGCATCATCACAGCAGTCAATTCTGGATTTACTTTGATCATAGAAAACTAAGCCAAATCCAAAAAAAAACATCCTTATATATATGAATACCTGTCTAACTTGCTTCACTTTAAGGAAAAAAATTTCGACAAAAGTAATTTAAAAAAAGAAAAACAAAGGAAAATTGCTCAAACACATTGCAAAGCATTAGAAGACCACGACTTTGTATGAACTGTTTAAGACTCGTCGCCTTGTTTTTTGTCTTCTCGATATAAACAATTGACAAGAAAAGCCGCAATGTCCGGATTAGCCCAATAAGCAAAGTGGCTTTTAAACACAGACCAGTAACTTCGATCAGTAATTTGCGGCTGCACTTGATAATCCATACGGTACGGCAACCCTTGAAAGCAAGTTCGAAAATTTGTTAGAAAAATATATTTATATCATAATAAAGAAGAAAATAAAGCTTTAATATGTACTGCTAAACTCATTTCATAAAAAAAATGCACTGCAATATGTCAGGACATTTCGCATATCTCTGATACTGAATGAACTGCAAGACGGTAAACAGTTGATGCAATCAATATCATCTCCTCAAAAAAAGCTGATGATGCTATCTGTCAAGCGTTAATACATATCTGTCCGATAGTTATGCTATTGGAGAGGTCATATTAATGTGAAGCACAAAAGATAATCTGGTTATAAACGATAGTCAATAATTGATCAAGAACCATATATGTTATAAGACAATATTGTTTTCATGCTATCTGTCTACATATCATACCACCTATTCAATTTCAGTATAAATGATTTGATTAAGCTAAGTTTTTCAAGATAACATTAAAACCCACTTTCTTCTGGAGGAATTTCTTCTATCAATTTCTGAGCTTCATTTAATTTAACTTCCTCAAATAATCCTTCGTTAGTTTCTTTCTCCTTTCGGCTGCTTCCAAATTTCCACCAACTCTTTTTGTTATCACCACTTTCTGATGGTGGAGGTGTTAAACTTCGTGGTGACGAACCTAAAATAAAAAAGTAAAAAAATCCAAACTGAACAATTTCTTACAATCACAGAGTTAGTTAATTCGCAACAAAACGTGATGAACAATTTAATCTATCCAATTTCTATCGTGAAGATTTAGAATCAAGTCCGTAAACGATCACACCTGGACTACTAGGCCGTAAAGCCGATGAATCATCGCTTTCACATTCATCTTCTTCCTCCATTTCCTCCTGATTTTTATCGCCAACAACTGCTATCCGAGCATCCTTCTCCTTTTCAACTTTTTCGTTTATTTTTATCTTTTTGATGTAAGCTTTGTTGATCTAGAAAGATTTAAATTTTGAAATGAAATACTCATAAACAATAATTAAATAACAAAATCATAATATACAAGATTGTTAAAATAAGAATAAGTAAAGCTTCATCATTTGACCTCACCTTCCAAATTAAAGCCGAAAGTGCGGGTATCACCGAGAAAAGGGCCAATAAAAAGTAGCTTAAACTAAAGTGGAAAAATTCATCTCCCACCCGCAAGACAGCAAGTTTACACTTAGCGTCATAAACAAATTAGGAATTGTTAGGTCTGGAGAAACTAAAAAGTTAAGTATACCTAAAAGAAACATAAAACATATTATACGCTTCTTAATCTGCTAAATTCAGATAAGGAACACACCTCTGGTAGAAGAAGAGCGTAATCTCGCAATGATCGTAGATCAATTGAACTGAACAATTTGATAGGTCGGATTAAACGATACTGTTTATGCACCAACGGTTCCAATCTGTATGCCTAGAAATACTGTTGATTAGAAATGAATGATTTTCAACTTGCAACTTTCACCCCAAATCATTTAACTAAGATACAATCTTATAAATTTTAAAAATGTACCACTGGATCATATGGGTGGAAAATATTGTATATTCTCTTCAGGCTATCTGTTTCAGGAACAAATGTTGTTGAACCTCTCATAATCAAAAAAACGGCGAGAGGTGAACCGACACAAAACATGTTCCTAACCTGAAATAATCGAAAGAAGGAAATTCACCAATTCACGTGCAGAAAAACATATCAACTGCCTTTACAGAAAGATTCATGAAATGACCTTAAACTTCAATTTTTGTTTCTGAGTTATAAAAGCCAGCTGAAATCCACCATAAAGTTCCAACAGTCTGAAAACAATTTAGATCTAGTTTATACTTGACATAAGATTTTTTTCTAATTTGAAAACAATAAATTTGAGCTAAAGAAAAAGTATTTAACCATATTCAGAAAAGATCTAAATTAACATAGTTAAAGCATATACAATTACTATTAACAACCGTTTTCTACAACTAAGCTGGATCTGCTATCTTTTCTAATTGCTAATTACTTAATCTATATGTAAACACCTAAATAAATATGATTGAAATGCTAGAAAGTAAAAGAAGATACAATTACTTTAACCGTGCTTCTCGGAAGCCGTTCAGTATTTCAGCATGTTCTGGTTTCATCGCCAATTGCTGCTCCTAAAATAAACAAAATGCGTCTGTACAAGCTAACTTTCTGCAATTTTCTGCTCGGACCTTATTTTTAGCGATGCCTAGTCTTCGTTCAATTCATTACAATCTCATTTGGGACCCAGTCATCTTCGAATAGATATGCACAAAATATTTAGCTATGTTTTCCAAAAAATACTCACAATCATTTCAGCCACATATTTATCGTATAAAACAAGAGGAGACCAACAAGTCAGCAGATCATAGCACATAACAGAACCAAGTGAATGAGCATAAATTGAAATAGGTCCATCAAAGTCTGGATAATTTTCTACAAACAAACTGTAGACGTTATTTAGCGACCTTATCAAGCCTTCCATAATCTGAAAATCTAAATAGATTAATTCCGACAAGCGTTCAATTGTTGAAGACAGAAAATAATAAAATCATAAAATTGATTGACCAACGAAATTAAAAAAAGTTTTGTGGCAATAAGAAAAAAACAAGAGATCTATTAAAGTACATCCAATCACTCAGTTTCTTTAACGGTAATGAAACATCTCAATTGAGTACGATAGCAATGGGGAAAGCACAAATAAAGAAATGAATTTGTTATAACTGCAATAATACAACAGAAATAATCGAAAAATTCACTTCGTTTCGATATAGAGGGGACTGATAATACATAATATCCATTGCCGTCGAATTTAAAGCATTACGTATTGCGGACATCTTTGGCAAAGTAACATAATCAGTACTATCATCATCTAAAATTAAGGCTGATCGCCATTCCACTGGTAAAACCATTGGACGACTTTTCTCGTCCGGATAATGCTTATCCATACAACTGTATATGGCTTCGCGAACCCTGCAACAAAAAAGATTTTGCTCATTCGTAGATCTGATTTGATGAGAAACAGATGGGATAAAATAATCGATGCTTCTCGCCATAGCGTAAGTTATATTCACTGCAAATATAATCTTATCAATTTTCAAACAATATAGAATGCATTTGGTATTATGATAAATTAGAAATTATTGAAACAATCACCAATGTAAAGTCAGGCAAAGATCAAAGCTGTCGATCGAGTAATAAATCTTACTGGTCAGTGTTTTTTGCAATTAAATTTTCATATCCTTTCTGGCCAATACCATGAACAACCAAAATCAAATGTTTGATGATTTGTTTACCATCATCCCATTCCGCTTCCTCATATCCACGTTTTAGAGCAGTTCCTTTACCCCAAGCTATGTAACGCAGCAATCGACTTGTTTTGGAATTATTATACAATGTGATATCGATAACGGAATTCCATCGCACCTCGTACTGATCCTGTAGTTTGAGTTCCGCAAAAACTGAAAACTAAGATTAAAGTAACCCAACTTAACAGTAATAAAGAGCTTCATTAAAATACTACAACATTTCTTTTAAAATATAAGCTTTCGATCAAGATTTAAAACTGCAGGGCCACATGAAAAAATTACTCGGACAAAGTAGGCGTTTTAACCAAACTATCAAAAACTAACTTGGTTTTTTGCTCGACTCTTTTTCCGAGAAAACTGGGGCATCAGGAATTGTCTGATAACGAAAAATGTGTAAATGATGTGTCTCAATGGGATCAGCCATGCTAGGATCAATTGGTTGCAAATTTTCCATCAAAAACCATGTACCCCGACGAATTTCGATCGTGTCATCTAAAAATTCTACTTAATGAAAGAGTATCAAATTGAAATCAAGAAATGTTAGACGAACATATTGTTGGATATATGAAATTTAAAAAATAAGGAGTTTGAGGAAATGATCTAAAATGCAGAAGCCCAATTCAAAAAAAGTTGAACACATTTTTTGTATGAGGAACTAAATCGGGAACCTTTCCAATAGATGGAATTTAACATAGTGAGATCTTCGGAAGCTTGATATAATCCGTCTAATACTACTACCGATGTAGGCATTTTCATAATTTGTACATAGGATTCGGTAGCCTGATCCAAATCAATTTGCATTTGCTGCCGCCAGTACACTTCCAACAACAACGAATCCGCTCCTAAAATAAAATTTGTAAATAATCACAGCATATCATTTATCAACCAGATAAAAATACACTGATATAACCTGGTCTCGTTTTTTAATGATTGCTCTTTCGCAAATATCCTATCCATCGTAATGCACACAAAAGCAAATAGGGAAATATGAAACGAAATTTAGCACAGCTGAGAGGATGTGTTTTTTATCTTATATAGTTCTCTTTTAAGTCATTCTTACTCTCATATGGAAGCATGATCCACGACTCCACATTTAAAGGAAAAGATTGGAAGTGTTCAATTTACAATACAGGTTAACCTTTAAAAGGAGTCCATTTTGTTTCCGTTCCGCTTTTCCGATGAAACCACCTAACTTCGGAACATTTCAGCTCCGTGACGCGTCGTTTTCTATGCCGCGGCGGCACTAACGGCGCTTTCTGTGAGTCATTGGCCACTGGAAAATCTTCGACTTGTGTTGATAAAGCCTTGGACGATAAAGCAGTATCATCTGAACCACTAACGGGTGTAGCTCTGAGATATTCAATTCCAATAGGGAAGTGCTCGGCAATTTGTGTGGCATATACATCATGAACTTGTTTCTTGATTTCTTTTTCAGCAGACGCTTGATCTTCATCCAGCTGACTATCTTCGGTTACTTCTTGCGCAGTAGTAGCCGCACCCGAATTCATCTGGAAAAATAAAATGACATATGCCAGCCATGTTAATGTGTCCGCCAGAGAAATTAATACATTAACAAAAAAGATAAATTTTTGTTTAATAAGGCCGTAATGAAAACGCATAGTGCCAATAAATTGAAATGCATTTTTTTAATTCACAGTTAAATTATTCAAAACTGAATCGATGTAGTTTTAAACTAGAATTGTTTGTCTCTCTGTGACATAATATCATAAACATGTTACATACAACATACTACTATGTTTTCTTGTTTTTCTCTGTCCTATAATGATTTATGTTTATCGTCTCTTTTCATACAAAAATCGACCCATCATTGTGGTGCGTTTACAAGGAGAGGTTATTGTATTTTCTGGGTCATCAAAACCGGATTGAGCTATCATCAGCTCGTCGCTTCTTGTTTTACTCTTGCATTTCAAAATTTTGAAATTTGAAAAATTTGCATATTTACCATCCTCTATACTAACTTCATGATTATTTTCATTCAGGTCTGGATATTTCAAAAAAATATGATTATTATCCTAATCCAATTATGAAATTCATTTTTCAATCAATAAATCATTGAATGAGACTTTTATCAAAAAAATTCAATAAAATCAGTAAAACAGAGCCCAAAAAGGAATTTTCAAAATCGACTATTTGCTATAGCATGGAGAAATATATAACACTTCTAAATTGTTACGCTTGCATATATTTCATCTGAATGAAGTCAGGAGGAGTTTGTAGTAAAATTAATTCATATCTTACATGATATAGTTCATGTTCAAATTAGCCAACATCAAAACTCTTCTATATATATCTCAAACAAAAGTTATTTAAAGAACCAAAAAAAGTAACTGAAAAAAATTAAATTATAGCAGAAGCCAATAAAGACAATTAAATTGGAGCAGAGTTTGCAGTAAAGTGAAAAAGCCCGATGGTAGCGTAATGAAAAAAAGATAAAAAGTGGACTGAAACAAAGAATTTGCAATGGTGAACTTACATGATGTAAGTTTTACCTGCAATTTTACCTGCAATTAAAAAATTCGGAGAAACAAAATTTAGAAAAAATTAGAAATAAACCTACGAAAGTAAGATAAAGAACACCAAAAGAACCACTACCCAATCAATAATTTATATTTTCTATATAATGAAATGCCTGACATCACTAAGCAATATTCCTTATTCCTTACACACATTCAAATGATAACAGTAAAGATGAGAAGGGGAAAATTTTATTTTTAAATTCATTTAAGTAACAGTAAACTTTAGCTTCTTCCTTTCTGATGAAACACTAAAAAAGTGAAAAGTTGAATCAAAAAGAAAGGTATCGATCCGAACAAAAAAATAAACAAAGAACTATCCATACGGATAGATCAGAAAGAGGAAAAATATCAAACTCACCATACCTATAATATTATAAAATAGGGAATGAAAAGAATTGAGAAATTTATTTATTCAACAAATATATCTTATTTTAAGAAATAAAGAAAGGAAATATATCGGATAAAAGTGAGAGAGAAAAAGTATTGGCATGTTACTAGAGAATGCTTTAACAATACTTCCTACTCTTTCTTACCTGGAATGATAAATTAGGTATGGATAAGTGAGGTATTATTGCTTTTAGGTTTAATATTTTGAAAAATTGATTGAAATCCAAAAATCGTTCATATTGCTTCAATTTTCATGGCTTAAATAAATTGGAAAAAAACTTTCTATTGTTTCGTTATTTTTTTTTCGTAAAGAGAGAATCACAGAGAGAAATTGTCAAGTATTACTCCTAGAAACCAAAAACGGTTTCTTGTACTATCACTACTGTATGAACCATATTAAAAATGATTCATTGCTATAAAGCATACATCAGAAGACAATGAAATATGAGAAATGGTGCTGAACATTCTGACTGCTGATGATTATTCATTCTCTCATTAAATATCTGGTACTCTAACATTCGTTGATTTTAATCCACCTTATAATTGATACGTTGTTGATAATTGGGTAGTCAATCAAGAAAAAGTATATTCATGTAAGAGAGGAAGAAAGAAAAGGAATAATTAATTGAAATTGAAAAATTAGAAAATAAAAAAAAAATTAAACACACACACACACACACACACACACCAATCTAATAGTAGTATGTTGTTGCCTACGGAAGAATTTCATAACACCGAGCTATTGCTGGTTGACCGTTTTAAGCAAACACTCAACAAGCAAATGCTGTTAGCAATGAGCAATACATCGCTGATAATATCCATTTCAATTCCCAATTCTAATTACTATCGCTCATTTTATGAGTCAATTAGATAGTCTCCGTCTTTTATTCTTTTATTTCCATATATATATATATATATATATATATATTCAATAAAAATATTCAATAAAACTTTATTCAAGAATGAATAAAGTTTAGTTTATCGGAAAAATGAGAAGATCCACCCGCGTAGAATTATATTCAATACAAAGATCAAAGATGAGAAGGCTGTGCCTCTAACAGCTGTGAGGATAAGAATCGATCAACAAACTGCCAACAATCTCTAATCAAAAAAGCATGGAACTCCGAAAACACCTCTTCTTCTTTCTTTTCTTTATTTTCCTCTTCCTTCTTCTCCTCTCTCTCTCCTCTCCCTACAAAAAAACGGCCTGAGCGGAAAATAGCTCTTAGAATGATTTTTTTAAATGCTCTTTATATCTATTCGATTCTTCTACCCTAAAAATTAGTCCAGTAAAGTTGTCAACCAGTCGGAAGCTTGACCCGTTTAGTATATCCAATGAAGTATGCCATGAATTATAAAACAACATTAAAAAATAATTTAGCAAAAATAGTTAAAAAGCATAAATAATTAAAAAAGTATTATTACTGTTTTATTGCATCATAAATGTACCGCAGAAAATGAGTGATGATCTCCCGATATTTTATTTTCTGGAGAATACGACATATTCCAGAAGTTCGTATACATATAACGCATTATCATGTTGATGTAATATGCATAGAAAAATTGGCCAAACTCATAAGAAACTTTTGAATTTCAGAAGGAAGTAATGAAAATTGTAATATTCTCTTTCTCTCATATCATTCTTTCCACTTGCAAATGGTAAACAAGTTCAGGATTGGCTTATTATATATCGAATGAACAGATGGGACTTTGACGAAGTTTTCCGATTTCGATGAAATTATTTTCTTCGTTGAGCAAGTTTTCTCCCTGTAACATACCATCATAGGCATGTTTCAAAATTTTGAAATTCGATGCATTATCATGCCTCTATACCTATCAATAATTTCATCACTCTTTTCATTCATTTTCAAAAAAATATGATTATCATCCTAATCTAATTATGAAATTCATTTTTCATCCGGTAAAAATCATGAATGAGACTTGAATGAGACTTTCACTAAGAAACTTTCTGTACACATTCTTCTCGATGCAAAATCACAAGAATCTATTATTTATTCTTCATTCATAGTGTGAGATAGTACAACTCTTAGAGAAATTCATTAGTTGTAAGCATCTTGACTGCGAGAAGAAAGTATAGGGATAGATATGGAGCATTATCCTAGCCTGAAATTGTGTGAAGGTTGATTGATTAGGAAAGAGAAAAAAGATTCAGACCATTATCATCATTATGGCGGATTTCTTGTTTTATTATAGAGCTATTTATTCTATCATACCTTATAAAACTGCTTATCATATCCTCACTTCTAATTCCATGCGATCACTTTATTGGACGGTCAAATTTCGTTGTAGGAAAAAATCAGCAATGTAGTGAAATATGGATCGTAGCATAATGAAATATGAAATGAGGTAAAATCTTTGGGAATGTTAGTAACACCTCGAACTGTACAACTGGGGTTATGCTATCTGAAAATAATTGTAAGGTGACTTCTTAATTCATTGATGGGTGATTATATAGAATCTTGACTTGAATGAATTGACAAGGATTCTATTTTTTTAGTGATGTTTCCTCTATTACAGAAACATATAATTTGTCATCTAAAAATAATCCATAAAATGGTTACGAAAAGAATGATTCTCTAGTCTCATGAAATTAAAATTATAGGGAAATATATATGGCACTAAATACATTTATCGTAAGGATGCCAGAAATTCAATTCAGGAAAATTTAATGACAAGAACGAAGTTTATTAATTGCATTCCTATTCAATTTCGACTTTTTAACGCTGGAAAAAGTTTCCCGAATAATTTCGTAGAAAGAAAAGTTTATTACATTCATTAATTATTTTGAATTACCATGGAGTTTTTGTCTTCATTTCTAGTAACTGAAATTATTTATTAAACTTCGATAAATCAGAATATTTTGGAATTGTATTGAACCAGAATAACTTTTTTGCAACTATACTGTTTGGAGGTATTTTCAATTATATCGATTCGTACAAATATGTAAAATGTTCATTCTGTTTGTCGACGTTTTTTGAATGTAGCATCCATTCATATTCTATTCATATGAATATATTAAAAGAAGTCAAATAACGATTTTAGTTCTGTGTTGTTTCAGCGCAGTAATTAACAATGAATTTCAAGGTTACCAATTTATCTTTCTTCATATTCACCCTTTCTGATAAAGTTTGAGTCATAATGAAATTTCTGTATGTTCTGAAATACAAAATATAGGAAACATTTCAGAATGTGTTTTTTTATATGATTTTCTTATCAACCGGATTATAGAGTTTAAAAAGAATGGAAGGAATTGTTTAGGTTGGAATCATCGGAGGAACCGGTTTTGAGGACCCAAAAATATTTAGCAATGCACAGGAGTACAAAGTGAATACACCATTCGGTTCGCCATCAGATGTTTTGATCGAAGGGAAAATAGGCGATACTACCTGTATTCTTCTGTCACGTCATGGTCGGGAACATAATACATCTCCAACAAATATTAACTATCGAGCAAATTTGTGGGCTCTTATGGAACAAGGTAGAATTTCGTTGCACTGATAGATAGTTATTGAAAATTCATCTGTGTCATCTGATAATTTGAATCAATTAAAAATTTTAGGTTTATACAATTATTCATCTTTATGATT